CGGTCGTTATGACGTCACAAGAAGTTCGAGAATTTCGCGCTATTTCCCGTTAGAAAAACAAATTATTTTTTGCTCGGCTAGAAGGTCGATCTAGCTCGGATTTTGAAGTTTTAACCGCGAAATTAATTTTATTAATTAAGAAAATTTTCTGGTGGTCAAAACACCGTTAGAAATCAAAAATAAGAGAATTTCCGACCTGTTGCCGGTTAGCCTTTGTCTAACTGTCTAGACAGGTTCGTTGACCTAGGAGGTCGGTTCTCGACCAAAAGCAAAATTCCGAGTCGGTTTCTCCGTCGAAAATTACTTTTTCTCCGTTAGAAAATTTAAATCTACGGCTAGAAATAGTTTTCTACCGCTAGAAAATGAAATGCCGACCTAGTTTCGGCTAAAATCGACCTATAACCGTGACTTTACCAGTGTCGGTGTCGGTGTCGGTGTCGGTCGATTTCCTCCGTCCGAGGTCGGAAATCCGTCGTTTCCGTGCTGAAATCCGCTGTTAGAGTTGCGGGTCGGTGTTCAAACCGATGGTCCCCGTATAATTGGAGTAATCCGTTCGCGCTGCAGACTCTCGTTCGAGTCTGATCCGTCAGATGGGAAAAGTCCGTGCTGTTGGGAATGTGCTCTTCAATGTGGAAGAGCCAAAGAAGACTGTGCTCACCAGCTGTGGGGAGAATCACTTCAGTGATCCTCGTTTCTCCGCAGCTGTAAGACGATGTGATCAATCCGATCAAAGTCAAGGGCAGAGATTGCTTCAGCAATCTATCTGACAGTGACTTTCAGGTTCTTCACGAGTTCTCCGTAATTTGAGCCTTCACCGTCTCCTCAAAGATTCCGTGGGAAAGAAAACCAGACGATCTGCTTACCATGTAACAGGCAAGCGCGAGGAGATCACGAGTGTGCTTTATTGACAAATAAAGGGAACAATGCTGCGTAATAGCAGGGAAAGCAAAAACAAAGCACTGATGGCTAAGCAAGCAAGTGAATGCTAGAAGAGCTCTTGAGCGTTCGTCAAGGCGTGAAAGAAGCAACTGGCGGCAAGCACGTGCTGTGTGCCATCAGCTGTGTGATGATGCGCAGACTGGACTCAATCCAACGCGAGCGTACGCTGAGTCATACAGCGAGAGAGGGACGAGAGAGCAAGTATGCTCAGTGTGTGCGCCGCATATATCCGCTTCAGCGGGTATGAGTGCAGTGCAGCAGCACACGTACGTACAGCGAGAGAGGCGGTATGGCAAGCATGAGTGCAGTACGTCCATGGTGGGCCGTATGCACCAGGCGCAGTCATGTGCCTCTGACAACTGTTTCGAAATGGGCAATTTAATTTATAAAACACCTGTGTCTAGTAACTACGATTTATACTTCACACGAAAACACGAATCAGTGCTGTCTCCAGGAAACAGTACTTTGGGAACCGCATTTGCCGTTGACGACGACGTTCAGATTTCGATTTGAACCTAACTGTACGGATTTGTTACTTACTTTTGTGGCTTACTTGCACTTTGCAACGGTCAGATAATGGCGTGTACTCCCAACCAAGTACCGAGGAGCGACGTTACACTGGTTTAAGATTGGTGCCCTTTTCTGAACCGACTGCCGAAAATAATTATTGACCTTAATAACTGGTACTGTACCTAAGTCATTTCGCTTTATGCCTAATCTTAAGAGTAAAATGCAGCTTTGTCGATCATCTGATGATTTTAGTCAGCCATCAAGAACTTTAACCACACGAAGGTACGTAACTGCCCCCGAAATTTCATCATAATAAACACATTTAGATAAAGCATAACCAGCATAACATCAAAGGACAACATCCGCTCATTAAACCGAAGTAAAAGAAATAATATATTCAATAGAACCGCTGATTAGGGGAAAACACATGGCCAGTGCGACAAAACCATTAAACCACTTTATAACGACCACGGCTAACCGGCGCATTGGCAATCTTCAGCCGTTCTTCCTTAATAATCCTGGTCACTTCGGTCTTCGCTTTGGACAACGACAATTCCGTGGTGGCTTTAATGCCAATATACAGCTTTCTCTCGCCTTCTGTCAGTTCCTTGCCGGTGGGAATGTACGAACCGCGTACCGACAGGAACGCATCAGCATGTTCCCCAATCTGCGCCAGTGTCTCCTTCCCGGTGATCCTCCAGCGCGCCTGCTGCGGGAAATCATTGATTTCCAATTCCTCTTCAAACATCTTATACTGCTCAACTGGATTCTCCTCCGCCGGCTTCTCCTCCGGAAAGTAGTTCAATTTAGCATTCAATTTCTCGGCTAATTGTTCGGCAATGGTCTTCTTGGACACGGACGGCGCTTCCGAATAGAATCCCTTGCTGGTATCTTGCAGTTCTTTTTTTATAATTTTAGTCACCAGATCGTGAAATCTAGGGTCTTCTATTACTTTACTAGCCACTTGCTTCGCAAGCTGATCCATGTTGGCTTCATCACAATCCGGATCCTGTGTAATAAATAACCAGTGTAAATTCAATGAACTTTTCTATCCACTATTTATTTAACTTTTTTGGCAGTTTTCCTCAACCGGCTACACAACAAGTAAATCCGTCAATTAAGAAAATCTGATTTACCTGCAACCCAGTAATCGCTTTCTGCATCTTCTTTGAATCTTTGGCAGCCTGTTCTTCATTCTCATCAAACTGAAACCCTTTCCCGCCAAATCCACTAAAACCCTTAAATTTTTTCCCTTTAGCCACCACTGTACCTTTGTACGTTGCAAAAATGAGTTTGAGATCCTGGGGAATTTCTGCACCAGACAATTCCAGAGCTTTAAGGATATCCGGGCTGTAGCGCTCTTGCGAAGTAATAAACGTGTATGCGTATCCTTTAACGCCAGCATGCCCGGTTTTGCTGCAGCGATAAACGTAATCTTCAGGATGGCTGGGACGGTCATAATTGATCACCATAACGAAATTCTTCAGATTCAAATCACGCGCAGCCAGCGATGTGGTCACGACTATCTGGACGTTACTTTTTTTGAGGTCATTAAACGCGCTCTGTCGCGCCAGGGGATACACGTTAAAATGCAAGGCGATTGCGGAATACGAAGCTTTCATTAGATCTTTCAGCAGTTGGTCAGCTTTTTCCTGCTTTTCCACAAAGATCAGACAACTTCCTTGCGCACTGTACTGTCGCAGCAATTCCAACACCTTCACACATTTCTGATGTTCTTCGATAATCTTCACATGATGTTCGACGTCGTTACACAGCCCTTCCCGATACGCCTGTACCTCCGCCTCCGACATGGCACTACTTTTCGGCACTTCCTTGTATATGCGGACCATAGTCACGCGTACGGCTAATACTATCGCCACTAATAGTATAGCGCCAGACACCGTGTTTAGGTTAATCCAAGTCCAGATCGATGGTCCATGATAAAAGCGGAAACCTCTCGGTTGCGGAATCTGTTCCCTCTCCAGAGGCGAAAACAGCACTACGGCGCTAAAAAAAGTTGCACATGTCAAAACCACCAATATAGCCGCTTCCACGTTGTGGGCATTATGCAAACACCGAATTAGATTCAGATAAAACACCAGAGCAAAAGCCGACACAAATAAACCGAGCACAAAACGTTCTCCATCCGAAAACTTCATGATGATCTAGGGAACGGCCGGACAGATTACGGGAATGGTCGTGATGGGTACTATTGCCTGTGCTTACTTCTGGAATTAACCAAACACGGAAGCTGCTAATCAGTTGGTCAATGGCGGTCGATCCAATTGCAAATGCAAATATAGATTGAAGAATGGAAATACTGAAGAATGCAAATATAAGATTTCGGTGAAAATTTAAGTATTTTCAAAAGAAATGGTAAACTGCAATTATAGGAAACCTTATCTATCACGACTGATAAGGGAACCCTATCGAAAAAATTTACGTTAGTTGATAGGTGTCGGCGATTCACCGCTTGGTTGTTGTTTTGAGACCTTGACTTACATCGCCATACCGTCGACTTCAGAACCACCGACCGTGGATTCGTTGAAGGACAGAGATGGAAGAGTGCCCCGCTTCCGGTCTAGTATTACAATGACAAAACATACAAAAAGATTTACTGTTAAACAGCTTTCCGCTTTCGTCAGTAAATTCTGGTTTTGTGTTTACCGATTACGATGAAAAAAAACTGCACTGTTCTGCTTTGCGAAAGCGTCATGTAATGTATTGGACTATTTAACTGGAGCCCCTTAATTTTATTAGAACATAAGTCAAATTATCGCAAATTATTATTTTTAACATAAGAGCAAATTATTATTTTTAATTTTTTTAAATTTTTTATCGCCAGTGCAGTCTGCAATGTTTATGCAGTCAAACTTTGATTTCCAAAAATTTTAGTGATCCAGATCAGCTGCTGTTTTTTAATCCGGATTGATTTGCTTTTTATTGCACCGTTGATGTAGTCATTACTTTGATTACTAAGTGTTGATAATAATGACGTTATTTATCGCGGTTAACCGTTGAGTTGTGATCTTGAAGCTCGTGGCTGGTATTGTTCCTGCAGACATAATCCTGTAGTCTCGGAACCACATGTGCAGCCTCCATCGACCAACAGTGCCACCCAGTTTGTCAGCTTTTCCCTGAGTGAAAACGATCACGGAGAGGCTGACTCACAGGAAAAATGGAAAGAAGTGTGGCGATGTCGGACATCCGCACCGGTGGCTCATCTGGAGTTTTCTCCCGATGGACGATTTTTCGCTTCTGTCGCAAAAGGCGACAGGCTAGTGAAGGTGTGGTATCGCAATTCGCAACCCGGCAACCGGAAAGTAATTTTGCCTTCTCAGGGAGCCCAGTTTTATGCGGACGGGGACGATGAAAAGCGCGAATATTCATTCGTTTACCTACCTCATCCCCGAGCTGTGACCAGCTTTTCGTGGCGAAAGACGAATCGCTATATGCGTCGGTAATTAGATGAGTACGTAATAAACTGACAACACCGCTTGTTCCTTAATTCTGTGTATTAACAGTTAGAAGTATACCGTAGTGTGTGTGATTAAACATCTCTTCATAAAACTGCAACATTAATTTCCGTTTACTTAATTGAAACTTCAAATCAGTTGTGGATTTATCATATCAAAGTTTAATCGCTTGATGATTATGCAGGGGAGCTGTAGCTAACATGCTATTGACTTCGTGTCTGGATAACATCTGTCGTCTCTGGGTTGAGACAATGCTGCCCGATGACGGTCTGCTGAACATGCAACATCTGGATCCACTGGTTACCCAGAATCCGAAATACGGCCAACACCGGCATAAACGGCGTCTGGTGGAGCGCCTACAACATATGCGCAAGTCTTTCAGAAGAGCCCGCACCCAGGGCCAGCACGACCAGCAGCCCAGCTCGACGGGAGTGCCATCCAGTGGCACCGGCAATACATTGGCCGTCAAGAAAGAACCTGTCCCCACTCTGCCGAGTTCGTACAGTGTGCATGATTTTCACAAAGTGGGCGTGCACGGTACCGGTGTATCGCCAGAGTGTCACTTCCATTTGGCAGCCAGCATCAATGCTTATGCCGACACAGACATTCCTCTGGTGCCCTTGTTCAGTTCGGGATCTTTGCGGAATTCCTTGGCCGATGCGATTGTATATGTATTTGGCAGCGGGAGTGATCGGTCTGCCGATGAAATCTCATTTTCGTGCACTGATGATGGAGAACACATCATGTTGCGGTCTGGAAATTCGGATAAACTGCGTTTGTGCGCGTGTGTTAACCTTTCGTAACTTTCCATGACCTTGAAATGAAACTTCCATCCACCACTGTTTAAAATAAGCCTAATTAAATATAAGCACTATCAAAAGATTAGTTAATTTTAACGCGATAGTAACAATTTTTACAGTAATAAAACAACAGTGCACTTCATACTTTTGGAAATGTCAAAATAAAATGTATGCAGACAGAACCGCTGCAACCGGCGTCGAGGTATAATTATTATGCTGAACATTCACATAATTTAAATGTTAGTAATAAATCTAGTCGCCAACTTGATTAAACAGTTGACTAAACCGGTTATACAAGGTGTCGCCGTAAACTGGAGCAGAGGCGGCGTGCCGACAAAAAGCAACTTGGTGAGAAAAAATTATCGGTTACCGCATTTCTGCCTCTGCGGATTGAGTAAACCAACTTATTGCTCTTATGTTCATAACAGCAGACAGCAAACTGCGTACAGAGTGGTATAGAGCGAGAGAATCCAGATACACATACGTAATCTTCGGCATGGCAAAACGGAAACCTGGCAAGAACACAAGGGCAAGAATGTTAGCAAATATGACAGGAAGTAATTTTTACTTATTACTTTCGCACCGGTCACTAACTCCGCTAATGAATTCTGTCCAAACCCAATCTAAAGTAAACGACGAGTACCAACTATATCAAGATCAGAAATAAATGCACTTAAATAATCGAATATGTAATACTTACAATTAATTTGTTAATTTCGAAAACCATTTGACCATGTCGGAAATCTGCGGCCTATAATATGTATGTAACCTTTAAAAATAGTTACGTTTGTACAAAAACTATCTCTTGAGCACAGGACAGTTTATGGGTAACAAAATAAAATACAGTCTGTACAGGCGACATGTCTGGAGTAATACCTGCTTGTACACAAACGATAACGAAAATTACACCAGGTAAATACTTTGTATTTGCTCACAATCAGCCCTCAAAAAACTATCACAGAGAGATTAAAGAACACAAACTTTGCAAAGGATTGCTTCAAAAAACACTCAAGGATTTTCTATCCTTTTGCTTGTTGAGATCTTGAAATATGGTATTCTGTTTCCTCCGGAGCAACATTAATTCCTGCTCTTTCCCAGAGATTTTTTCAGCAATCATACTTGCGGCTTTTTTATCACTAAAACGAAAACGGTCGTCTTACCAATCGATTTGTTTTATTCCGCTGGATGTTTAAAATCGGCCACAAAGACCAAAGTCACTTACGTTGTCTGGTTTCGCGAAAATGAAGTCCGAAGCCGGACCAGCTCCTTTTCCAGAGCACTGATTTTATCCTGAAGTTTCATCAGCTACGATAAGATTTTGTTGACACACATATCCACTCAGACAGTGAACAGAATGATGTATTCACCTCAACATTTTGTTCTTTGGCATTTTTTATCTTGTTGGAATTCTTGTCGACCGGCTGTGTGTCGGCGTGCGGCGTTGTATTGCGGCGATGAAGTTTCATCTGTTCATTGATGACAGAAAATACGTCAGCTTTGGGACTGGGATTCTGCTTCTGCTGTGCATTCTTCCGTTTGTTGACCTTCCGCAGCTTTTCGCCAACCTTGGGAAGTTCCTTCTGTTCGCGGAGATCCATACAGTAATCAAGTGTGCGACCTACTTACCACACAAACACCACTTAGTCACATAAGCACCAAACGACACAGAATGCGCTTTATACATTTAAAAACAATCCCACCTTGTGGATAAACTTGGGCGATCACTGGTTCTATTCTACCCTCCGCGCGGCTTCCCAACCCTGTACTGTATGTAAAGTGTGAGTATCCGTGTGTAAATAACGACAAGGGGTTTCACTTACCCGACTACGAACCCCATTCGCGCCATGATCTTAGACGCAACTCCCTGAAACAGCGCAACTTAATCATCGAAAACAATGCAGAAACAAAACAACAAATACAAAATTAAATAAATGATCAACAAATTTAGAAAAAAAAAGAAGCAACAGTGTAATCTCGGACCTTCGTATGCGCTTCCCATTCTCCGAAACCAGACCCCACTTGCTGCACTGATTGGTCCCATGCGGAATGCGGGATGAACTCTTCTTCATCATCCAAATCGCTAAGCTTTTCCATCAGTTTCGGCTAAAATACACCAAATTTTCGTTGTCGCAAAGCGAATCCTGGCAGTCGGAATTATACGCGCACCCGGTTTCGTGCTATCCCAGTTTTCCGGAATAATATCTTTCAGATCCGTAACCATGTTATCGTTTTTTCCGTTTAATCTTAACCGTAATTTGTGGCTCTGCGGAAGAGTCTCCGTCTGATTGGTGAAGTTCCGTTACTACTCCGCGTTCCCAGATTCCTTCGCTGTTCCGGCACAGAATTTGATTTCCGACAGCCAGCGAACTGAAACGTACAGATGGTACAGTTATCAAAAATGCGAATTTTTTAGTTGATTGAAAAATACAAACAAGAACTTCAGAAACACAAATTCTAAAATATTTACAACAGTGTAAATTACCCCGTACTCGGTTCACACGGTATAGCGTTCAAATATTCACATGATCATTCAAAATTTTAAGAGAAACCTGATTCAAGAAGAATTATATTCCAAATGCGCAATTTTTGGACACAATGGTTACCTGAAGTCTGGCGGTTCATACGGTTTCAGACTAGATAACGGATACACTTCACCGTGCGAAAACCGGCATTCATCCGCCGGAAACCGGCAGCGTCCATCCAGAAAGTATGGGCATGTCATCATTTTCCGATGCGTCGGTTGCAGAAATAGTACTCGAACGTGAACTTCCTCCACATCGTCGGAGAGGGGAGACGATTCCATGGACTGCACCATGGCACTGCTGTAGATCAGCTGCCCCCAGCTATGCTGAAACGGCACGCGACACTGCATGTGCAGGAGCGAATTCGCTAGCTCTTGCTCTTCTGCCGACCACTCCGGGGCGTCGACTTCGTCCACATTTTCAGGCTTTTCCGTCACCGTATCCCTTTCAGCTTCTGGTTCTGCACTAGTCTCTTCCTGTTCCAAAGACGACGGATCAGAAACGGGATTGTCTCCTATTTCAACAATGCGAAGTGTGACAGCGGATGTAACGTAAACGAAGGATTTGGTACTGACCGCCTGAGAGACTGATCAGTTCGTTCAACGAATCCAATAATTCCCTTAAACTTTCCGCGCCTTCCGCATCAGGATCCGCTGCTAGTACAGCAGCAACCTGATCCCTCTGGAATCACATGGAATTTACATAACACAAAAGAAGATTCGGACGACAGAAACCTTCTGATTTGGGAATACCGAAGCTTACAAGCGAGCTGTTACCATGCTGGACATCCCAACTGCATTGCACATACCTGGGCACGATAGGCTTCTAGGTTTTCCGCCATGCCAGAGAAAACCGATTTCATAAATTCATATCACACAACAAGCGAATTATTCTGTAGCCAGACAAACACCAACAATCAATAGAATTTGAAACGGAATACAAAAAAGTAGAAATAGTCTACAATGAATCAACACCAGATATTCGAAAAGGGACACCAATACCAAACGGTTTTTTTTCGCAGACTCATAAGCATCCGCCTACAAGAAGCGACTATCTGCGGTTCCACTTCCGCTTCCGGGCAGAATCCTGGCCAACTTTAAACCGCCATACGTCAGCGGATGGCAAAAAGTACAGAGATTTTGATAGCTTTCGCCATACTTTTTTTTGCATTTACGGGCTGAAATGAAAGTGAACCGTGATCAGGCAGATTTATTCCTGCTTCCGAAAATTTTAGGAGTTAAAAATTTGCACGTTGAATTGAAAGATAAGCAAACAAATACTTTCAAAATGCTTACGTCAGATGAGAGATTCTGAAATCGGAACCATGAGGCTCAAAAGTTAGGCACCACTCGCAAGTTTAACTGGCGTCCGTAGTTTTCTGTTCTGCGTTCCGAAGGCGTTATGTATCGAAGCCCATTAATTTTATCGCCTGTGCAATGTGCATGCAGTCGAACGAAGATAAGTCATAAGCTGATTTCCAAAAATTTTAGTGATCCAGATCAGTTGCTGCGTTTTAATCTGGATTGATTTGCTTTTTGTTGCATCGTTAATATAGTTATTACTCCGACTATTAAATGTTGATAAGGGCGTTATTTATCGCGGTGAACCGTTGTGGGATCACTGGGTGATGGTTTTGCGTTCATCTTGGAACTCGTGGCTGGTATTGTTCATGCAGACATATTTTCATTGTGGATTTTGCATGCAGGGTGGTACTGTTGTCATCCATGGCCGTGCTGATGTGATTTTCTCACCCCGGGAATGAATCGCCATCAAGTGATCACCGGAGCGGTGAATTCCGGTGATCACTGCTATTCCGTGGGAACCGTAGAAGGGGTTAACTTCACGGTAAGTCCATGGAATGCGCAGCTTTCGATGATTTGGCAGCAGTGCTAATGAAATTCTTCAACAACTGGAACTGGTTGTGTTTTGTTGATGTTGTGCAATCACATGATAGTACCATTTGGTAGGATCTGGAATTAAAAAACTTCCAAACTTCATTCTGTTCCAGTTTCTGTTCAAGTGTAGCACGTAATCAATTAGCAAGTTAATAAGTGTTTTCAGTTTTGCAGTATGCTGGACACTGCTTTTAGGCAGTTGCTGATCTGCATACAATGTTTACAACTTGGAGAAATTCTCGTGCAATTGTGAATTTAAATATGAATTGTATTAAAATTTTTCCCTGTACATGTTTTCTCCTGGAAATAATTTAACTTGTTCTTTTGAAATGTGTAATTTGTGGATGTATTAACGTAGTTGTGTCACTTGCGTGTTGTTTAGTTAGGATTTTTTGCATTCTTAGAAATTTCGGTTAGCCTTGAAACTTGGGTTTGGGGGAGACCTTCCTTTCAATCGATGCACTTATCCATTGCTAGCAGAAGTAAAAAGTCTACAGAAGCTTCGAGGCCGTAATATTTTACTGCGAAAGAAATAGTCGTAAAAGTCGAGTCGTTATTAGAAACATTGCGGTTGTGAGTTTCCTCGATTTCGATTGTCGTGCAAACTGGCTTCGTTATCGTTTTTAATGCGATTGATCCAGGCTCTTGCGTGTTTCAGTCGCTCAATCCTTACAGAAATTTTCGCAATCAGGCTGCGTATTTATAGTCAAAACGTTTTAATTGTTGTCGTGACTGTTTGGCCAGTCAAAAGATCGAGATTTGGCTTCGTTGGCGTTTTTCAGGTGTTTTAATCGCAAATCATTTGAATGCAGTTGTCCTGCTTTTCCTTACTGATAAGCCATAGTATTCTTAAGAAATTATAGTTTTCTTGTTTGGTGCATAATAATAATAGTATAATACCATTAATATGCGTAGGCAACCGTAAGCACCGAGGACAATACAAATTGTTAAAAATAAGTGCAGTATGATTTAATTCTTTTCCACAAATATTTACCTTCTTTAACCACGTTAAGCTAATGCTAGTTTGTTAATGCGATCTTGAAGGTTGGCTAAAGCCGCTTTAAAATCCTGCTTCTATTCCGTAAAATTGTCTGGGCGTCTGAATACTTGAAGATATGCGCGAAAGGGTTGTGCAAAACCAGAATAATGCATCCCTAGACCAGACTGGCAGTGCAAAAAGTAGGCTGATATGGGAATGGGGGTGTATGGCCCTTTTTGTCTATGAGATAGCAATCTGGTGGGGTTGATCGATTGAGCGTTAAACGCAAGAATTTAGTGGCATAGCCGGGAAGTCTGGGGCCGTGCTACCAGGGCTGCACTCCATCATCTTGTTAATTACTACGATCCCGCATCGCCGCATAAAGAGTGGATCCTGTTTATAACGATCAGACGCACTTGCGCTGGATAATCCGTGTGTGTAGTCGCTGACGGAGACATCAAACATTTTAATGAATAGCGCGTGCTCTATTGCTTATGAATCCCGTCGACATCCTTTTTTTCCCGCGTCGTGTAGACCAAGCGCCGCATCATGAATATACATATGCGCATGAATGCGATATGGCCGTGTACACGCGCCTATACATGCCTTTTTCATTGCTTTGCAGGCCTATGCGACGGGATGTGATGTGGTAATATTGTCGAGTGATTTCCAACGCGTGCAAATAATTTCTGGCAGCAGCCATGGACATGTGCAAGTTACCTGTATCGATTGCTCATCGGACACCGGCAAGATTGCGGCATGTTACGGGAACAAAGTTTATATTTACGAACCGGTGCCAATTTTCCATCGTGTTAGCTCCCATCGGTTGGATTACCAGTGGATCGAAACAAATGTTCTGATTTGTGATTCGGTCATAACTGCACTTTCCTGGAATCAGGAAGGTAAACTGGCATCCTGGGACGTCTTGTGTTTATCCTTCGACTGCGATATTATCATGTCTGTTATGTTTCAGCATATTATTATTATCTTGTATAAATATTAAAATTTATGTTTATAATTTTTATATATTTCTTAGGGCACGAACGGCTTTGGTGTTATTTATGTATCGTTAGCATTTTCAGCTTTTTTATTACAATTTAGGCACCCGATTGTTAACGGGAGGACGATGGATACAGTTATGGGCCAGTCCTGTAGTCTCGGAACCACATGTACAGCCTCCATCGACCAACAGTGCCTCCCAGTTTGTCAGCTTTTCCCTGGGTGAAAACGATCACGGTGAGGGTGACTCACAGGAAAAATGGAAAGAAGTGTGGCGGTGTCGGACATCTGCACCGGTGGCTCATCTGGAGTTTTCTCCCGATGGACGATTTTTCGCTTCTGTCGCCAAAGGCGACAGGCTAGTGAAAGTGTGGTATCGCAGCCGGAAAGTAATTCTGCCTTCTCAGGGAGCCCAGTTTTATGCAGACGGGGACGATGAAAAGCGCGAATATTCATTCGTTTACCTACCTCATCCCCGAGCTGTGACCAGCTTTTCGTGGCGAAAGACCAGTCGCTATATGCCTCGGTAATCGATAATAATTTGAAAAGTACTCATTTCATAATTTGCTGTATTGACTTTCGAACAGTTTCGATGTGTTTATGTATTTTTGTGGATTACGATAATAATTTCCATGTACTTTCAAGTTTGTTGAAGCATTGTGGATTTATCATATCGAAGTTTAATTGTTTAACGATTATGCAGGGGAGCGGTAGCCAACATGCTGTTGACTTCATGCCTGGATAACATCTGTCGTCTCTGGGTTGAGACAATGCTACCCGACGACGGTCTGCTGAACATGCAACATCTGGATCCACTGGTTACCCAGAATCCGAAATACGGCCAACACCGGCATAAACGGCGTCTGGTGGAGCGCCTACGACATATGCGCAAGTCTTTCAGAAGAGCCCGCACCCAGGGCCAGCACGACCAGCAGCCCAGCTCGACGGGAGTGCCATCCAGTGGCACCGGCAATACATTGGCCGTCAAGAAAGAACCTGTCCCCACTCTGCCGAGTTCGTACAGTGTGCATGATTTTCACAAAGTGGGCGTGCACGGTACCGGTGTATCGCCGGAATGTCACTTCCATTTGGCGGCCAGTATCAATGCCGACACCGACATTCCTCTGGTGCCCTTGCTCAGTTCGGGATCGGGAGAGCCGTTGAGCTTTGTTATTCATTGGTTGAATAATAAGGATATGCATTTCACCTGGCAGGCGGAGAATCTTTTACACGATTTATGCAAGAAAGCCTTGCGCTCGGAGCGACATGACGATCTGACGGACCATCGAGCCGCCTCACCGGATCCGTTGGAATTCGAGGAAGAGCAGGAGGATGCGGAACTGGGTCCCACACCCAACGGGCAGCTACCCCAGACCATGCCGTCAAAGTCCAAGAAGTCGGAAAAATCTATGAATAAATTCAGCAGTTTGAGGAAGAAGCTCCCGAAAATGGGACAGCGCACCAAGTCGTTTGATTTGCTGGACGAAGATGTCGTTAGTGTGACAAGCAGCCATCGCGAGCGGGGTTCCTTGCAGCCGCAGCCCAGTGTTATCGGGTCAACAGCAGAGTCACAGGGAAGTGCACCCGGCGATACTCTGGATCGAGAAATTGAAAATCTAGTCAGAAACTGGCATCACAGCGCCGATCTGCTGTTCAGCATTCACCCCTTGGATGGGAGTTTTTTGGTCTGGGTGGTGGAATGGCTGGATGAAGAGTATCCGGGAGCGTTTCGGCAGCCACAAGTTAGTTTCTCGGCCCGTATCCCCAATGCGCTGCCGCTAGGGGATTCCGTCACTACTTGCTGCAACCTGGAAGTGTATTCCACTCATTCTGCATTCCTTGACCTATACTCCATGATAAAATTAACAGATGACAAAAGTTCGGTGTATCAGCACGCCAATGATGAGCCGCCGATTGTGTCGATGATATCCTGTCACCAGAATGGATCGTTGAATTTGTGGCGTATTAATTTCTCGGATGTGACCGAGTTTTCCGCTGTGGTCAGCGTCGGGCACGAATCCCGCATCTGCGGTCATCGTTTCCGTGTTAACGACATGGTTAGTCATCCGGTGCTTCCTCTCTTGCTCACCACCAGCCACCATAACGAATCAAGCGGCAAGCCCAAAACACCGGCTGCTGGTCGAAAAATGAGCCAGGCGTTGCTGAACTTCACACTGGGAAAAGGATTTTGTAGTGAGCTAATTCTGTGGAAAGTCGAGCCGGTTGGCCCATTGTCGAAATCCGGAGGAGTCACGGAGTTGGCCCGCATCAATTCGGCGGCTTTGAGTGCATTCTCCAGTTGTGCCTGGCTGCCGACGTTGCTGCCGGGATGGACGCTGGGTAATCTGTCGCAGACACCCAGTGCGTGTTTTGTGGCATCGGATGGTGTCAGTCTTCGTTTGTACCAAGCTGTGATCGATGCGCAGTTGCTGCTGGCCGAAATGTATGCTTCGCTCCGGAAACCGAGCGTGGTAAGTTGTTTATTGCTGAATTACTTATTTACTGTACAGCTAGGACATAGATAAATCGTATTACTTAATCTATTTTCTGTTGTAAAAATTGTTGGTTTTATGAAGTAGTCAAATTGTTTCCATTAGGCTCGAAGCGAATCCACTGTAAGCAATGCATCATCAGCCGGTCAAAGCCTACCCGAAGAGCAGATGGACATGTTTAACATTGTTAGTCTTCAATCCAGCGCACGTCCCGGCTGCATTTTGGCTCTAGATCATGTTAATGAAGCAAAGCATGTAAGTACTGTACCAATTACCAATGACGATATGGTAGTTGTTAGATTTGGTAGTTGTTGGGTTGATTTAATTTGTTGTCAAAATTTAGGATTGGCAAAATACACAATTTCTTCATATTTTCCATGAGCACGTGTTGCGTGGTAAAACTTCGGATTCAAATGCGCGCAACCTGGAAGCTGTGGTGGACCTAACGAATCTCAGTAATTTTGAGGAATATTTCTACCTGACTGTGTTAGAAAAGAACCCCCGCGGCGGCTCCATTATGCACATGTGGTCCATTGCTTTGTCATCCAAACCGAATCAAGACGACGATGACCAAGAGGCCATGTCCGGCGAGGAAGCCGACGAAGATGACGTCCCTTTGGACGATTCAAAAATGATGTCCAGTACGAAACTGTCACCTTCCAATCTGAAGATCCTCACATCCAAAGTCTGCTGCCAGCAGCTGCCCCTGCCGGCCGACATCGAAGTGGTCAGTGCTACCGCCGCCGCTGGCCATCTGAGTTCATCCGCCATCTATCCAGCGTGCTATGCTCCGTACTCCATTGCCACCGCGTGTTCGGACGGGACTATCCGATTCTGGCGCTGTCAGATCGAAGAGCCGGAGGGTCGCGTGCGATCGTATTTCTGGGAGGAATGGCGGATGATGCTGGGTCATACCAGCTGTTTGACCGTTCCGGGGAAAATTCTCGGCCTGAGCTGTGCCTATAGTGCGCGCATTGCGTGTGCGTTCAAAGCTAGTGTTGACCATATTCGCCACGATCGAGATGAACCGCAGTACAACATGAGTGTGGCGATTTTCGAATGCGAATCGACCGGCGGGTCCGAATGGGTGCAGGAAGATAAGATCGCCATACGCGGTGTGCATTTCGCCCAGACAGCGTCACCGGTGCCTGATCCTGAGGATACCCTTATGGCGATTCGGCGGGAGAAAAGAAGTATGGATAACTTGTCGCGTTTGATGGGAATGCATGAAGGTTTGCTGCCGCCTGCACCGTACGTTAATCCGTTTAAGTTGTCCAATTCGGAAACGAAGATTTCTCAGAAGCCTTGGCAGTCGGTGTCATTGGACTGGGTATCAATGGAAGATGGATCGCATGTGTTGACTGTGGGGTTGGGATGTCAGATCATGATTTTCGCAGCGGTTAGTAATGATATCGCGCAGGAAAATATGAAGGCCATGGCAGAAACTGTTCCTAACACCAAACGATCGGTTTTGCGACAAGCAAGTAGCTTTGCGCTACCGGCCCAGAAAGGTTAGCTGATTTTCAAACGCAAATTTTAAATTCTGTCCGATGTCGAAGAAATGTTTCACGGTTGCAGACGTATTAATAATTTAGTTTTAATGTAATTTTTGTTGTTCTTTAGGAATTTATCGATGGATGCGTCTTAGGCTAATTACTCTAGACCAACAAGACGGCGCCCCAGCACTTCCCAATCAAATGGCATGGGTGCGCACCGGTTTATTGGTGCTGGGCATGGACAATGAAATGTACGTGTATTCACAATGGCGAAAATCACTTGACGCCAGTCATCCCGATATGTCAGATGCACGATGCCTGTCTGATTACAATTTAATACGATTGAACGCTTCTCCGAGCCGGATGAAAATCAACAAAACAATCCCATCACTGATGTCTGTGGAACATTTGAAGAAGATGAAATCACGAAAAACCATGACCCAGATGAGTCACATCAGTAAGCGTACCAATATACTGCAAGACACGTTCGTGATGGACCGCGGATTGTTCGAAGCGGCTAGGATTGCTTCGCCGGTACTTCCACAGTACCATCCAAAACAACTGATGGAGCTGTTGAATTTTGGTCGTCTCCGTCGTGTGCAGGCTATTTTGGCGCATTTGCTGCGGTGCATCAAAAGTGCGCTGCCGTCGAGCGATGATGGCAACGACTTCCCAGTGGAGGACCAAGAAAATGGTCGTCGATCGAGTTTGTCGAGGCAGCTGTCCATGAGTCGTCGCAAATCAGTAGTGCTGTCACCTGGCTCGCTGGGCGATGCCCCGAACAAGCCTAAGGAAGAAATCACGCTAGATTATATCGAAATCGACTCCATATCACCGCTGCCGCTCTTCGCCCTTCTGGAGGCTGATCATTATGTTGGGAAACGCGGTGATGAAGACGAAAATTATGATGCGTTGTTTAATGCAGAAAATGAAAACGGTAAACCGTTTTTTCGGTGTTGTTTTTAGTTGGTTTTTAAGTTTCTGTAAATGGTCTTCAGGTTTTTGATAATTTTTGTAGGAGATGAAGCCACTTTGGACGATATTCTGGATGATGAGGACGGTACGGAAGAGCAAACAAGGAAGAAGCGCACCGGGGCACGACGGGATCCGTCCGATATATACGCCTTCCATCCTAACGATGCACGCGAATTGGTCCACCATTTAACCCATATGCACCTTCCCGGCTTGTCCAGCTTAGATCAGATGCATTTATTGGCCTTGGCAGACACGGTTGCGAACTGCAGTGGTACGCTGATTCTGGATACGGAAGACGATGCCGCACATGCACCACCTACCCCGGAAAATGTCGATTCGTGTGGTTTGCGTTATTTATTGGCTGTTCGCCAGCATGTCTACCTTCTGCGCTGTCTACCGCTGAAACAGCGGGCCGCCATCCAGAAACAGGGCATCGAATCGCGATACATTGCGTGGGCATTCCATTCGGAGAATCAGCAAGAACTGTTGAACGCCGTCCAGAACATTGTCCACGGCGAACTTAAGTGGTCGGATATCAAAGAACTGGGCATTGGTTGGTGGCTGCGGAGTAACGCGATTTTCAAAAACGTCATTGAACGTTTAGCGAAAAATGCCTATCAAGCCTCGCAAGAGCCCATGGATGCGGCGTTGTACTATCTGGCCATGAAGCGAAAACCGGTGCTGCATGCTTTGTTTAAAGTCGTCAAAGATCAAAAGATGATGGACTTCTTTTCCAATGATTTCACACAGGATCGCTGGCGCAAAGCGGCTTTGAAAAACGCCTTCGTATTGCTGGGGAAACAGCGGTTTGAGCATGCCGCGGCTTTTTTTATCCTGGGCAGCGCAGTGAAAGATGCGGTTGACATTATCCTGTCGAAGCTGGGCGATATGCAGCTGGCACTGATGGTTGTACGATTGTATGAAGAAGATGAATTTGGAATTATCAGTGAGAACCATGTACGGATTTTACAAGATCACGTTCTTGAGCCGTTGCACGAGGATATGGGCAGCACCGAGCCCGACCAAGTGGCTCCGTGCAATGATCCGTTCCTGCAGAGTATATCACACTGGACACTGCGGCAGTACTCCCAGTCACTGCAGGTCTTGTTGGCCGAAGAAGCCATGGACCTGACGATGACGACGGAAAATCACAGCATTTTCAACTTTTACGATTTCCTGCGCAATCATCCCATTGTCGTGCGACAAGTGCAGACATCCACAAAAGTCCACCGCAAGGATGAAATATCGTCCGTCGAGCGGAAGTTGTTCTTCAAAACCGCCCATGTTTATTTCCGCGCAGGCTGTCCACTGTTGGCGCTGGAGGTCTTGTGCAAACTGCCGGAATACTTTTACGATGAAGTGCCTGATCTGACCATCGATGTCAAAGGAATGAATGGATTGGATTCTGTGAAGGAGTCCGCGCCAGCCGCCGAACCGCAGACAGTCCAGGATTTCGATTGGGGGACCCCATCGGTGACGGTTGCCGCACCAAAAGAAGATAAACTTGAACTGTCGTGGGATGATGAAGAAAAGGAAGAGGACGAGGATGACGATGATCACTTAAGCGATCGGGGATCCGTGCTGGAATTTGGCTCCCCCAAACGCCGAATGAGCACTAGCAGTCCGCATCGGCGGGCCAGTATCCTCTCCAATGTGCAGGATCTGTCCAAACGGGTGGATATTATGGCGCAACAGTTGAAGTTTATTGCCGGCTTGAAAATTCTGATGGAAGAACTAGGGACATTAGCCACGGGATTTGAAGTGGATGGCGGTCAGCTGCGATTGATCTTATATATGTGGTTGGAGAAGGAAGTGGGCATTTTGAAACTGCTGTGCTACAAGAGCGGCGCAGCGTTGAACGAGAAACTGCGGGCCATCAAACCGATTGATGCGGAGAACGATGAGAGGATGATGTCAGGGGTCCACCATGAGCAGCTGGCGTTGCATGAAGCGCTGAAAGTGGACAACATGGATTTCGAGGCCAGGTTGGACAGGATGGCTCGGCGCAAAGCGTGGTTGAAGAGCAATCAGCAACTGCTGCGGTCATTGATTCACTTCTGCCAGATTTATGGCAGTAATGGCGGTGGCCTGGCATCGGTGTATATGGAGCTGACTTTACTCGCCCACGAATTATACCAAGGATCTCTGCAACAGCAGCAGCAACTACTGACACCGCTCCCGTTTCTTACGACACTGCCCCTTTTATCAGCATTTATTACGGGTAATTATTACCGTTTAGTTACCCGCTTTCGAAGTATTCTATTGTATTGTGCTTATTACTTATAATTCAATTATTTGTTGCAGGCCCGTTAACTATATCGAGCGATCCAGTGACGTACGTCAGCCGAATGTCCCATGATTTGCTGTACACACTAGCCGATAGGAAGGCACCACCTGCCGCACAGGAACCCATCACATCCATCTATGTCATTCGTGATCTGGCTTCCGCTCTGTCGTCCATTGTATACCAATCCTTATGCGAAGGGGACCAATTTCAAACCAAGAATTTCCATTCATCATCCGGTGCCTTGGAAGGTTTTGCGGCAACACTGCTGAATTCCGGTGGCTACATGTTTACGATGCAGCGGAAGCGCCGTAACACAATGATCGACGGCCGTCTTGTGCCGACCACACAGCCCAGCAAGTGGCCCGGCGTGCAGGCATTGCGTGCGCTGATGGCGCGGGAGCGAGATGAGAACGCACCGAAACTGCATGTTCTGCTGATGGAAACCTATATTGCGGTGTATATGTCCATGATCGTCACTGGCGTGGCGCTGCGCGATGTAAGCCTACTGTATCGTTTGGTCGGGGTTAATTTCAACGTGAAAACCTGGTCGTCTATATTTGGTGGGGGCGCCAAGAAGGTTATTCGGCGGTCCAGCTCCGATCGACGCCGATCATGTAAGATCAATGTCTTTTTTGCTTACAAATTTAAGTGAATCAAGTCTGTTGATTTTTAGTTGCCTCTACAAATAATGATTCCCGTGATCCTGCCAAACAGCGCAACCTGCTGAATGCCAAAGTGTTAGGTCATCTGCGGCCGAACAGCACCAGTCCACCGACCGCTCCTAGTACCGAAACCTCCGTAGCCACTACGACTTACCAGGAAGTGTTTGTGCCACCAGAAACCAGTATTCTGGCATCCATGCTGGCGAAACCCAATGTGGACACATCCGCTGATCCTCCGTTCTTTGATTACGATTCGGATGAATCCGTGCCCAGCGACGATGAAGATAATCCGCCAAGTGAAATCGAATTTGACGAGGAATCCAAACGGGCGGAGAGCGAACACTCGGATCCGAATTCGTACAGCTGGGCCATCGTCCGACTGGTTGTACTAAAAGCCGCTGCTAAAGTCATCCAGCAGGTGCTAACCACCGTTGCTGTCGAACAACAGGATTTGCCGGTGTTCTCCCCGGTATTACACACCACCCTGAAAATGTTGGACCACTGGCAGTTGGCGGCAATTCATGCGTTGGAAGAATTTGGCGCCGCTCCCGAAGGATTCATACCGCGAGCTTACGGAGGGTTTGGCGACACGGTCAGTGGGAAAAAGAATCCGTACGCCGTTTTATTGGATCCCAGTAACACGCCGTTCCAATCGGATCATCCGTCAGCATCACCGATGAAACGGTTGTGGAACTACCTAATTCACCAGGATTACCTCCAGGAAACTTTTGTCAAGTATATGTTCAAGCGACGTAAACCCGATCTGCCGTCGTTGGACACGCTTTCCGACCTGAATTCAGTGGATGAAGCAGCACCCAGGCCGATGCGGGATGCGATTCGCATTGTGCATAAGGACCAAGATATTGTCACGGCGTTTACCATCAATCATGCCAATCAGAATTTAATCGCACTGAGCACATCCAAGGAGATCCAGGAAATTAACATCGCTTCGTTACTAGATCCAGAAGGCTGGTTGCAGGACGAAAGTGAGTTTAATTTACTGACCATGAAGAATCAAGCGCTGGAAAAGACCGATCCCGAGTTCCTGGTCCTGCAGACACCGACGGATCAACCACCGGCCAACGCTCGTTCTACGGCCGCGTCATTGCTGCCGGGTGCCCAGGTGTCAACCCGGGGGGCTTACGTGGTAAGTGCTGCATGACAGTGCATGTCGAATGATTGCTCTGGCTGCGTGCTGTTGTGCTGTGGGTTTTACCGTTTGAAGTGTTGTGCACATTTTTGGTGACGGGCTAACCGGTAATCTGGTATTTTTGTCTTTCTCTTTCTCTGGACGCAGCTGAAGGGTTTTAACATGCCCGGTTTTACTAATCCACATTACGCTAATTTTGTGGTGGGACGTAGCGGTTATATGATGCAGAAGGTATGTTGAGCGGATGTGTGCTGACTTGACTGGATCTTGTTAACCTTTTCCAATAATAGCGTCACTAATCATGTATAGGTGATGGTGTACTTGAATTAACAATTGTCTCGAGGCATGGTAATCATTTTAATGAGGTCACTCTGCCCTGCTTTACAGCTGAATAAACGTCCCTATAAGGAAGTCCGGCGGCTGACATCCCATCCGATGTTACCGTATTATCTGAGCGGATCGGCCGATGGTAGTATTCGACTATGGGAATTTGGCCATCAGAAACAGTTGACTACGTTGCGCTCTACATCTAATATGGCGAAAATCAACCATCTGGAATTCTCCAGTCAAGGCAACAAATTTGCCGCGTGTGACGCGGACGGCGTGGTGTCGTTCTGGCAGCTGGGCACATCGTCCAGTAATGCGCCACCCTTCATTTCCCTGCAATGCCATAATAAGACCTGTTCGGCCTTCACCTTCCTGGGATCATCCTCGCTAATTGCCACCGCCGGGCATGCTTCAGAAAGTCGCAACGTAGCCATCTGGGATACACTGCTGCCGCCGCGTAAAGCCATGGTGGCCGCCTTCATCTGTCATGACACCGGAAGTTCCTCCCTGGTCTACGCATCGCAGCATAATCTGCTGATCACCTGCGGGAAGAAGGGTGATGTCTGTCTGTTTGATATGCGCCAGCGGCAACTGCGTCATAAATTCCAAGCCCATGAATCCGGTATCCGCGCCGTGGCACTGGATCCGACACAGGAGTATTTTGTCACCGGATCCGCAGAGGGCGATATTAAAGTGTGGGGTTTGTCGGTGCATAATTGTCTGGTTTCCTTACCGGAGGAGCATAAGAAGCAGTCGTTCTTCCGTAATTCCTCCAGCGGTGTCATGCAGTTGAGTATTGATGCGCAGAATCGCCTGTTCAGCTGCGGTGCGGATGGTTTCTTTAAGATTCGCACGCTTCAACCGCAGGACTACATTGTGCACACGCTGTGAGAGAGGGAAAGATGAAGTTTTTGTGTATCATCAGGTTTCTTTGTGAAAGACGTCTGTTTTGTGATATATTTGCATCATTGTCTGCTTTTGTTCATGACCAGTCGTTTTGAAGAATTTTTGGGACGCTGAAAAACCGTTACAAGAAATGGAATATGTACGCGGCATAATCTCGCATTCCTTACGGGATTCGTCGTTTGTGCGCAGGACGAATGCTCTCCCAGAAACCCAGTGCCGTCGCTGTTGTCGCTTTAATTGGTGTTTGTTTTGATTTATTCTTCTTTTATTGTGTTACGTGACGAAAAAAGGTTTTATTCTTTAGCCGTTTGAGTTGGATTCTTTATGTTTGATTTTTGTGGGATGCTGATAAAGTTATTTATTTCCGTGGGTGCATTAAATAAATTATTATGAATGAAGGCAGATGGAGCGTTGCGGTGCGTTTTGCGTTGTAAAAATACAGTTTCTTGATAAAAGTTTTCATAAATACGAAAACTTAAAAATTTTTCTATTTAAGTTTGGCTCGCGTCGCCGTGCCTAATTAAAATTTGTTTCCATTACTAATTTTCTGTAAGCAGTTTGCTTCTAAAAGTTAGTACCAAACTGTTCGTTTAGATTGGTCGGCTAATTTCGCTGCCTTGCTGTATTTTTTCGCTGCGTTCTGAAACGTATGTCCTTTTCGTGTTATGATAAACCGTGGTCAGCATTGAAAGCAACAGTTAACTAAAACTGAAGATAAAACGACCAGTTTAAGGAATGCAAATGTCAGAGTGTTGTGCGTAGTGCACAGGATATTGGCGTGTTCGCCTCACCATCACTGGATCGGCTCACCATTCGCCATTCTGCGCACATGCTAAAGCATGTTTTGCCATTCGGGTGCTAGCTACGGAACCGTCAACATCGATTCCTAGCATATTCGGATTTCATGCCCTTTTTCTGGCTAGATTTTGTGATTGCCCTTTGATTTCTATCGAAATAAAGGTTATTTCTCGAGGAGATGTTGTTTCCGTTGTCGTTTCTCTGTACAGCGTAGACGCTTCTCCGAGATGGTGGAGATGCCTTAAGATCCTCGTCATTCCCTTAGTCTTTTGCACTCGATAACGGCGTTCACTCAAACACGCCGCGACCCGGAAGTTTCCTCTCTTCGGACGGAGACCTCGGCCTACCAGTGATAGCCAGCAACGAACAGCAGAAGTAGGAAAACCTCCCACAGAACTGAAGCACGGAGCGTCGCTGGTTCGGAAGGCACGCGGCCGCCAGCAAGGAGAAGAACCCAGGAACATTACGATATTGTAAGCATACTGTGTTACACAGTACGAATACGATATGTAGATTATTTCTACGGTAAAATAGGAGATTCAAACCGTAATATACCCCACGAGTTTTCCCGTATAAGGGAGAAGAGAAAAAACCTGGTGAGGTTACCGATATAGACCGTTTGAAATGGGGATTATTTCCCGTGAATTGCCTTCGCCATGAGCTGATAGCGATAACCGAACAATCGCAGTGATATTTGAATAATTGTTCCTATATTCCTTTTAATGATGACGGAACCACCAGTAATTGTTGTTTTTCTGCATCCTTTAAACCCGTATATCGATGACATTTTAGTTGTGACGGAACGACCGTTCCGCAAACGAAAAAGTCAAAGCACTCGCTGATTATATCAGCAGATATTTTCTCCGAAAGACAGGAAAGGAGAACAATAGAGCCGAGCCGAGCAGGCTATTTATAGCCGCCCAGGCCAGGAAATTATCTGCAGACTGCAAGGCAGCGACGCATTAAAATGCATTGACCTACAATGCAGTACATTGCACATATAGTGTAGAAAACCTATTTCGAAATAAGTTTAGAATTCAACTTTGAATTCTACCGTCTGAGTTTTGACGGCATAATGCCCGTAAATCGTTCACCAGTAAGGAAACAACCAGCCATCGACAGGCTGAAGCAAGGCGTAGAAGACGTATTAAAATCTGCCAGTAAAGTACTGAAAGGAATAACCGACGAACCAGCAAAGGCTGGCACGAGTGATATTGCACAACAAGACAAAGTCACCCGCAGTAAGACGAACCAGCTGAAGGGGGCAGGTGTGGAAATCACCCACAAAGTCCTCGAGGATAAACCTCGTAAACCGAGAAAAGCTACCGTAATGGATCAGGGAGATAATCTCCTTGATACACCATTAATGCAGCCACCGGAACAGTTGTTTTTCCGGCCGCTAACTCCCGAGAAAAGTCGACAGGTTAATCCCGATAATCGGGAAGAAGTACAGGCACCTGCGCCAGAGCGATCTGAGAGCACTACCGAATCAACGGCCACAACAGGGTCGTTTTCTCAAGTGAGTGAAAGCGAACTGAATAAATCCGCAACGACGGAAGAGGAGGAAGAACCTGTGACAGTTATACCGACTACCTTGCGTAAATCACAATCGTATACAGCTAACTTGAATGAATTGTTAAGTTCAGCGGCTAAGCCGGCAACAGGTTCCAGTATCGTGGAATTAAAACAGGCAACTGAAACCATTTCAGCAAATCAGGTGCTGATTAGAGATTTACAGCGAAAGCTAGAAGTAGCAGAGGACGAAGTCCAACATCATAAAAATCAGTATAGACATGCCCATAGTTCGTTTAAGAATATGGAGAAGATCGTATTGGGCCTACGGGCCGTAATAGGCGAAAGGGACGCGGCGATCGCCGAGTTAAAGGAAAGAGCAGACGAATTGCGCGCCAAGAATTCCGATATAAATCAGCAATTAGCTGAAAAAGACATAGCCTTGGATCAGACCTGGAAGGAACACCAAAGGATGAAAACTGATAATTTTCACCAAAAAGGGGAAATTTCCCATCTCCAGTCTATGTTGCACGAAAGTCAGACCGAACATAAGTCCCTAATTGGGAAATTTAATTCTCTGGCAAAAGACTACCGAGTATTGTATGATCGGCAGATGAATCCGGAAGCCGTAGAATACGGCGAGCGACCGCTCAGTAGGGCATATGCCGCAAATACTGAAGAGTCGCAGGTGTCTCGGGCACAGCATACACCCTCGGCAATGAACGAGAGTGGTTCCCGGGAAATGCCGAGTGCAGACAAACAGCAGTTTATCCGCAGTATTTTGCGGGAAGAAACAGATCCAGTAATAGTGGCGTCATACGCCGAATATGAACTCTTGTTGCGAAGTAATCGGGAACGCGACCTGGCATCATACAGGCATTCTTTGGCAGCAACAGCTGCACAACCAGAGGAAATAGCTGCAGTTGATCAACTGCATATTACACCGCCAGCAGAGAGGATGGCAAAGGCCATAATAGCACGTGCAAAAGCACAGAACGATGCGGCAGAAGCTTCGAAGGAAGTTGAGGAAGTCCCTTATGAGTCAATCGTGAAGAAACCTGTTAAATCACCTGCAAAAGCAGGAGTAGAGACAGCGTTGAAGGCAAAGCCTAAACGGAGTAAATCACCGCAACCACCGGCAGACGCTGATGAGCGATTAGCCAAGTTAATCGCCGACCATGAACGGCAAGAGGCCAGAGATCGACAGCGTTGGGGGCAGTCCTTCGTAATGGAAGGTCCGTTTGCTCCAACAAAGTCAAAAGGGAAAGAACTACGTGTAGTTACGATACCGCAGCATGTCTTAGAGACACCACAGGATCTGAAACCAGTTCGGCCACAGTTGCAAGTGCAACCGCCCCCGGCGTTCTGGAAAGAAACTGGTTTAAAACCAGCCATAATTAGGTTCCCTACGCCTATGGGAGTGGTGCAAGCACCGATCGAACACCAGCAAACGGCTGGAATAGTCAAACGGGCTATTGACCCAGTTAAAATCAAGCAGGAGCAGAGTTATATCATCCCGAAATTATCGGGATCGCGAACACCGTCACCAGCTGTATCAGCAATATGCAGTAGGACACACCCGCATCGGGTGCAAAGTAAATCAACCTCGCCAGGCGAGGAGGATAAAAAGCGGAAGTTAGAAGACGAGAAGGAGGAGACGCAACGGCGTGTAGTCCAAGTTAGGGACAAGCTGAGACATCAGCCATCGTCATCAGACGATGAAGAACAGCCGCGTCTTGTAATAGATGAAATGCGCAGCGATGCTGCGCAGAAAGGCAGTGAAGAGGACTTAATTAAGTTCTCCAGTGAATCGAATGGCAATGGCCGAAATAATTCTCCGGAAATTCCGGAACCTAAACCGAGTGGATCGCCGACTACACCGAGTGATAATCAGCCAGCAAAGACCTGGCCAACTAGCGGAGAAATAGCCGAAGTCACGACGGTGACACTGGACATTATTAATAATGTCCGGAAAAGGGATAAGATGGCGGCATTCGCCCATTTACTACAAAAATACAGACAGATTATAGCCCCGCGGTATATTACTACCGAAGAATACGGGCGCATAGTTCAAGTCGCCTCAGAACGCGGGACGTTGGTGGAAGTATACGAGAACTGGTCACCAACGATGAAATATGCGATAACCGCAAGTCGTAAAAGTCGATATGTCGACATGAGAGTCCACAACATGCAGGAAATGGTAGAAGCGGTGGCAATTGCCATTAGGGATATCCACAACGTTCGTGGATCGACCATTGATGAGATTGTTAGGTATATGTATTTAACAATGCCATTAGACTCAGTCAATCCTGAGCAGCGCTACTCGGATGTCACTACCGCAGTCAATGAGGCAATCGCTACGGGAATAATCGTAGATGCGGCCTTGGCCGGGAATAGTGGGCGATATGCCTTAGTAGAAACTAATCGTAAACGGATCGCCGAGTTAACCGGCCAACACATAGAAGAAGTACCGTATTCACCCGCGAAGCGCGTTCCATTCGGGCGAAGGCCCATAGCAGTGGACGAACAGAAAACCTTATTAGCACAGCCATCGCGTAACGATTTGGCAATCGCCATATATAAGATTGAACAGAGAGGGAAAATCCCACAGTGCAGCGTATAAGTGAGCACTTTGGCACTTACCAACCATACGCCGTACAGACTATGATTCGTACAATGTACGAAGATGCGCAAATAACCCGCCGTTATAATGGCGAAACTTCGCCGTCCTATTATTTCGGTCGTAAGGGATTATCTTTCCTGCAAAGAGTGCAGTTCGATAAGGTTCCCGAGTGGGATGAAATTGTTGTAAAAACAATCGTGGAAATTGGCGATCCCTCGGGATCGTCACCCGACGAAATCATACAGTATATCAGGACTGTATGTCCAGCAATAGCTGAACAAGTAGACGATGCCGTAACCTTGGCGATAAGTCGCTTAATCACTGATCCGAGAATTATCGGATTGAATGACCCGCACCGCGGGATGGTTTTATCTGTGGTTTTAGACCACATTATAGAAGAGGATAATTAATTATCATATCTCCGAGGTGGTTAGATGCGTATATTACGCAATAAAGTTGAAAACGCCGAAAAACTGCATAATTTAATTATTTTAAATTATTTGCAGAGATGGACGAATTACCGTATGCATATGGGCCAATGCGCTCCTGCAGACGATGCCAGCACAACACTAATAATCGGAAGTGTGTGGAATGGGATGGGGATTAAAAAAGTATATTCTGGTTATCCTCTCCGCGTTAATGGGCAACTGCCACGCTCACCATTACGCCCGGACATATCGTCAGGCCGAGCAGAACCGCCGATTAAAAAGTTACGTTAATCGTATGGGAGAGCCTCTTAGTGAGGAACAACAGGCGAAGGTCCTTAACGATCTTTTGCACGTAATGCAAGTCGATGGACTTCGTACCGAAGCTATCCATAATGCACATTATGACGGGATATACGATCTCGTCAAAAGATTTGCGGAGCGTCAGGGGAAGCGCAAAGTCGCTCCGAATTCACCCGATACTCCAATAGCGAGTCAAACATTACAGCCAGATCCAAAGAAAATAGTAATGTCAATGGACACAACAGAAACTGAGGAAATGCCGGATACAGCTAATGCTGCAACTGTAATCGCAGCTAACACTGCAACTGCAGCGCCAACTGCGAATACTGAATCTGCAGTGATCACTGCGCCGTCTAGCGGAATTCCGCAAACAGAAGTTGTGGCGTCAGTGGAAGCACTGACGATCGCGGAAACTCTGCCGATATTAGAGCAGCAACCCGCCGCAGAGGCGGACGATGAGATGACGGGATCGGAACCGTCAATTAGGAACAACTTCCTCTATCCGACGAGACAAGCCCTTCGAGACCGGCAAATGGAGCTGGAAGCGATGGGACAGAGTGAAACCTTCACCGAAGTGGATCATTTGATCTTCGCGGTGCATATTCCCGATAACGACACCGATCCACTCTACTATCCGGGTGGGAACGATGAAGTGGACTTGTTAGAGGATAGCACCGAAGTTAAGGCTACGTCTGCCGTATTGAGCGACGCTCTTAATGCATTAAACGGAGAATTGCAGGTAAAACCGCCGTAAAAGCATTAAATGCACCAATTGCCGTATTGTACTAAGTACCGTTAAAATTAAATCGCCGTAATGCACAACGAATTGCAGACTTAATTTTATTGAAATTGCCGTATTGTACTATGAGTACACAATAATTTTAATCGCCGTAGTGCGCAATGGATCGCAAAATTAACGTTATTAAATCGCCGTACAGTACAACGAGTGCAAAACGAAATGGCCGTAACGCCCAACGAGTGCACCAGATTGAATTTATTTCAATCCTTACAAAATGAATCGCCGTAGACGCACAAATCAGTGCATAATACTTGGTTAAAGAACTGCCGTAGTGCATTAATTGTAGGAAAACGGATAAATAAAATCGCCGTAGATGCACTATGTTGCACATATGTCGTGGATCGACGCTACAAAGCGTATAATTGGAGGAAAAACTCCGGAATGGAACCTGCAAAATTAACACGGATTAACGTGCTTGATTTTGGAACTAATCGGAATGGGAATTTAACGGATTCTGTTACGAGTATAAACTCGTTTGATTAAAATTTACGCCGCATTTTGCCGCGTCTTGTTCTCACTAACTGTGATGAAATAATTGGCACATTTTTTTAATAAGAGTTCCTCATTATGTTGCATATAAGATGCGTTTTTTCATTCCTGTTTTGAGCCTCAAGGGGCTTCGGCGTCCCGTCCCGTGGCATGTCAGAGTGTTGTGCGTAGTGCACAGGATATTGGCGTGTTCGCCTCACCATCACTGGATCGGCTCACCATTCGCCATTCTGCGCACATGCTAAAGCATGTTTTGCCATTCGGGTGCTAGCTACGGAACCGTCAACATCGATTCCTAGCATATTCGGATTTCATGCCCTTTTTCTGGCTAGATTTTGTGATTGCCCTTTGATTTCTATCGAAATAAAGGTTATTTCTCGAGGAGATGTTGTTTCCGTTGTCGTTTCTCTGTACAGCGTAGACGCTTCTCCGAGACAAATATGATTAAATTACAACATTAGCGAAATACTTCCCAGTCCCAGTGACTTCCCACTGACCATTCTAACTTCTCTTACGCAATATTGCGCTACATTCGTTAAGGTGTTAAACTGCCCATGCTACAGCGTCGCCACCCGTAAGCGCAAGCGCGACAACAACGCATGACGTCAGCCACGCACATTGGCTGGGCTATGCTGGCCGTACTGCTGTTCCCGTTCCCTTCACATACACGCAGTCTTTCCTGGCCACGATCACAATAATATTCTCTCCAGCAAGTTGTACAGTCAACAATTTTACCCCGTCGTTCATCCCGGCAGTCCTGCGCCTGTTTAGGCAGTAAGTCAAAACACATATACAGCGTGACATGCGCACACAGCCAGCTCCTCCCCACATTCCCCATCTGTGCTGAATAGCTGACACTGACAGCAGCAGCAGCACATAGTGTGCAGCTGGCCCCGATGCTGTTGTGTAAATCGTATAGTATTCTGGATTTATTGGATATTCATCTACGTCCACCAGCTCCGTCTACAGCTGCACATATCTCTCCCGCAATCCAGTCTATCGAGAGACAGACAGAGCTCCCGTGACTTGTTTCTTCAGCACTGAGCCTGAAGTGGCAACCAGTCAACTAATCAGCCATTTTTGCACTGGGGAACCAGTGGCAGTTTTCTTTCGCTGTTTCTGTTTGTTTGATTTGTGTTGTTGTTGACTGCATGGATGGTGGAGTGCGGGTATCGGCTGGCACTTTCACCGTTTTAATTACGAACGAATGAGCTGGGCCGCGGCGCCTGTTCCTCCATGGCGGCATCCACGAAGAATCCCGGACAGTTCTACACGATTGAAGTGGGAGAAACACGGTTTACGGTGTTGAAGCGCTATCAGACACTGAAGAATATTGGACAAGGTGCCCAAGGCGTTGTGTGGTAAGACAATCGTCCCCGCAGTTTTGGCAGTGTTCGTGTATGTTTCCTTACGTTCTCACTCGCAGATTTCCCATGTCGATCGTTGTGTTAGGGAGGAAATTTGCACTTTTTAATGAGCTGTCCGAATCAGCACATGCATTATTTATCACGAATACAGTCAAGTACAAGAAAAAAATAGGAAATTTAGTTCCATTGGCATAGTACTGCGTTTTTTTGCTGTTATCAGTTATATATAAGCTTTTCTAATATTTTTAAACTTTGATTTTTTACTTTTATTTATTACGTATAGACTTGGAGCCAAATAAAAATGAAAATTGAAAGTGTCGTTTGTTGCACACTTTAGATGACGTAAAGCTTTCTGAATATTCCTTTTTTATAGTGGCTTTTTCAGTGGATCATTTATATATATGAAATGGTTTTTTGAACCACTGAAGTACTTACCGTATTGATGAGCGATTAATACAGTGTGGAAGATTGTTTTCTGGATGACGGAGTGTGTGCACTTGCGAATGGCGCGGCACAGTGTGTGCATAATAAGATTGTACGACGGCTCGTAAAGTTAAGCCATTCCCGTCATCGCTTTTCCCTGTCATGATTGATTTAATGTCCTATTAGCAAATGTACAGAAGCACTCAGTTGTTTGCTCTGCCTTTTCCAGTCAGGACTGCAATGCTTATATTCCTTTTAATTAGTTTTATTGCCAAATCCAGTTTTTTTGCAAACCATTTGCTTAATAACCTAGGATAAAAATATTGAACGTGAGTACTTGACATTGGTTGCTTTTCCAAAAATCAGCTTAATATTTGGAACTCGCGGTTGAATAAATACCCCAGGTAGCAAGACACGTTAAATGGAAGAAAAGTTTGTTCAGCTGTAAGTAGAATTAGTTGTAAAATTTTTTGATATTCTGATCTTTTCTAGATATAATTTTAATCAGAGTGATTGTTGAATTTTCTTTGCCATTTTTCTATGCACAGATAGTAAGAACCATTTCGATTTGCTTCATCAACGATCATACAGAAAATCCCCATTACGACATCCGGTTCCCACTGCCACCGGTTCGTGTGAATGGGCACTGCAGGGAAATTGGGCTTTCTGATTCAAAAGTTTCCTGGCAAATTTGAGACTGTAGCAACGACGCAGTCGTTATCGAAATCGTGAATGATAGAAATTATTGATTATTCTGCTCCAGTAAGGATTCTTGAAACTCTGTACTGGCACGTTGTAGAATTTTGATAATAAAAAGGCCGCAGCGGTATGCCGTTCCTGGAGTACACCGTGCACAGCTACATTTGTTTGGGCGTATTTGTGCACGGGTTTGCGTGATATCGCCGACGCGCGGGAAAATGCCATGCAAATCCAGCCGTCTTTTCCTGGGTGGCTGATTTTTTACGATCGGCTATTTTTTCTTGGTTTCCGCAATGCAGTTAATAAAGCGAAACGGTTTTTTTGCTTTTTCTTTGCGGTTCTTGCAAAACAGAAATATTATATCGCTTTTGAAAACTGCTGTCGGCTATTTGACTTATTCCTAGCTAATTAATGAGTTAATTAATCTCTTTTAGAACAGTTTGCAAAAATAAATCAATAGAAATTAGATCCTTTTATGCGCTACCTCTTTTTGTGACTAATTCTCGTTGACGTGCGAGTGCTAATGTGCTACTTCGATGCCAAATTACCTATGCGACGTATTACACGCACCAGAATGATGCGATTGTGTGACTCATGTCGTGGTTATTTTGCTCTCACATTTTCGCCGATGATTTATGCTGCAGATATGTACTACAGATTTCACGCCGTAGTATTTGTGTATGTAATATTATACCCATTCTCAATGTAATCATTTTTTCCTCTGTTGCAGTGCGGCATACGATAGCGTCCTGGGTCAGCATGTGGCAATTAAGAAGCTCAGTCGACCTTTCCAGAATGTCACGCACGCTAAACGGGCATATCGCGAGTTCAAGCTCATGAATTTGGTTAATCATAAGAATGTAAGTATCCTACAGAATGTGAATGAGCAAACAACCGACAGGTAAAAATCTCTCTTTCCCATTGATCGACCGAGGACCGTTTCGGCTGCCGGGGTTAGTTGATTACGTGGATGTTTTTCCCGAAGGGGAATCAGATATATATTCTCCCTTCCGTTACGTCTATGATAATAGCCCGCATTTCTTACGCTTCATTGGCTTGATGTCATAAGATAAGCCGGATAGAAACCCTGGTAAAAAGTATCGATTCCCGGCAGCCAGCAGCATAATTTGCTGGCGGAGCACTCAGCGACAGCCACGGTGCTCGTCGGCGGTAGAAGGTCCGGTGAAATGCGCGGGAGAAAATGGTAGAAAACCAGCGCAACCGGAAGGACGGTCTGGGAAAAAGGGAAAATTGTCCTCAAGTGAATTGCACTTAGAGTCCGTATGTATTAGGTGAATAGGGCTGACTTTTCTCTCCTCTCTTTACGACGCAGGTAATCGGTCTACTGAATGCATTCACGCCCCAGCGCACCTATGAGGAATTCACGGATGTCTATTTGGTGATGGAACTGATGGATGCTAATCTCTGTCAGGTTATTCAGATGGATCTCGATCATGAGCGCATGTCCTACCTCCTGTACCAGCTCCTGTGCGGTATTAAGCATCTGCATTCAGCTGGAATTATCCACAGGGTAAGAGTATATACGGGCAGCCTTTTGCGCCGCCCGTTAACTCCGGCGGTGGACCGGGGTTTTAAATGCCAGATGGGATTATGCACGCGCGCACACTCAGCGCGGGGAAGCTCGGTGTGCGCGTGATGCCATAAGAAATTCTCTACGTGATTATAATGATTATATTTGCTGAATCCTTGGAGATTCCGCTGATTAACACACGGCGCGGCATTTCCCTGCTGTGTTTTGCAGAGAGGAAAGAGAAAGAGCGCCGTGCCGCCGCGCTGGCGCTCTGTCTGCGGTCAAAAGAAGTGACGAAGCTGAGAAATTGTTCCAGTTTAACAATTAGTAGTGCATAATTTATTACTGTCTTCCGCGTATCGTTGTAAAGACATTACAGCGTATAATTTTTGTGCAAAACGTTTCGGTTTCTTATCAAAAAACACTTGTATTAACCTCGGCACTTTTCGTTTGTTTCTCACTGATATTTTCTTGATGCAGATAACGAAGTTCTCACTTTTTTTTCGTGCGAAAAAAAGATGAAATTCCTAGCCTCACTTAATTGGTCTGATATTCTCCACGCTCAAAAGTCAGAACAAGTACTTTCGAAATACATATTAATAATACATATTATTTGTTTTCTTTACTCAGTAACGGACGTCAGCAATTTGGGTGTAACGCGTTTTTGAGTCTGATGGTGAGTTGAATTGTTTTGACAGGATCTAAAGCCAAGCAATATTGTGGTCCGGTCGGATTGTACCTTGAAAATCCTTGATTTCGGTCTTGCCCGCTCCGCTAATGCCACCTTCATGATGACACCGTATGTGGTAACGAGATATTATCGCGCACCCGAAGTTATTCTGGGAATGGGATACAAGGAAAACGGTAATCAGTTTTTATAGACGTATGTAGCGATCGATATGACACCCATGGGGAAAAGCGGGCCGAGCGCCGAGTGACACCCGGCCCGCCGATTGCAATGGTGTGGTCGCGCTGCGATATGGGCAATGCCGGCTGTTTTCCCTGTATGCGACGCCTCGCGCTGGTCTGTGCCTGTGCACAACTCCAGAGATTGATAGATGCCAGGGCCGGGATAATGTGATTTCTTGTGCAGTTTCGCGGTTGGCTTCGGAGAGTATTGGCCATCGATTTTGAGTGTGCGATTAAATAGTCTTTCGGGCGTTGTGCCCGTGTATATATATGTGTGACATGTTGATCAATCTGTGCTAATCACGCTGATATGCTCATGTGGGTTTAGTGGACATTTGGTCGGTGGGATGCATATTTGGTGAGATGATCCGCGGTGCCGTCCTCTTTCCGGGCTCCGACCATATCGATCAGTGGAATAAGATCATTGAACAGCTGGGCACACCGTCGGTGGATTTTATGAAACGCTTACAGCCCAGCGTGCGCCACTACGTGGAAAACCGGCCCAAATACGCCGGGTATCCCTTTGAGAAGCTGTTCCCGGATGTACTGTTCCCTCCTGATAGTCAGGAGCATGGTAAGCTGAAAGGTAAATCGGCCGCGTGCTACTGCTTTGTTTTTCTGGCGTTTGGGCTCTGTCACACTTTTGATCCGTGTACGGTGGAAATTGTTTTTCATGGTCTAATACTGGGCGAGTGGCGATTGCTAGGATGCGAAAAGCATTGAATTTCAATGGCTAGGGCTCTTTTTTGAGCAAAACTTAGGCTGCTGGGCTATTCACGCTTCTGCGCGTAAAAGCTAAAGCTGTTTTCACCTTTATACAGTCAAATACAGTGACATTGTTCTGGACGCTGTAGTGTTTTTGTCATCGGGAACAGCCAAAATAAGTAAAATAAATGTCTTCACTGTCTGCTTTACAGCCAGCTATTCTCGCGATCTCTTATCGAAAATGCTTGTGATTGATCCGGAGAAGCGAATTTCCGTGGATGATGCCCTACAGCATCCTTACATTAATGTTTGGTTTGAAGAGAGTGAGGTCAACGGGGTGAGTAGGTTGTCAGGTCATTTGGAGTGTGGACTGTTTGTGTCTGTGTGTGTGGTGCTGCTGTCTCTTCCTCTCTCTTTCTGTATGTTTGTATGTATGTGTATTTGCCAATTTCAGTTTGCGCTTGTCATTTACAGCAAGGCCCAGGACCCTACGATCACATTGTCGACGAGCGGGAGCACACGGTTGAAGAATGGAAAAGTGGGTTCTGTTTATAGCATCCTTGACTATTCCAGTTAAAACGGCTTGTATAGGCAATTTTCCTATTCTTGGCTGACGGTTTATTGTATAAAACACTATGGATTATCTGGCACGTTTACCGTTTAAATTTTTGTTTTGTTAAATGGTATTTGCATTGCTAATTATCGCGGTTGAGCGTTTCTGAAGTGTATCTAAGGTTCATTTTTCCATGTATTTTTACAGGATTAATTTATGATGAAGTGACGCAGTATGAGCGGCAATTCGAACGGAAGAGCGGTCCGGAACAGCCTACCACAAACGGTGGTAGCGCGGTGCAGGACGGTCAGGCCGATGCTAGCCGGCTGCGACGCAATTCGTCGGGACGGGCTGACGGCGAAGGAAGCGAACGTTCAGCATCCTCCAATAATTCGGCATCCAGTTCATCCAACAGCATTCATAAAAATAGCCGCTGAAGAAGGAGAGAGAAAGCGATAATAGCAAAAAAAAGACGTGGAATGAGACGAGTATTTAATCACGATAAAAGCATCCTGCACCGGAGATGGAGACAAGTGGATCAGTGTCAGGAAGTCGGGGGGACGCTATCGTTGTATGTCATGGGATATGCGGGGGCGGGATTAATTATTTTGCTGCTATTTTGGCCATGGACGATGCGATACGGGGTTTGTTGCTGTTGTTGTGCTGCTGCTGCTGTTGGGTGTGGAAAGGAAATGGGGAAGGAATCGTATCATTCTATCCTATCTCTGTGTCTCTGGTACGTTTTTGGCATTGATTGCTCAAGCTTAATGCTGACAGCTGGAAAAATCGAAGACGTTTTCCCAAATGATCCCGGTCTAATGCTGCTTGATTTACTACTACGTGGTGCGTGCGCATGTATTTTCCTCCTCCTCCTTGCTCCCTTGTCCCGCGGCTATGAAAGGGATCCAGTAACGCAGTACCGCGACAGAAGATGCAAAAAACAGGGCGATCCGCTACGCCATCATCCGGCCCACTCGGCAGCCAATTTTCACTCCCAGTAACCTCATTCTTTAAACTTTAGAGATTTTATTGTCTTCTGTTTTTGTTTTGATTTTAATGTAAGCCTGGTATTTTTGGCGCGTTATGCCCGTAATATGTTCGAGTCATAGTCGGTATTGTTACAGTTATTATAGTTTACGATGTCCTTTTTATTCTTGTTTTTGATTCAATTTTCAGCTGTTTACAACCCGGAATAATTCTAGTTTATGTTGCTGCAATTTTGAACCAAATTCCTCAGGATAATTATGTAAATCTCTTGTGTTATGATCTGCACTAATGCAGGGTAAATAAATAATTGAGCGTATTGGTGAAGCGACGGATTGCACCTCGTAGTCCCGTATGATGTGAATACCAAGATGACCAGTAGCATTGCAGGGAAAATAAGAAGCTTACTGTAGTCACTAGTGGTTGGTTAACTGTTGCAGTTACGACTTACGGATGCCAACTTTAAATTCTTATTGAGACTCCAGATCCTTCTTTTGAAAATTCTCTCATCAGTTCTGTAAGCAAGAACGAAACAATATCAAAGGAATATAAAAAAAATGTTATGTAGCAAAAAAACTACCTGAAAGCTGAAATTGATGAATTTATAATTCGATTTAATCTATTGTTCCAAATAAAAGGCACAGTATGACAAGATTCGAAGTTTCTGGAGTAGTAAACAATTAAACATTAATACAGACTCACATAAAAACGAAAGTTCATAAAAATTTATGGTACTACTCGTAGTACTTAAAAAGTTACAAGACAACATGCAGTACGGTTATTAAAAAAGAAAAAGTCTACAACACCCGGTGTTCCCAAGCGGTCACCCATCCAAGTACTAACCGGGCCCGACGTAGGTTATCTTCCGAGATCGAACGGGATCGGGAGTTTTCTACGTGGTATGGTCGTAGACAAAATGTGTGAAATATTCCGCGCTTAATACATACGCAAATCAGAAATCTGAAAGCAATGATAAAATTCGACTACCGTAATATTTTCATTTCCGGAAATGTTTTCCTGTTGTAAATTGACCCTTTAAAGTTTCGTGCAATCAAATTCGGTGCAGACAAAACGCCAAAACGGCCATCCGGCATCCGCATCTATGCGTATCTAGTATGCAAGATATATGGCGTACCAGTGTACCACACACCTCACACCCGTAAAACATAAAACTTGAAACTCAAAAACTTAAAACAAAATAATAACGCTTAGAATTTAAAATTCAAAAATCAAAACCGTAAACCCAGATTTGTAAATCTTGAAACTGCAAAGTGCAAACCATGAAATGTAAAATCGTAGTTTTCGTGGACTAAGTATTAAAATTTTTCACTTTTGAAATCCCAACTTCACAATGCCAATTACATTGATTTTAATGGAATTTGTTGTAAAATTTATTGGAATTTGGCGGTGATCTTGGATTTTGGTTTGGCACTGCTGGAACTGGCGTTCATTTATGAGTTTTGCTTTCCTAAGCAAAATTTTGCGGTTGCAGCGTATCTTCCATAAATTTGATTATTCGAAGCGTTTCTTTTATTTACCCCAAGGAGACAGTTGCTGATTTTGTTGGTTTATCTGCTATACAGATCAGAAAACTTGTTCGCTTTGCCCATCCAGAGATGTCGCCGTTGGAGTACGAGCGCGTGATGGTCGAGCAGAAACCAGACTCGTCGGAAGCCTTCCAATGCGCAATGTTAGTGTTTCAGCGCGCTTGTGCCGCTCTGCGAAACGATTGTTGACCGATTTTTGCTTTTGTCAATAGTTATTCCCGATGATTATGGGCAGTGGAGTGACTGGTCAGAATGCTTTACCGATGGCTATGAAGAAGGATACCAGTACGCGTTGCGTGATTGTACTCATCCGACACCATGGAACAGCGGACGATACTGCAGTGGAAAGCCTTTTGAACCACGAGGTTGCAATTTCTGCAAAAGTGGGTACAATTGTATATTTAAATGTCATTGGAATGATTGGGTCAAATATGATATTGCATAAGCCCGACGCTACGGTTTAGTTTTTTGGTTCTTGTAGTACCTATACGAGTATAGTTGCGACTGCTTTGCAGCAGTAGCACTTAAATGCATATGACTTAATACTATCTCGTGTAGCGGTAAGCTGATTAACAGAATCTGAACAAATACAGTGAAGATATATTAACAAAATTAAAAAAGTATTAGAGTAAAATCTTTTTATAAATATTTTTCTTTAAAATATGTCCTGCTCTTTCCTTTTTTATACTTTGATTGTTTGCTAAATATCGCGATGTGTTTATTTACAGCAAGCGAAGGTTGTGAATGGGGATGCTGTCACCATGCATTCATAAATGTCGATGAGGTGGCCGCATTCGCCATGGGACTTGTAATGTCCCTACACAGCAGCGTTATGATGAAATATGTAATTCTTACCCTTACGAAGATGAGGCATGTACGAGTAATACGGACGCTTGTGACGGTACGACTTGCCACTCTCTTACGATGTGATATTGAATCACCGATGATAACTGACACTCGTTCTTTCAAACCATGACCACTTGCAGATCAGGAAGTTGAAGCGCTGTTATCCTCTTGAAATCCTTGGAGCATACGGCGTTAGAACAAGAATACGTTATAAGTACTCTGTGTCCACCTGGAAAGGATTCTGATGCCTGCCACGGTCACGACTTCGAAATCGAAAGATGTCAAAAACGTTCTTGTTCAAGTAAGTGTGCAATTAGCACGATATCTGTTTTTCGCTGTACCTGTTTTCGTGGTACCGTACATGTCGAGTTCAGACATTTTAGGTTAAGATGTGGCTTAGATTCGGCCACTCATCCCCAACCAGCGACAGCGGCAGTGCTAAGTGCGACAGCCGGTCCCCATCCCTGGGATGTTGTCGGTGCAGGGTATAATTTCTCAGGCTTGCATTCAACATAGCTCGTATTTTGAGCTACAACAGTTCCTCCTACCAGAAAAATCATTCATACAGCGAAAGTTAACACAAAAATCAGTTGCACATTTACCTTTTAGACCGTACGGCGTTGTGTCCCATCCGGATGTTGTCCGATATCCCAATGTCGATGATGGCCCCCGGCCTTGTGGAGGTACAGTACTGGTTGTTCCACATCCCGGTGGTTTCGGTGTCGTCGAGCTCCAACCAGTAAAAGTTAATAACGGCCCCCATCCCGCTGTTGTGCCGTAGGAAAGCTGCGCACTCTGTTAGTCATATCTATATGCAGACGTTGTTCCCCATCTTAGAGGCGGCAGCGTGGTTACAGAACCCAAGCCGACAGGTGGCCCGTAGCGTTGTGGTCCGCTAACAACCATTTGATTAACTTAAACAGCGGACTAAATATACTGCAGACCTCCTTGTAGTCGGGAAACATTATACGGCTTCGCTCCAGGCGGCACTGAACCTCACCCCTGCATCAGCTGTCCAGGTTGCACAAACGGGGCAGACACATTTCGTGGTCCATACTCGATGTCAGCTTTGCTTTGGACTTGTCTAAAAGATTCGTTGTCGGTTGGTCAGAATGGGGACCGTGGAGCGGTTGTACGAAGAGTATGGAGGTCAGAGATTTGAAACTCATGTGTGCGTCCCAAAATAGAAAAGAGTGTACTGGACCCGGCAGGCGAATGATACCTGCAACAGACAAGCCTGTAGCGGTGAAGTTGACCTTTTAATCATTGACCTTTTAATCGTATTAGCATTGTGTAAAATTCGTTGCGCTCTTCAGAAACTCCGGCTTGTGTTAAGCAGCATAAAGGAGACCATGACTGTGGAAGTATTCGAAATTTTGTACTCCCGATGGGTCCAGTTCGGTATGCATTGGCGGCTCTGGTAAATTCATCGTTTTTTATCAATCTGTTTGGTTATCTGTATTTAAAAATTATTTTTGAGCTTTTGCTGTTTTGTAGATTGTAATTTTGATTCTGCGGCTCCATAAACACAAGCCACTTGCCGACGGGGCTTCGAGTCTGTTTCTTGGGTGCAGCCAAACTGTCCATATCCTCCTTGTGAACCGGTGCCTAAATGTGTTTGTCCTCTGTCTTGTCCTTCTGGATATCTTAAGCACCCTCTTACCCGTGAACAACGTGCGCCTGTAATTCGACTTGCGAAGCAATCAACTGTAAGCCGCGACAACGGTGTGTTCCTCTGGATCGTCTATGCCAGTCGTGCCCTAGTGTCGGCCTGTGTTCAGATGGAGAGTGTTTCCTGCTGCAGCTGTACGACAAGATGGTTGAGAACGGGATAGGCTGGTCATTGTCCATTTACGTCGTTCCCCCAAATGCCAATTCGCCACCGATGCCAGGGCGTAATTACAGTCAAGTATGTAATATTTTGTTGTGACGGGTCCGAAGCTCCTTGTATGCAGCATAGTATGGCACAAGCCTCATAAGTGCCTGTTGGATGCGTAAAAACGATCAAAAAAATAAACGTTTTTGTTAGTAATAAACGTGATTCACCCAAATGTTTATTTTTTTAAAATGATCGCTAAGGCCTAAAAAGTACAATATACTTTTTTCACCAATCTGTACCATGGAAAACATTTTGTTTAATTACGTACTGTAGATGGCCTATGCCTGGACAAAATTACACAGGACGAAACACATATTCCCGAGGAGCGCCGAAGCCACTTCCGCTAGCGTACGGAGCGACACGGCCTGTTGAGATTCCTAAAGTGCCTCAAACGCCAGTCGCCAGCAATCCTCCAGCGGCATCCAAGGCAATGCCTGCCCCGCGTCGGGATGTCAGACCCCAAAATTCGTACCCAGAACGCGGCTGACGTTCCCAAAGGCCAAAGTTGATCTAGTTCTAATGCAACGCTATCGTGAATCTGTACACGCGGATTATGATGATTATGACGAAGATACGAGAAAAATCCCCTACTGAACTGCGCGAAAGAAGCATTATGTGACTTTTGGGTATCCGGTGATTTTTAATTGTGTTTGAATTTGCAATAGTATTATGGTTTTTTATTCTCATAGCAGAGATTTTTGTTTTGTTCTAAGTGAGTATTACTGTATTAGTGATTATTTATTTTTAGACTTATTTTTACAACGTGTGATCCCCTTTTTGGACTACGTATAGGATTTAGGGTGAACTTTTTATTTCCGGTGTCTTTGCAAATCTGGTATAATATTCATGTGCTGTATTGGCTTCTATAGAAGTAAAGCTATCTGAAAGGTAACTTACCGCAACGCAGTAAAGGTTTTGTCGGCTATTTTCCATTCTTAGCGAGACACTGTACTTTAGAAGCGCGTTCAAATTTCGTTACTTAACTCCCCCAAACACGGATCACGCTACCACACATCCACAGACTCATTCTACGACGTGTATGCGCTTTACTTAAGTACTTATATGGGCAGCGATTTAGAGGATTTGATGAATTTAAAATCCCACAAAATCTACATTTCGCGCATCGGTTAAGTTCGAATTGTAAATATGACACTTACAATACAAGTTAAAAGCGATAAACTCCAGTTTACAGACTTCGACATATACTCTACAATCATACTCTCTTCTACATGTACTCTACAGTCTACAGTGCTACACTGTAACAGTGAACGACTGGGTTTCATTACACTAAAATGGGCAGAACCAAGAAGTCAAAACGCGGATTTAATATATGCAATCGGTGGAAAGTAAACATAAAACATATCAAAGACAGGATGACAATTGTTTATTCGTTCTCCTCCGCTCGTAAACGCGCATTAGCATTCGTAACTCTGATGCTCAACTGTTTAGCCCGGGCAACGATGTCTTTGCGTTTCTTGGCCGATGTTGCACTGGCAATCTCCGCGCAGTACCGTCGATTGTTCATCATCAGCACTTCCAGATCCTATCACACCACCTTACATATTGATCTGGCATTGAGAAACAGCGCTGCAAGAAGATATTACCTGAACATTGCGGACGAGGACCTTGCGGAAACCATTGGGAAGAACGTGTCGGGTCCGCTTGTCACTGCCATAACCGATCTTTGGCATGCGGTTGGTTCCCTTGTATCGGCGACGCACACGATTGTCAATACCATGGGGCTTTCTCCAGCTGGGCTACAATAACAGATTAGTCAATAACAAAATCTCGCACAACAGGGACCAGTCAAAACAGGACGGCGGGTGCCATGATGAGGGTTTCACTGTAGATTCATACCCGCAATTTTCCATAGCGATCACTCTGGTGGCGGGAAAACTTCTTCAGACGCTTCTTAACGATGTGGGTTTTATTTAAACTGGTAGGGTATGCCATTTTACGTTTTCGGGAAAAAAGTAACTTCTAGAGAACCAACGGGACTCCGCTCCAAAAAACTTATATCATGTAAACGGGCCTACGAGCTCGCACAAAATCAGTAAGGGTTACGGATACGTCATTCCGTACGCAGACGCCGGAAACGAACGCACGCACCGCTATACCGGGAATTCGTCAAATGCTTCCGAAATTTGAAACGATGGTACATACAGCAAGAGCATACGGTGTTCTCCATGCATTCTCAGTAAATCACACGTAGACGCTGCCTTTTGCGCATTGACCGATCCAGCTACCATCCGCCATGGGCTGCAGCTCGTGCACTGGCTTTTTATTTAACTGTATTGTACAGGATTTATTACGAAATCTTGAAAATTCGAAGCTTCTTGATCTGGATTGATTGTGTTGCGCAATCTGCGGCAGTCCTTGTTATTTTACGCCTCATTTTGATGTGTTTCGTTGTATTTGATCAGTGTTCAGCTTTACCATGGGAGGAGGACGAAAGGTGAAGAAGCAGCAGAAACTCGTCCATCCTAACAGTCGGAAAGCCGCCCAGATTATCAAGAAGATTGCCCATAATCAGAGAGTTGCGAAGTAAGTATTACTAGTCTTACCATTAGTATTACTAGTGCATTGGTCCTTATATTGGTCTTTCTTTCCTTATTCCTCTGCGAGTCCCTCCGTAGAAAACACTTTCGTATTGTTTAAAAGCCTTCGAGCGACCTGCGTAGAAATAGGTAACGTTTGGTCGCGCACTGAACGAAAACGTTTGTTTTTGTAGAACCACATTAAAATCGGCTGCGTGATGCACATCGTGCACGTCTGTCTATTTCTACCTAGAGCTGTAAGACACATATCTGTAAAATTGTAAATTACTTTTAAATTCTAATTAAGTGAACGAGTGTCTCAAAGTTTATGGTAGAGCTGTTGAATATTACGGAACGACACTTCGTTATTTTGTTAATGGAATATGCAGTTACAGTACTGGGTTGCAAATACTATTCATCTTCAACAACTCCTTGGTCTTTATTCGAAGACAATTTTAGTCAAACCAAAATGGTTTAATTTAGTTACAATAAGTAGGTATTTGTTGTCTACATGCTAATTATTAATGTGAATCATATTAAGATCTCTCATTCGTATAAGTATTTTATTAGTTTTATTACATTACATTTTATAGTAGCGAAATTTACCCGTAGTGGGGTGGCTTCGTTTTATTTACAATGTTGTGATTTAAAGTAAATTATACGTGTGTGAGTACTGCATGTTGCATGTTTGGTTGCAGGCAAAAGCGTTTGCGGAAGATGAAGGATAAAGCAGCACAACGGAAAGAAAACGAGAAGTCTGCATGTTCAGAAAAGTGAAGTTAAAAGATTTATTTTGTGATTATAACCAACTGATAACAAAGCAAATAAATTATGTTTTATGGTGATGCAATCATACACTCCCTTTGTACTTGAGCGGTACCGGCGATCATTTGTGTACAACTATTTTATGCTCCACAGAGTCCAAGTTGCAGACGACAGTGTTCATGTGAATTATAAAGCCAATTTTGCGGATTTCTAATGCTCGTGCATTGTCTATCCTTGATTATTAGATTCTGGAAAGAGTGCAAATCAACCAGTACCCCGAAAATCTCGCGGTATTTGTCGATTGTAGTCATAACAGTAGATGCGAATATTTAGATCCTTCTTCTCGCGCGTTGTACCTGAATACATGCGCCATTAATTGAGAATTGTTTTATAATTATTACGCTTCAAATTAAGTAAGAATGTAAGATCTATCAGATTTGTACCAGCAGCTTGTGCAGAATTCAAAAGTCAGTTACATATTTTATTCCGACAACGAAGGAAATCCAATGGAAATGTTAAAAAATACAGCGATTCTGTTCACTCGGTACTAGTACATTTGTTACCCTTGTAATAACAAAAAACTGAAGAATGAATTTTTTGGTCTTCTTCCAGTTTTCTATCACCGAGAAAAAAATGGTTGTGCATGCGGATATTGCAGCGTATTGTTGGTACTATAGCTCAAAAATATCTATTACAAACATCGCATTGGACACTGATCATGGACGCCGAAAGTTTAAAAGGCTTCGTCCCAGCCGCTGACCTCATCGGGCGGCACATCGGTTTCAGGGGAAAATCTTGATCGAAATTCGCCGTGTCAGTTGGACCGGAAACGTTGGGTTTGATTGGTGGCTCCAGGCTCCGATTGGCCAAGCCCGTCCAGTCGAATCCTTGAAAGAATCTGCACAAAGCAATTAACGTCAGGGCACACACATCCGGTCGGGATGGATCGCGCGAGGCGCTGACATTCGCAGTTTCTGTGGCGGAAAATGCGATCTTCACTACTTATTAATACTTGCGTTAAACCCACTTGTGCCGTTTGATGTCGCTGATGCCGTTTTTTTGGTATCCCAGTCGTTCCACTGGATTGGCTTTACATAAACGCTTCATTAATGACTGCGAATTACGGCTGATTCGACGCGGAAATTCGATGACCTATAAGTAGAGCAAGTGATGACATAATCCGCCGGTGACTGTCTAGTACTGCGTTAGTCAAAGTCCCGTTGTCAGCGTAAAACTTCTTTAGCTAATCACTCCCGCTTCGGCGCTTAATTTTACCGCACACGCAACCGTGAAACCAACCGGCACGCTAAATGTTAAATCGTACAGCCCCCCTCGGCATTCAACATAAACGGTTTTTCGACGTATTCTCTCCGCGTTCCAACTCTGTCGGGATATTCCGAGCGTCGTGCTCAGGCACGAAGTCAACCGCGAAGGAATTGTTTAGCGGCATAAATGGGCGGCAATGCGGCTTTGTTGGTAATCACGCGCGCGCGCGACATCCCATGTTTATGACATTTAATGTGCGCTGACTATTCGGCCGCGGTACTGAATGATTAACTGGGACTGATTGCTTATAAATAGCTCCTGCTGTTCTAACAGGATTATAACGGGAAGATTAATGCAGCATCCGGAGCGTGAACTGCATGGATGCTATTATTTTTTGTCTTAACGTTTTAACAAGACGTTGCTGACTCGCTGATAAAGCTTTTCAATTAGTGTTGATTATCGAACATCAACCATAAATAATAACTTATATATAACCACATCTATGAATATTGGTGGCTCATGCATTACTTTTATTTAGCGTTATTAATAAACTGGGATCATAATCTAATGAATGCCATTTGTGTAATGAATTAGTAAAACACTACAAAATTTTATATTTGACATCGTTTCATACAGATTTTCTTACCGACAATCCTCGCAGAATATTGTTGTACACTTGCAGTTGGTCGCCGTTGTAATCAAAAGGCGGACTACAATGAGAAATCGTTTCAAACAAATGAAATTAAGTAAACATGGCGTTAGCAGGACGTTGACATACTTTCCGGTGGATAATTCGAACATAAAAATTCCCAGTGCCCAGAAGTCGACGGCATGATCGTGACCTTTATTCAGGATTATTTCTGGAGCAATATACTACACAATACATGAATAAGCGTATTAGACGTGCTTAAAATGCGGATAGACAGACAATAGCTCTTTTGAATTACCTGAGGGGTCCCGCAAAAAGTCCATGTTTTCCTGGAAGCCTCAATATCCTTTGCAAACCCGAAATCGGCCTACGTAAATAGCACATAAGCAGGTGCTTTATTGCTAACATGAAACTTCTCACAAAACCAACAGGATGTGATTAAAAGTTTTTTATGTGGGCTTGAATACTGACAATTTTGGCGTATCCATTAACATCCAGAAGGACATTTTCCGGCTTAAGGTCACGATAAATAATGCAGCGCTCGTGGAGATACTCCAGTGCCAATACGGCGCATCCCGTATAAAACCGCACGGTGTAATCATCGAAATAATTTCTGCAAAGCCGGTTCATATGTAATATTGCTATATCAGTACAGCAGTCGTTTTGTATAGTGCATTGAACCAAATTAATAATTGAACACCTTCCAAGTATAGTTCTATTAATATCTCTCTATGGACTCTCGTACTAAGTGGTTACTGACGCAAGGTTTTCCATCTTCACATATTATTAGTAACGTGATGCGACTTTTTATGCTCAGATTCTGATTAAAACTCTAACGTACCATCTTAGCAGTGTAGAAAATTTATTAGTACTCCGCTTTTCCCTGTTCTCGAGCTGAACAAGCAAACTCATAATGTGTCATAATTTGTAAGAAAAAATTTTGAAGGAACGCAATAATCGCAGCGCTATTCGCAAACAAGATTCCTCTGAAAGTTTGAGGCTTTGAAATCGTGCTCAGGATATTTAATTGCAAGCAGTTCACCTACGCTAGAAAATCATAACTATTGGCTAATTTAGAAAAGCAAAGCTGTGTGATATAATAATGCAGCAGCATAAATCGTTATGTATACACACACATTACTATGTAGTACTTAGTAGGTACCCCTGCGTTTTACTGGCAATTGTAAAGCTCGCACGCATAAACCAGAGTTCCAAAAACCACGATATTTCTTTCAAGATGCCGCAAAAATTATAAAGAGTATTCAGCGAATAAAGATTCAAAAACGGTGGGCTGGTGACAATCGCTTAGACCCGATCATGCGTTACCGGTGGCGGTGGCGATCGTCTCACCATCAGATCAGGAGTTTAACATGGTCTCAGTTGTCACGCGATTATTCGGCGCGATTATGCCCAGTGTCTGTAGCGGCGGCAAAGCTCGTTCGCAGACAAAATTCCTGATATACTCGTACGTATTTTCCAGTTACTGATAAGTAAACCTTTCTGCCATTTTTATTTCCATTTTAAAGAATATTTTCTAATTCTGTTAAACCTTTGGGTAAAGCAAACTTGCTAACACCTATTTCGGCTTTTTCTCGCGTTCTTTTACACAGTGCAAACCGTTTAATGACGAACCTTATCTCTAATAAATTACTGATCTCACAAAATTTATTTTATTCAGCACATCGAATCACGCTTACCGGTCACGTAAAATTGTCCACAGTTCCCCTCCCAAACAAACCTCCATGAGCATATACAGATATTTGCGATCCTTGTATGTATTGTACATTCGGCATATGAAAGGCGAGCTGAGCTTGAGCGTGATATTCTTCTCGGACAGGACATGTTCCTGCTGGCGTTGTTTGACAATATGAATCTTTTTCATACACTTGAGAGCAAATGTTCTTTGACGGTCCGCCTTGAGCTGGACGAGCACCACCCGACCGAAACCGCCCTGACCCAGTGTACCCAGAATGTCCAGGTCGGTCATCTGGATATGCGCATATTCACTGGGCGGTGCACTGGGATAGCCGCGTGCACTCCGATCATGACGCTTATGATGACGCCTAACCGGCTGATCCTGTGTGGTGGCTTTCCGCTGCTCATCCCCGTAATCATGCTCCTTTAATTCACGTAGATCGCCGATTAATTCTATAAAAGACCTAAAAGAGACAGCACATGTGTGCACACGCAGTCAGGTAATATTCCCAAGCACATGTATACAGTTGCGCCGGTGACAGGTGTGCGATATATGACACCATATTACGCAGTGCAGGCTATTTATACGCACTCCCGGTCTAATGTTAGACACTCCGCATCGGTAATGGCGGTAATTGTCGCAGTCCGTCTCTCTTCCTGAAGTAATGCTTTTTCCCCGAAAAATCGACCTTTCTCCAGCATGCGCACCGTAAGCGGTTCGCTCTTTCCCGGTAATTTTTGGGTCACTCGAACCTGGTGATAATTACATATATTGCCTTACTGTTGTATATAGAATTCTAATTTTAACTTGCAGAACGTAAGGGTGTATCACTGATCTGTATCACTTGCATTTGCGTATTAAGCAACAGAACTGCAGCAGTTACTTTCAAGATACATTATTAAGTATATTTTGGTGTCGAAAGTGGTAGTGGTTTTTGCTCTAATGGATAGGCTGGATGCGTATGTTGTAAAAATAGAACAAATAATACATTAAAATTTAACACCGGGGTTTTGTAACCAGTAGTTTTGTGAAAAGGTTACCGGTACTTACGACATTACACTGCATAATTACTTCTGTACACACTTACTTCTCCAAAATATAAAACGAAAAACGTATCTCCCGTTTCACCTTCCCGGATAATGTCACTTCCAGCTGAATAGTATTCCACCTGTTCATTGTAAGAATGCTTAATTTAATCAGTTACTTTAAAACTACTTATTTAAATTGTAATTTTACCTGCAACGCGTCCGCAACTTTTCGTAGTTTGTCTTCCTGTATACACAAAACTGTTCAGATCAATCACCTCGTTAAAACGGTGGATCATTGTTATGTAATCACCTCCAGATTTTTCAGGTATGGAACACTCCGTAAAAAGCGCACGATTTCCTCTTGACGTTGCAGGCCATTTCTCATCATAATCACTTGAAACACCGATCGATCCAGAACCCATAGTTTGGCTTGCGTGATAGCTAGATAAGAGGGAACAAATCCCCACTTATGAATATTGTTGCAATCTATTTCCTTAGCCGTCAATATACAGTTAAACAGTTGTGTTAGTGGCTGATTAATTATTCTGTACCCCGAACCGATGCCGTTCTGGTGCAGTTGTACAAAATTGCTAATTCTCCGAATGCTTTTCCGGAGGTGATTTTTCCCAACGTTTTGTCATCCTTTTATGACTTCAACTTCACCCTCGGCCAGGACATACAAGTGGTTTCCTTCGTCGCCTACATAACAAACGAAAATTCATTTTCTCTTGCAGTTTTCAATGGCTGAAAATCTGTCTCTTCGACAGATGCTTTCATATTAATTTTGGTTGGAATCAACGCTCGGTAAACGGGATAAATCATAATGCGATTCACGTTATAAAAGTAATGGCTGACAACAAATGACACGAGGTCACTCGTATTATTGTCAATAAAAAATTATTAGAAGCATATGCATTGGGTGTATCCCACTGAACTGATTCATACGGTCATGCCGTCCCTATTTATTTCTTTAACTTGATTTCCGAATAACACAAAAGCAAAATCACAATATTCGATCTATGCGTACGATGAATTTAATCACCGCGGTATTCCATACGTACCTTGTTGGATGATGTAGGAATTTGCCGATATCTCAAGGGGATACATATAATCTATAATTTCCCGGGTTTGCGAAGAGTCTAAATTGGCCAGGAAATCATTTTCACGGAGGGCTTCTTTAATTACGTGCTTTGACCTATCAAGTACATGCACGACCAAATTAATTTAAAATTTTAACGGTGACATTGCTGTTCACAATTCATAATACCGCGGACATTACTCCGGCATAGATCGACTAATCAAACAACCTATGGTGAACTATTAGGCTTAATAATTTTACAAAGCGAATTCTTTTACTGATTATGAAAATTTTCTTACTACCAGATTGTTGGGGATAGTATACATACACAAAGCTACCAAAGTTTCCTTAATTTTTAAACCGAAGCTCATGGTCAGTAGAAGTAAGCAGTTTTTCTGTGTTCTCAGTTAATCATAATTTAAGTAAGTATCGTGCAACTGCAACTGATCGTGAATTGCATTGCAGTAAATGCTACCCTCATAATTATGTTAACTGATGAGTAAACCATGTTGTATTTCTATGCAGCACGTACTCGTGTATTGTACACAGTAAACCACTCGTGTCAGGTTTAGTAAGCTCTTAAGCAATCCTAATATCGATAGCAATAATACCGATTTTTAACTTCGCACAAAATCAATTTATTGCATCAGCTGATATTAAATTCCGTCTACCATTCTCCAGCAGCTAGCAGTACATATTGACTACTTTTTGCATCTTGTGCGCAATAAATTCAGAAAGCAGCCATAATCAATAATATATAATCGATAATACGATATTGGTTTTTCTAGTGACTAAAACAACCGTCTGGAGACAGTTCGATATTTTCCAGTTAAAAATAAAGAGCTGAAACTGTATCCGCACTTTTTGACTACATAGTGATATTCAGCATACCATATCGAGAACGAAAATCTATATTATACTTTAATCGGTTTTCAAGCTTTATGCGTAGGTACCTGAATTTAAAATTCCGCTAATACTCCATAATATTTCGCTATATAATGTCTAAACTGTTTTACTGCTAGTCGTAAATTTTTTTAACGGTTTCGGCACGAGACTAGTTTAAGTTCTTTGCAGTACTTCATTATAAAATATTCGCTCCAGTCACAAGTAAGTATATCTCAGATTAGACATGTGTGCAACGAAATGACTTTTTTCCAACAAACAAGAAATAATTCTTACGGTTAGACGTACAGAGGGTTATTCAGCCAAGTGTGTTCACCTTCGAAAATAAATTTTTATAAATCGGCTTTTTGGTGGAGTGTCGCCATAAACATTTTACCAAAACGACAAAATAGTTTGACTGCCTTTTACAAATTTTGGTGAGAATCCAGCTTCAAATGCATCCCTTATCGGCTGTTGACCAGAAGACTTCGACTTCAAATCCTTGACCAGTCGAAATTTCGCTTTTATTTGGCTGGTTTCAAAAGGCCAGTCCGTTTCTCGAATCTACACGTTTATAACTTGAAAAAACGCGGATCCGGATTATTTTATGGGGAAATCGATGTAATGCTTTCGCGAGTAAGTGTGTAGGAACGGTTGAAAAAAACGCGAAAAAGGGAACAAACCCGCGGGAACCATGCCCGTTGTGCGAAAGCTTACACACCGAAATGCAGCAATCCTTTTCGTCCTCCCACTAACCAAAGCTGTAGCGGAGGTCTTTATTGATCGCTTTAAAGGTCTACTGTTTGCGAAAAACGTCCCGTGGCTCGAGCCAGGCGGGGAAGAAACCATCATCCCGAACCAGGATGGTGCTCCCGGGACGCAGTGCCGACCCAACCGGGGCTGCTTCCCAATCGTGAAAAAAACTAGTTGATTCATCAGAAAAATGTTTGCTGAATACCCCTGACACGTTTTCGATAGAATAGTTTGTGAACCCAAATTTTAAGGGATTTTTTATTCAAAGGCACGGCAGTTGCTGTATTTGAACTGGTCGACTGTTGGCAACATGTCTGTCAGGCATTTAATTTTTTCTTGAGGTAAAGGATAATGAAATTTTAACTTAATCATATTTTTATTACGACTAAATGTTGTGGCTATCCGATAAAATAACTGGAAAAGCAATATGATCTTATGGGGACTAAATATAAATTTTTCAAAAAGTGAACACACTTGGCTGAATAACCCTCTGTAATGCTGTTTTTATTGCGCACGTGTTGCTAATAATACTAGCGCTGCATCTAGAAAATAAGTAAAGGCGAAATATACTTGTTCGTCCGCAAATCGGGACTCCAGTTAACCGGCAGCGAAAGTTAAAAAACAAAACTGCAGCCCTATTGATTACGATAAAATTAGCACTAACCGGCGCAAGTGCCGGTATCTTCTGCCCATAAAAAACAGTAGAAAAACTGCATTAGTTACAATGCATCCGAAGTCGTATTAACTGATAGTGACGGAACGGTTAAAAGCTTTCGCACCAGATTAACTAGTTTAGAGTTTTCTCAGGATGCCTCTTAAGCTTGTCGATAACTTTCGTGGAAGCTTTAAGGCGATTTCACAAGTTTTTATAACGGCTTATCGTAATGAGTTAGAGAAACAAGAAAATAGTGTGGCGAAATAATACATAAAAACTACTATAGCCGCTACTGCCAATGCCAGCTGCCACATATGGTGCAGACTACAGTAGCCACATAATACACACATATTGATCTGCTTATGTCAATACGCGCCGACAAAACCGGTGGGGTCAAGTTAAACATCAGTCCTTACCGGAAGTCCTTTTCAACTTTGGTTACTTCAAGGTCAGAGAGACGGCGGGAGCTGCGCAGGGAGAATTTACTACTACTCTCCCCGGATATGCCCTGTTTTTTCCGCGGCATATCAGGTGTCCCGGTGACATCCTCTTCGTCGATCTTGTTCGTCAGCTGGCGATTGTGCGAAAAGGGATTCGTCACCGACAGCACGGAGCGTGCCTTGTCCAGCTGCTTGCGGACCTGTTCCAGTTCGATGTCCTTCAGCTGCAGGGCATGCTGTAGCTGTTCGATGATGAGTTCATATTGCTGCTTTTTAAGGAACCACGTCTCGGGGGTGGCCGGTGAATCGGAGACGGAGAAATTGCCGGACGGATGATGGTGGCTACCGCCTCCGGGCCAGGGTTTGGACCCGGCCTGGGAGCGGGCGATCATGGGTGAGCCTAGGTGGTCCGAGGTGGAAGCGGAATGGGTTTTGTGGGTCGGGGTGGAGGGTAGGTGATTCTCGTCTTCATTGGCGTGATTCGGCCGCGCCGATGTCGAGCCGAGTGTAAAGGGGAAATTTCGGCGGAACGACATTTTCCTCCCGCTCGTCCGTGTGACGGATTTAGCAGATTAAGATGTGATTACCGACGCCGAGTGTCGCTCGATTAGATTAATATCACGATTAATTTGTTCAATCGTCTTTTTACTGATACACACAGTCTGATGGTAGTAGATCGGTACTATATGTACGTTTGATTTGGACGGGAGCAGAACCGAAAAGTGAATTATGCACCACTTAAAATATGCACGGCAGGATACATTTGCTCATACCAGCAGGTGTTAAACGTTAAACATAAAAAAGATGCCAGCCAATAGGGATCAACTTAATAATAATGATGTAATATTCCACGTGAACGCTTTGCTGTAGTGACGTATTGTACAAGGCAAAAGGCAGCAATTCGTTTATGCCATAAAATACGATCATATGACAATGCCCATGATGTCCAGCAAAGTCGGTGCAGAAAGGCACGAAAACACGCAGTAAATGGTTGACCGGCACAGTACAGCACGGCAGAACGGAAACGCGGCTGAGCACAATGGGCGGAAGCAATATCGGTCCTCAGTGTGACAACGACATGTTTGCTCTAGCAGCACCAATAAAAAGAAACTATATGGTTGTATGGCGTATATATGTGTTCCGAATCAACAGACACCCGTGCTGCTTATCCCAGGAAAAATAGATGGGAAGACCATAAAATTACACACTGATCACCAACTACTCAACATCCGTGAAATGAGGCATCTATGCACTGGATGTGCAGCCATAAACCGAATAAAATCATGCACACACACACGGTTAGAGCGCCATTGTCGTGAGGAGAGAGAGGCAAATGCTGCGTAGGCACGTACACAACACGGGAGTTGGCGAAAAGGTGCTGTAAAGAATTTATTACAACTATACCCCATTTCCCCCGACGTCAAACGGTTTCGTCGTATATGGATGCTTTTTACTGCGGCAACGTGTGCGCGCAGCGCGATGATCTCTCGGTTTTCTACTATACGTATTGCAACACACACTGCGCGGAGTGACAGTGTATACAGGTGCCGGTTATTGACGTAATCGTCCGTCGCAGATGCCCACCTTAAATAATGATTCCGTCAACTGCCCGAGTGGAAGGCATACAACTCTCCAGCGCAGTCCCGTTGGTGCTCATCATGTACTCAGTACAGACGGGATGCTGCGGGAAAGAGCACCGTTGATCGGTATTCGACTGACGGTTCCTAATGGGTTTTCTCATAGTCAAACGGCAGACGCGCGGATCGGCATTTGGTGTTCAGCACTGGTATCCGATAATCAAAAGATGAGCTGTATGGAATTGGATCACTACGATTCTCATTACCGATATCTCCGTAGCCGTATGTATGCATGTGTTATGTGTACAGCATCTAGCTAAGTAATGTAATTACGCAGAAGCCGGAGGAATGTACATAATATTGTAACTGATGGCCATTACTATCGTATGCAGTTATATTCGTTTTTCATAATATTTCTATCAAATGGCTTTTCCTGAACTGGAAGCCTTGAACACCCCATTAGTAGCAAAATCAAAATCCACGATCTACTTAATATTATATACAAACCGGTACGCGTACCTAAGTAAAGGTTCGAGTATTATGTCGAAAGTTTTGTTCGTCTTTTAATCCATCTTCGATTTTCAAATCCCATTCCGCGAAAAATTCCCCGTAATCGTCGGGGTCAATGTTTCATGGTTTGCTTGATCGCATTGATTCCTTGGCAGGTTATGACCATATAATTCAACAAATATTTCAGTCGCCATCGGTCAGTATTCCTAAAAATGTACTTCCAAATCTCAACTTGACGCACAGCAATATAGCAATATAGTGATATAGCGATACACCAACGCTGCTCAAAATCAGGAAATTTCAAGGATGCTCGTACTGCAAAATTGTGTTTAAAAGGATTCGGACTCATGCTTGCATCTATGCACTCTGTAATTTAAAGTTCGGGATCCCCGTCAACCTCAGGTGCGATGGTCGCTACGAGTAAATGTAATTAACAGCGCAAATCTAAATATAATTGTCTGCAAACTGTACGTGGATACATGAGTGCGCAAGTTGTATGTAGAATATATACTTAATAGATATAAGAATTTGTAGGTTCATAACCATGTGTACAAAGTCTGGAAATTGGAATTTCTTTAAACTTCAAATTTCTTCAAACAAAAAAGCATTATTATGTGAAATTGTGAATGTGTAAAACCAGATTTACGTCGGATTAAAATGAATTTTGAGACTGTGCTGGTGTGCATCACTGTCATACGTAAGAATTTCTCACGTTCGAGATTAATAGTTTTACACAAGCTAAATTGAGTAAATTCCTTACTTGGTTAACGGGATGTAACTGTTTACAACATGCCAATTTTATTGACAACTTTGAGAATTTGTTGTGCATTGGTTTTCTCATGAAAACTTTAAAAATTTTAAATGCGTGCAACATATGCACAATACATCACAACATATGCACAATATGCACAACACATGCACAATACATATCTGGTACAATACATCACGTGTACATACGCTGACCTTTTTGGGAGCTTGACTATGCACGCTAATGGCAATAACTTAATCTATATACGATACAAACAAAAGGAAATCGAAATGGTCAGGGCCGGCGGTAATTATATAACCCGTAACCCCTCCGAAATCCTTGTGAGTATTTAGACACTGCCGTAAGCAGAAACAAAAACAAAGTAGTTACAGATGGCGGAAGAATTTCCGGCGAAGTCCATTCGGCCAGCATCACTTTACACCGCTCCACAACTTACTTCCTCGTCCACAGACCAATTCTGTAAATTCACCTCACTCTGGTTCCGGGTTAGGTACTAAAATAGTACCTCGTAATTACCATCATGCAAGTCATCCTCACCGCCTGAAAGTGGACTTCGAGAGAACGTAATCGACACGGCAGGCTAGATTCGATAAAGCACCGACAACGTACGGACACAGCGACATTCGAACAATTCCGCCAACTGATTTATAATTATTAATTGTGGTCTGTGGACAAACCGTGGAGATGATCACCAAAATCTCGGTGTGGAAACAAAAAATGCGCATTGCGAGGCGAAAGTTAATGGCTAGCTAGCGGTGCCCCTGCGATCTCTTCCGGGTATAAATATAGATTCTGCAAATACTGAAAATCTGATCTACACTGTAAAATACAAAATATGATCAACATACAGTGTGATCAACGCATACATTTGCGTCACAGAGAACACCCTACAACGTTAACCGCATGGCTTAATTATCAATACTTCTATATCTGTACATACTTCTATAGATATAGCTATAGTAATCACAAGTCTATTTTGTTAGAAATTTTTCACGAGGACACGATCCTGCTTTTTTCAAGAGAAGCCTGGCTTAGCCTGCAAGTAGACTTTTTCGAATACCAGTTCCGTTAATGTTTGCATTAATTTTATTTTTTACTCTAGAAAATCACAAAAAAATGTAACCACAAGTAGTAGGGCGTAAAATGTTTTGCTTAAAGTGCAAAGCCGTTTTCGAAGTTAAGTAGTTAAAACTTTTGTCTCCCGCGGCGGCAGATCCTCCAGTCGTCCTTGCGCAATGCGCAAATATTATACGAACCTCCATAATATGTATTACTAAACTAAAGTAAAGCTAAAACAGTATTTAGTAATATTATATAACCTCGTATCTATATTTATTTTAGCACCTAAATAAAATACCAATAAACCAGGAGTAAAAAGTAAGTGATGTTTGCTCTTATTAACCTTGAGTATAGTGGACAGCGTCACAAAAACAATATTCACTAATCATATAAAAAAATGATCCCAGTTGGAGCGAAAAGTAAGTAGTACTTGCTAAAAAATTGCTACGTACTAAAATGAAGAAGTACTTATTAAATAATTATTTAATGTATTCCGCTAAAAATTCCGTATTTGCTTATTCATAAAATTTAATCTGAAAAACAGCTGTTGAATTGCAGAAAAAGTGAGTACGAGTACGATAGTTAAACTTCCTGCATACGTACTTTGTACAAGTACCTACATAACAGCTGATTCACAGTCAACTGTGCACACATTCGCAATCTCGCATTACCGAGGCAGACTTTGTGTCATTCACCATCAGCTTTGTACCGTACTGCGATATCGGAATGTTGACAATCCAGGCACGAAGTCGAACAATCAAACGTGTTATCCTTATTTGCGGTTTTCGCATTCACCGTAGCATTCAGATCCCTGCCAAATTACGAACCGACCAGTTCGCCACCGCCAATACCATGTCGGGACTACTGTATAGTGCCAACATTTCCGATGGATTCCTCTTCAACGAAGCTGGCAGTCTGCTGGCACGGTATCGTGCTGCACACGCGGCTGGTTTCCAGTATGTGGAGTGCTCGCAAGTGGCCTACCAGTATAATCTGGACGACCTGGTCGCCGTGCTGGAGGAGACCAATCTCAAGCAGGTCCTGCTGAATTCCTTCGCGGGGCCCAATGCGGGCGATCTGGGCCAGGTGGTGCTGGATGTGCCCGATGAGGAGTTCGAGGCGGGGATTCGTCGTTCCATTCAGGTTAGCATCATCACCATCATGACGTCAAGAACAACGCTTGACCTACTTTGGAGTTTATTATGGTGCCATTGCCAGCGCATCACTGTGCAAGCATTCTGGAAGTTAAAAAATTAATACCTACTTTTTTACAATAATATGAAATTTTTAATTAATAATGAATTAATATTTAACTTATTGATGTGTTATGTGAGTTTATAGTACGGAGCATTTTTTTGGATTTAGAATGCAGTTCACTTTGCTGACATTTGAATAGGAAATTATTTTTTCAGTATGCTAAAGCGATTGGCACTTCCAATTTGCACATCTTGGCCGGAAAGCTGCCGGCTGGGAAGAGCCGAAGTGATGTGATGCGTCAGTATTTGCGGCGACTGCAGTGGGCTTGCAAAGAGTGCTTGCCACGCCATGTGAATGTGCTTATCGAACCCATTGGACCATTCGTCAGCCCCGATTATTTTCTCAACAATTACGGAACCGCTGTGGATGTGATTGGAGAAGTAAGACAACAGCAATCAAAATATATACAAAAATAAGTTTACCGGCTTTTTTTTTGCTGTGCGAATGCTGCAGTTTAATACGAGAATTGTTAGATGTACGTTTAGGATCGTACGTTTAGAATTATTAGATGTGGCAATGTGGCATGGTTTGAATAATCTTAAAAGAAATTTTTAGTGGAAATTTTCTTAATTGATTTATTGTAGTAACAAAACCAGCCGTACTACTGTTTTTTATTTAAAATCTTTACGCTTTTTATGCATTTGTTCCGGATTTTTAACCTGAATTTTATCGGAATGATCCTGTATTTTCAGCTGGACTGTCGCAATTTAAAGATTTTGCTGGATGTCTTCCATTTCAAGCAACTGCACCCGACGTACGACGTGATCAAATGGGCTCGTACTAACCGGAAACTGGTTGGTCACATTCAGGTTGCTCAGTCGCCGGCGCGCAATGAACCTCATGCCAAAGGTGATATTGATTATGCTCGCATTCTTCCTCAACTTGGTGATCTTTTCCCCGAACTGTACATTGGCCTGGAGTATAAACCCAGTGTGCCCACGCAGCAGAGTCTCGCTGATGGCAAATCAGCGGGAAATATTTTTGACTACGCCACACCGTGAATTTCTACCGGCGTCGTCTCGTGATGATGAGAAAATCTTCTTGTCTGAAGTAGCCGCTGTGTATACTTTGCCCGGCTGGTTAGATAGTTGATACGACCGCAAGTATTACTTCGTTTCTGCGGTTTTTACTTTTGTTAGCCTTTTTAGCATTTAGCTGTTCAATTATGGCTGTTGTGTTTGGTTTATTGTACTTGATTGTCTTTTTCTTTCTAACTTCATGGGACAGATTGTGGGTATTGCGTTATTTTTGCTGTTTGTGTTCCCTTTCTCTGAGCAGACAGTGATATGCATTTAAGAAAAAAAAATTGTGACACGATTGGTTATTAAAAGAAATATTTGGATCAAAATTCCGTTAAAAATTGTATGTGAAATGTACTAGCACTGGATGGTCGCGATGATAAAAGAGAAGTGAGTGACATAATTGGCATTGGCAAAGCGTTTACGAAGAGTTTGCTTTCATGACTTCATGTTTATTCCCAGCAACAAAGCTTTAACTTTAGCGATAGCGCCTCCAAACAGCTGTTTAAAAGCGTTGTAGTTGATGATTCGTGTAGGTTGGTCTGAAAAATTGAGCTGATACATATTTGCGCAACATCCGGTTGGGAAGATGCAGAGTAACAAGATACCAAAAAACTTTAGACGAAAACCGGTGCACCAGTATTATATTATCTCGTCATATGCCAGTTTTCGTCGAAATGCGAATAATTCCAAGGAAACGTGGATTTAATGGTGGAAAAAGATTTGGAATACAAGTACAATACAATTAATTTCTTTTACACATGTCTCTTTTTTACGAAAGTGTCGAATAGAAACAAATATCTTCGCATTTTTAATTTGTAGTGACTTCTTGATCGAACCATTTTGCAGTAGATCGTTACAAAAAGATGTAAAAAACAGCATCATGTCAAAACAACACTATGTAAGTAACAAATAACCAAAACTGCGCGAAGGAACTCCATAGTCCACATCAATCAACGCTTACCCACAAGCTAACATTCCTGTACACTGAAAAAGTAAATTTGTGCATTATTATTTTTTCTAAGACATTACAGATTCGGTACTGTCGACGGGAGCCGCGTTCTGAGTTTTCTTGTCAACGTCTGCAGAACCGACACCAAGCGTGTCCACAGTTTAACTGGTTTCCGGCGGTCCCGGCGCTTCAGACTTATCTTATCGTCGTCACTTCCATAGTCACTGGAACGTACAGTTTGATCTATCGAGTTTGTATCAAATACTGAAGATCCCTCTGACACAGCTGTCGTTTTAACCAGTTTCTCCACCGGCTCAGTCTTCCGGGGTGTCACAGTGCGACATTCCGTAGTTGCACTGTCACCTTTTCGGCTTGTATCAGCCAGCTCATGAGTCTTTGGAATGTTCGTCACTTTTACACTTTCTCCTACCGGGTAACTGACTTTCGGTGGTGCCGAAGAGACGCATATTGACGCTGTACTGTCACTTGTTGGCTACGAGACCACAGCTAACGACGTCCACCTCTCATCTCCACTTCCCGTTGAACAGATACATGAATAACCAATGGAATCCGTATTTCAATCGGTGCATTTAACAACCCATGTGTCGTGGAGACCGGTGTCTGTGGGCAGCTGACATTATTCTCTGGACATTGATGGTTCGGAAGCATCTGTAATGCGCTTCCGGATGGGGAAGCTGCAGGGAAAACTAAAGTGCCCGCGGATGGCACAGCGCTTGCGGCAGCGCCTTGTGAAACGTTTTGTCCTTGTTTCATTGGTAAGGTAGACTGGCAGGCTGTGGAAGAAAGCAAAGGGCCCGAGGTTGGTACAGCCTTCGCGGATGCTGCAGACACAGGCGCCGTTAGAATCGGCGCCTGAGAAGCGGCATTAGGCGGGCGGGTAACGGTCGGGGTCAAAGGCGACTGAGCCGAATGAGGAACGTAGCTAAGCTACAGTTATCAGAACTGAAAAATGGTTCTCCGTGCAATGCTGTTGCATTAAGAGGATTGGCAGCCTGCTGTAAACTATCGACTTCCCATTGCCGTTCTGCTTCTGATATCTCTTCAGGGCGTTGCTCTCGTTGTTTAGGGATCTCTTTCCATCCTTGCTGGAGTTTGACATTGAACATGCTCTTATTAACAATGTCATCCCGATTGATGCGCTGGAGCCCTTGTTTGAGATCGTTTTCGGCTTGTCGCGGCTGACCATGCCGTTCCACCCAGCGGCACAGCATAATCAGCGCCTGCTTTAGGATTTTTGGCTCCTCGTTCTTGATCGCCTGGATTTCTGGATCCCGGAAGCCCAACTGCAGCGCCAGAGCCGGCCAATCTTCGCCGAGGAGATCAGCCACATCGTGCAAGCGGGGATCAGCACGGTGCACCGATCCGGTTTACTGATCTTTTTCTTGTAAACTGGTCGTCGGTCAACGGTGACACTGTCTTTCGCTGATGTCGGCTCCATCGGCTGTAAAATAATACAAGCTTACTAAACAAGAATGTATTTCGCAAACTTTGACAAGCTCATAAAACTGCATCAAGTGTCAGCGCTTATATAGGTGACAGGCTGAATCAAAGGAGAAAATACTTCACATAACTCGATCAACTTAAAAACTAAATTGAACGGGATGTTTTAGCAAATGTCTAGTGTCTGCATACTCTCAGCTCATCGGGCAAGCGGACGTTGAGATTGCAAATGGGGATCTGCGGCATCTCATTGCGCCCGGACTTGGAATCCTTCATAAATGCAAGTCGGCCATGAGCGTTCTCATTGGGATTCTTGACCTTTACCAAGAAGGATAGACGGCTCTCTTGGAAAGGATAGAAGCGTAAATGCAGCTGTTCGCCCGATTTGGTCACTGGAATGAGATTGCCAGCCATTTCGATGTAGAGATTCTTTCCTTCCAGTACTTCCACATCACGACTCCTGGCCACTTCCACAAAGCGTTCGTGGTGCTCCAGGGTCTTGTCCTCTTTATCGTCGGTCATGCAGAAGACCCGCAGCCGGGCTTCTTCGCTGTCAAAGCGCCGTGCGTAGACGACGAATTTGGCCATAAAGGGTACCACACAACCGTCGGCGTAGATGGTGTGGCCGAGTTTCACCGCCTCACTGATGTTATGCCCGCAGTCCATCAGCCAGAACCGCGCTGAGACGGTCGTGGTGAATTGGATGCAGTCGTTGACGATGACCAAGGGCGTCGAGCCGGTGATGTCTTCCCATCGTGCTGGATTGGTGCCACCTGGGAACATAAAATTAATATATTTATATATTATAACCTTAGGAACACCGATGTACTTACACAATATGTATGTACCGGTAGTATAAACTCCTTGACAGAAAAGAGCTTATGGATTACAGCATTCGTAGTGCAATGGTTGTGTGATAGGAATCTGAGGTGGTACTCATTAGTATTAAGGCACCATTTTCCTTTGCGTGAATTGTTATGTGCCTAATACCGTTACTGTTATGTACCCTTGATCGATTACTTTTTTCGCTTTTAAGGATATTAGCTGTGGTTACATTTTTTGAAAAGCAATTATTACCTGTTATGCTACACAGGAGCCGCAGATTGGGTGAATCACTGGTACACTGGTTCACCATGCCCTTTCCAGCAGCACGAGGAAGGGGGATTGTTAGCATTATCGGCTTGTGAAATTTACGACGGCGTGGCTCGACCGTGACGATGGGGCTGACGGCGATGCGGTTGCCCAGTACGCGACACTAGATCTAGCGGAACGACATGGGCCTGCATGAATAAAAACACATAACGCAACACTGTTATCTTTGTTAATTAATACATTCTTCATTTACCTGCACTCCGACTTTAATCTTCTTTGTCAAAGCGCCTTCCGGGAAGAGCGCCTGCACTTTGTTTTCGACGGTGGACACGATAACCCCACCATCGGGACCGACAGTATGGACTTCCTGTTTGATGCGGGAAATGATCGCAAAGTACAGCGGAAAGTCCGTTGTGAGAATGCGCACGATGCGGTTGGTCTGCAGGTCTTCTATTGCGCGCAGTTCTGCAAAATAAATTAAATTCTTATACACTGGTGCTTATATGATTCCCATGCCGGTAACGTTTACGTACCATTAGGATCAAAGCTTTCCCTGAGAACTTTCTGCACCGCTTCTTCGGTAGCTTCCAGAGTGTGCTCGCGCCAGGTTTGTCCGTTCTCACTTCGTAATATGGTGATTTCATGCTCTCCATCTCGAAGCGATGCAAAATGTGGAATTTCAACAATCACGGGTCTGTTCAAAAAATTATGCTTAATTAAAAAAACATAACTACTAAAATGTATAATGTCATTATCCAAAATTTACTTCCTTAACTTCCTGGTTGGCCTTACCCCAAAAATTTCGCTGACGACGGGCCCATCTCCAGAATTCGGCAGACCAGTCCTTCCCCTTCCATCAGCGGCGGTGGATTGGCCACTTTGTCTTTGGTCAGATATTTGCAGGTGATGCGCATGGGGCATGGCGCTTTCCGCGGCGGAATGATGACGCGAATTCCCGAGTGCCGGCACCCGCGCATATAGTTGGTCACGCTCTTCATATTACGATATTTCTTATTTCATGTTTTTTTTTATTTCGATATGGTAACTTTTAACAAAATTAATATGCTGCTGTACTACAGAACGGCATCATACTTTTTCATGTACTGTCAGCGCAGATTTTCGTACGAGTATAATAATTATGTCTACTGCAGGTTGCAAATAAAAGCTCACAGAAATCAAAATTTTTTTAAACTCGTACTTTGGTTTCGCTACAATTCTTACAAAAACAACTGCGTTACTTCATATTTATTTGTTAGGCACACGTAAAACGCAGTGTTAAACAAAGTATCGCAAAGGCGAGAAATCATGAATGGGAACTCACCACAATTTCTCTCAAAGCATCGTCAGTTTCCGCCACATTGGTCGGCGGAAGTGCGTCCGATTGACCGTGCTTCTATAGAATTAGAATCCCATTATCAGCAAGTAAAAAACACGAACTTATTCCGATCACACTTACCACGCAAAGAGCCCACCATTGAGTCAATTCATAACTAATCGTAACGAGACTGCCACAAAGAACTATCAGCAAGGAAACGTACGAGTTCCAGCGCCTGGTCGAAGTTTCTACAAAGGCAAGTAATGATTCAAAAAGTCTTTCGTGATGGGAAATAGTTCGTGATCTATTTCCGGATAGCAACGGAACCGATCCCGTGGCCTACCAGCATCGACAGCATAAACCTCCAGTATTCTTGTGATGATAGCTAGTTAGGCTAGTGATGGCAGTTAAGACCCAGTGCACGGCCATCCCTTATTATTAGCAAACAACCCCGTAAAGTTCTGTCCTCGTAGTGTTATGGAGAAGCTACCATTTTGCCGTTAACAAAATGAAAACCAATGATCAAACAATACTTCAAAACTAAACCAAACAAAATGCTACGACAGTGATCAGAAAAACCTAACCAAAAAAAGTGCTTCGTTACTGGCATTTACTGATCTGCCCATGGACCATGGCTAACTCGACAAGTCTACTACAGTCTGTATATGCGCGGTCTGCGCTGTACGTTCACGTAATGGTACGTACTGCACAATACGTACTGCGTTACGCAACGAATTGAAATGGACAACAAGCGGTCACTGTCTTTTCAATGAAGATGAAAATTATTCCTGGAGATATGACAGTGATGATTAACTGAAAATTTAAATGTCATTATTATAATGTTCTGCTTTAGAGAGCCGAACGCCCCATTAAAGCTACCCGACGAGCGACGAATGCGCCATCGTAGAAAAGGCGACGGAATCGTAAAGAAGTCAGCTGTTAAGTGAAATGGATTGTGTGGACAGTACCGGCAAAATTAATAAGTATTAAAAGTATTAAAAATTAATAAGTACCGGCAAAATTAATAAGTGAGTAAGTACTTTTTCCAATAAAATGTAGCAAATTACGGAACTCTGTAGTATTCTGTACTCACGCTTTACAATTAGCTCAAGAATGCAGCATTAATGCTGCATAAATATTTATCGAACCGAACTAAAGCGGCAGTAGTTAAACCCATTGTCTTCACCTATCGACCATAATTACTGCATTACGGTATAGCATATCCATACTTCGAATAGTCGTAGTTTTACAGTGATCATTGATGTCGCCATAAACAGTCACACCTTATCATTTACCGACAAAATTCGATGTCTCACAGCCAGTTTTTCCTCTAAATTTCATCCTGGCTTCAGTCCCCTAATTAAAAACCATTTGTCACTGACACGAATGTGGAAAAAGCCAAACACACTGCCCACTCGTGCGATCTCTACAAAGCGTCGATGGATGTGGCTTAGTGAGAGTTCCTTTGTTTCTAGTTTTTTGCAAACCGGGTTAGCGTACGCTTCGAACGTATGCGGTGGTAGAACGCAGTTTCATTGATAAAAGACTCGAAGTGTTATCACCCCAAAGGAGAAAATTCATGATTTTGCTCAAAATATGTGGGAATGACAACCTACCATAATTTTTTCCAAAAGGATTTGGATTACAAGTACAATTAAACATTCTCTTTTTTACGAAAGTGTGAATAAAAACAAAATATCTTCGCATTTTCAATTTGTAGTGGCTTCCTAGTCGAAGTTCGAATCATTAGGCAGCCGACCGTTAAGAAGAAATGTACAAAACAGCATCATGGCAAAACAACATCATGTAATAATGAAAACTGCGCGAGGCAACTCCACGTCAATACACGGTCACTCACACGCTAAAATTTCTGTACACTGAACGCGTAAATTTGTGCATAATTATTTTTGGTAAAACACTGACAGAAGTAAAGGGACAAGAACCGCTTTAATACTGAAAAAATATTAAGTATTAGGGAAGCCACAGCAGTTTACTCCCCAAAACTGAATACCGCTTACGCCACTGGGCAAGGTAGCAGTAGCAAATGGCGCTGGTAACTTATCCCGAGCGGTTTTTCGTCCATCCAAGAAGATCATCCGACATTTCTCAAGCGACACATGATCCTGGATGATAACTTCAAATGCGCCCGCATTCACTTCCGTGTCACTTTTATTTCCCACATTCCACTTCAGCATACCATATGTCGCGTCCACGGTGAGGGAAGTGTCAGCAGTGATAATATCGAAGGCCAACGGCAACGCTGCTCGGTAAGGATTACCACCATACTCAACAAATTCCACATAATACGGGCTGTCGTCATCACCGCCCGTCCGACCAAAACGAATTTTTCCCGGAGTAATATTCTGCATTAACGTAACGACCATGATTAGTTTTTAAATTTTAATAAATCAAAACTTTGCAAATTTTTTGCGGTAAGTGATACAGAAATCGCATCAGTGATATGATTAGGATTAGAACTTTCACGCATTTTTGAAATCAAAACGACCAAAGTACAGTACAAATACATACTCACGTTCCAACTTTTGCTTTTCCGACTGCATAAGGTCGCTTGGCATTCGAAAATTGGAGCTCGCCAGGCTTCCCCGCCTCCATGACGCTTGATGCGTGAAGCAGTTACGTACCGTTGAACGCTTTTGGGTAAATTATCGAACTCTACAAACCAATGACTATGCAGTACTCCTATAACATATTAATTTTACACACATCAAAACTATCTTTAATTAACCTACGAATATGTAGAAGTAGCATAATACGTAAGCATAAGCCCATTAACCATGATTCTTCTTTCTAATAATTTCTGATCGCCCATATTTCTAGAGTAAAGCATCGCACTGAAGTTAGCAAGGTACCTGAAATGTTTATCGAGTCTGTCAGCGATACCAAAACCGTCTCGAAGTCCAACTGTGGGAGCGTGTCGGCAGCAATCAGATCATGCAAACCAGTCTGGGTCTTCAGTCGCCGGAAGTCGACTTCTGCGTCACGGTACGGTAAATACGCTACAGCATCTACAACGCCTTGACTGCTATAGATCACTCCAAACTGCTTGTACATTTTATCGCCAATGTGATGGCGGCGAGGTGGAGAACAGTTTTCCCTCTTCGCTGTAGTACAAAAAGATTAAAGGAATTAGTGGATCGGAGAAAAAATATAAGATTTCACCGTTTGCCAAAGTACATATTCAAAAATTTTTGTAATGCCGACAAAACAGCAAACGTACGAGTACATAGCTGTTCCATCGCGGACTGCAACTGGGCGGCCAAATCAGGAGCTTTAAATGCGCCTCGCTCTCTCGCGTTTGAACATAATTTGTTCCATTCTTCCTTCCAACCAGGGCCCAGCATTTGCTTGAGAAATTCGGCAGTGTCGACGGGAGCTGCGTTGCTCCGAGTTTTCTTTTCAACATTTGTAAAACCGACACCAAGCGTCTTCACAGCTTTACTGGTTTTCGGTGGTCCCAGCGCGTCAAATTTTTCTTTATCATCGTCACTTTCACAGTCACTGCTGCATGCAATTTGATCCTTCGAGTAGCTATCAATCACTGAACATCGCTCTGTCTCAGCCGGGTTTTCTGTGTTTGGAGTGCCTGTCGTTGAAACCTGTTTCTCCACCGGCTCACTGGCATCTGGCGGTGCCGCAGAGTTATATTCTGCCGACACAATGACACTTTTCCGGCTTGTCTCAGCCAGCTTATCAGTGTCCGTGTTCGGGATGTCCGTCGTTTCAACACTTTTCCCCACCGGATCACTGGCTTTCGGTGGTGCCGAAGTCTCGCATTCTGTGGCTACACTGCCACTTGTTGGCTCTGAGACCACAGTTACACCGATACGAGATTCCCTTCCTGCCTCCACTTCCGATTGAACAGATAGACGAATAACCAGTGGGATTCGTATTTCAATCGGTGCATTTTGTAACACAGATGCCTTGGGAACAGCAATCTGTGAGTACGCGGTATTCTCCAGACACGGACGGTTTGGAACCGACGATGCTGCGGCCGCGGATGGGGGAGTTGCCGAAGAAACTGAAGAGCTCGTGGGTGGTACAATCCTTTCGGGGACGCACTGCGAACCAGAAATTTCCTGTTCCCGCTTCGTTAGTAATGCAGACTGGGCAACTGCGGAGGAAATTAACGGGTCCGTGGAGATGGCAGTTTGAACGGATGCTAAGGATACGGATGCCGTTGGAATCGCGGCCGGTGAAACGACATTTGGGGGACAGGAAACGGCCGATGCCAATGGTAAATTAGCAGACTGGGAAGCATCATTAGCATGCGAAAGTGATTCAAACAAAGTTTGCGCACCTTGACCGGCAACACCTTGCAAAGCATGCCCTTCTGGTTTCCTTTCTGCTTTTCTGCTGTTGTAGCGTGGGAGTTGCTTCAGTTTTTGGGCACACTCCTTCAAACGCTCCAGACCCCAAATACCTTGTAATTTTTCAACCAGACGTTCCTCGTATTCCACAACCAGCGACAACGTAGTCGGTGTCCTAGTGATTTCATCCCGAAAACACTGAACGTCCCAGTTTGTGATATCCTGCAAAATTATACAGGAAAAAATATCAACACAAATTAAAGTACAAACAAATGTATTGATCTATATCCAGCAGGAGATCGAAGTCATCCCTGTTTCAGCATTGTTAATACTGCCGATCCTAGATAAGTTAGTACTTAGTACTAAAATATATAAGCAGATATGTTGTTGGACTCCTGAAAGCATAATATAAAAGTAAGTTCTTAAACGCCCATTACACATACCGGAAGCGCAGATTTTGGTTCGAGTATTGTTATTTTCAAACTGCAACTTGCAATTCTTGATAGCTTACTTAAATCGCCCGAGTTTTTCTACTTTTCGCTTGAAGGATTACGGGGTAAATGTCGCGATAAGCAACATACCTTATTATTTACAGATAAAATCCGATCCCCCACAGCCAGTTTATTCTCCAAATCTCTTCCTGGCTTCAGTTTACTTATGAAGAACCATTTGTCACTGACACGACTATCGGAGAAGCCAAAATCGCCGTCCACTCTAGTGATCTCCACGGAGCGTCTATGGGTGTGCGTTCCTTCGCTTTTATTTTGTTTGCACACCGGACAAGCATTAAACGCAAGCTAGGGTAGAACACAATATCATTAATAAAAGATCCACACTATTAGTACCACAAAGAAAAAACGTATGGTTTTACTGGAAATATGTAAAACCTACCATAATCTTTCCCAAAGCATCCTTTATTTCATCCACATTGGTTGGGGGAAGCGTGACAGCTTCCGTCCGTTCGTCTGGTCGACGGTTATTCTTCAAAATAAAGAATGGCTAACATTCGCAAAAATTGCTAATTGATCGGAAAAATTTGCAAATACTCTGCAAAATAACCGGCATTATGATTGTACAACGTAAGTATTACCTCTGATATGACATCGGCGTTTATGGGCAATACAGGCGCTTTCACATCTTCCTTCTTTGCAGCGATGTGGAGCGCTGGCAAGCGGACCTTGCCGTTTTCCAGGAGGATACTAACTATCTCATCATGGCCCTGTTGAGAGGCCACTGACAAGGGCGTACAACCTTCTTCGGTGGATAGGCTCGGGTTAGCGTCCTTTTCGAGCAGGTGATTAACAATATCGCGGTGGTTCTCCTGTGCAGGCAAAATTCACAATTCACACCACTATATATTTTCTAACCGGCAAACGGCATAAGAGTGCAGAAGTACAACATACTGAACTCCACAAACATCCTCTAATGTATTCCACGTCCCATACCTGTGCGGCCATATAAAGAGGTGTAAAACCGATCAGTGATTGCACGTTGACGGCGGCACCATGTTCGATCAGAATACGAACAATCTCGTATTGTCCAGCCAAGCATGCAATATGCAGCGCGGTATTCCCCTTCTACAAAACATTACCACAAATGATACCAGCGTTTTATTACTTGAAACATAATACTAGTATTTTGTCTAATTTTAAATTATTTTACGACGCCTACTACATTTATATATTGTGTTGATGTACGTACTCTCTTCTCCACTTCAGGTTTTATTGTCAATATATACTGTAAGGTGCCAAGTTGACTCGACAATACAGTACAGTACTTCGTATACCAGACGAGTGTCTCTCACAAACATACATTCAAATGAAAAATCTGTCCCTATTCAGCACGTTAATTCTTTTATTGATTAAATACTTATTCCTTTTGCATTAAATAAATACTCATTTTTGGCTGGCTTGAAAAAATTTTCTGAGTATGATTATGTGCAGACTGCTACGCAATTTCACGATGAAAAATTCCAGATAAAAATGTTAAATAATTAGGTATTATACAAACAACGAAGTGGCACATAAACAAAGTTTTGGCGCGAGTATATCAACATTACCCCCGTGGAATAGTGCGGCATATACTGGCGCAGTATTTTCAAATCGAATACTTCATCTACTCTGTACACTGGTGGGGAGACCGGAAGCAACTTACTCTAGTAGCTGCATCAACGGAGGCACCGTGCTTCAGCAGGAGTCTGACAAGCTCGACATGACGTTCTTTTGATGCAAGATGAAGCGCATTGAGACCATTCTACAAATACCGTGTGGATTGATCAGCAAGAGTTTCATCATCACGACTCTACGAGCAATGGCATCATGCGCCCATCTCCGTAACGTGTATATACGGACGAACATAGGAGAGCATGGGCAACGCATATACTGTGCTCGTATCATTCTTACAGCGTTGGTGGCGTTGATATCGGCACCCTGCCGTAGATATTCTTGCACCTTCTTCATATTGCCGGCACGGGCTTCCCAAAGAAAACCAGCATTCCTTTCCGTCTGCCAAAAACACAAAACAATATACTATCAATCAAATTTCACCTGAATCAATCTGGAGTAGGCTTGAATTTACCATTTTGCCATGCTGCTGGAGGAGCACTGTCGGTGCGCAGGTGACATTCTTCTGAGACTGGCGGTTCGGAATGAAGGGAGGTGCGTCGACATTTGGGAAAACCGCCGAAGAAACCGAGGTACCCATGGATGGCACAGCTGGAGCGCATGACGAGGGCACAGGTACCGCTGGAATCGCTGTCTGCAAAGCGGCACGGCGGGACACGCAGCGGTCGGAGTCAAAGATGAATCAGCAGTCTGACTAACATCAGTACACTGCGAAAATGATCCGCCCGACGGTGGTGCAACACTGTCGGCAGAAATCTGAGGACCTTGAACGTCCCGTGTTCGTGCTGCTTTTCTGTTGCAGAGCTGTTCACGAAATTCCAGTAGTCGCTGCGCACATTGTTTCCCACTTTCCTGAGCCCAAATGCGTTCTAATTTCAAAGTTAGGCATTCCTTGTATTCCACGACTAGCGACAATCTAGACGGTGTGCTGATGATTTCATTCCGAAATGTCTGAGCGTTTAAATTCGTGACATCCTGCAAAATTATTTGGAAAAATGCAACAACAACACAAAATACAAACAAGTGTACTACTACTACAGTTGATCAAGCGTCTCACCACTCCATCGTTATTATCATTGTTTTACTGAGCAAAAAATTACTTATCATTATTAATTTAACCCTATAACATAATAATTATTAAAATGTTTAAATATGTCAATGTCGTATACCACTGCAGAATTAATTTTAGTACGCCGGTAGCGCAAATTTTGATATGTATGTTGTTAAATGTTAACTTGCAAATATGTACTGAACATTTTAGTTCGCTAGCTGTAATTTGTTAAGTCACGCGAGCTGGAGACTGGAAGATCGACGAAGATGTCACGATCTATATTCATACCTTATTATTCACAAACAGAATCCGATCTCCCACAACCAGCAATTTCTCCAAGCCTCTTCCTGACTGCAGTTCATTTATGAAGAAACCATTTGCCATTCAGCAGGCAATAAGAGAAGCCAAACACACCGTCCACTCGCGTCATCACCACGGAGCGTCGATGGGTGTGGGTTCCTTCGGTTCTGTTTTTGTTGCACACTGGACAAGCATTGAACGTATGCTAGAGCCAAACGCAGATATTAATAATCAAGCAGAAAATGCATGATTTCTGCCATGTAGAAACCACAACCTACAATAATTTTTCCCAGAGCTTCTTCGATTTCGTCAACATCGTTCGTGGAAGGCTTCACAGTGTCCGGTTGACGTTTATTCTATAAAATTGTCAATCAAGTCGGTACCATCGTAGAAAATTGTAAAACGAGCTTACCCCGTACGGCCCGTAGACATCGGTCGCGAGCGGTGGAAGCTTCAGTACAGATATGCGCGATGAGCCATTACTCTACAAAACCGTAAATGTGAAATTGTTATCATCAGAAGGAAAATGAGCGCATACCACGATCCCACATATCCTGAGAAAATCTGTCCAGCTAAAATTAAACCTAACCGCAACGAAGAAACCACAAAGGCATCCTATCAAGGATACGGACGAATTCCAGTAGCTGATCAATGGATCTACAAAGGCAAATAAAGATTTTAAGTCTTCTCCGTGATCGTAATCCAGTTCCAGATAACAATGAGAACATCGCGTCCTACCAGCATCTAATCGGAGGATGTTTGTGACGATAAATGTTACCAGGCAGGAGATGGCAGTTAAAAACCAATCCGCCATGATTAGAATTTCAGTGGCGCTAATAAAACCACTGACAAAAACTCAGGAAGTTCTGTAGACTGTATTACATTATCATGGAGGACAAACCATTTTTCTGTTCTGACTGTTTCATAAGAAAGCGAAAATCAGTACGATCAATCAATATTGAACCAACAAAACGCTGTGGAAGTGTACATGAAAAATCTAACCACAAGCCCCCACAAGGACATACTGCATGTTCTGCACCAGTTCCCAAAATAATATCACAAAATATTAATATCTGACCGTTCCCTGTACGCATATGCATATGCATAATGCTGCATATGTATGAAGGAATTGTAGATCATTAGGACATCCACGTGGACCATGGCTATTAACAATTGCCTGACCAGGACTCTCCGTCGACGGTGCGTGTACTGTAGTAACTGTACGTACTTACGTTCGCATACGGTACGTTGCGTATCGAATCGAAATGAGTAAATTTAAAAATTAATACTTTAATGATAGAAGTATTCTGTACTCAACATCACCACTACCATCTGTATAATACAAAGTATTTACGATTAATTTGTACTTTAATAGAAGTTATGAGTTATAGCGTTCGTTTGAACTTGGTGATTTTTCCCCTTTGTTTTTGTCGTAATTACGTGCGCGAGCCATCTTGATTAAGGTTCGAATTACAGTAACTAGAGAACAAAAGGTGAACAACTTCCCATTTATCAAGCGTCGCCGGTCACTCACAAAAATGCATTCAAATGAAAAATTTGTCCCAGATGGCAAATTAAAGGCAAAAATATATAATTAATTTGTATGTGCGGTTATACCGAACACGGCTGAATAACGTTGATCACGGGTTGGCCAAAATACAGTCCGCAACTTTATTTTGAAAAGAAAAACCATTTAATAGTCTACGTGTACAATGTTTTTTGCTTAACTTTTGTTATTTTTCCTGTAGGAAATTGTGACGTCTGAGGAAAATACAAGCACTCGTCGCACGTTTACGAAGCGTAAACAAAAATAAATATATCTGCAAACAATCTACATGATACGGTGCAGTACTCGGTGACATGAAGGTATTGAAGGTTATTCACGTTTTTAAGTGCACCGGCTGTAACAGTGATGTCCATTATTGTCGGCATGCTTTTGGCCGGTTGGGGGATTGACTTCCTTACTGGTTAGCATAAGAATCATTAGCAATCAGAAAATAGTTCAACCATAGCTAAAAATATTTATATTAAACTTTTCCGTATGTTCGCTTCCGTCTTCAATGTGGCAGCAAGAGCTTAAGTGCACCAGTGCGATTTTCCTTAAAGATTTGTTGTACAATATGTACATACAGCGGGTCTGTACTAGTCGGAGTAACTGCAACTGAGTATATTTTATTCTAATTATTGTGTAGATAATTATTACTTGTTTAACGCAAATATGTATTAAATAGCTACGCATTTAACACCGATGGACCGCATCCTGATTTACGAGTAGATTATTAATAATTAATTTGTATATAAGACAATATGTTTAAAGTTAAGCGCTAGCGTTTGTTATTCTCTGACAATTGCAACTGAGCTGCTGTAAAGTATAGCATAAACGTCACGAATACGATGCCGAAATTGCCTCAATCTGAAACAAAACTTTTCTGCAGATTTATTTTAAGCGCATGAGACATCAAGTTCAATTTGCAGTGGCTAGATAATGATTCAGCCTTATCAAAAAAAAGGAAAGACAGTCAATTTTTGGCACCCATCCTGTTTAGCAACGGCATTGCAGCCGCCAAACGGCATTGCGCACCGGTATGGTCATAATAAATAATTATTATTGTTAATAATATCAATGGTCTGCATCGCTTGTAGTCAACTTTGTACGTATGGATGACCACTAGCAGTGAGCCGGTAGTAGTGATGATGATGCGCATCATACCATGACCAATACAAGACATTCGTGTGTACCTGATCAAGTTTGCCGACTCATCGACAACTGGGTGGTACCCTCTGTGGTCGCTCTCAAGTATCCGCCAGAATCATGTAAAACTTTCTGCATGTTTATAGCGTGCAGTTATTTTACCCAGTTCGCGATTATTAGAGTTGGTGTAGAGAGAGATACCGATCTGCACGAGAGACCCGGCTAAGTTAACGTTTGATGCAACTCGGACATAGCATATCATTAGCCAGCCTAGCCATTGTAGACGGAACTAATTTTTCGGTCACTGGTTCCACTTTGATCGTTTTAATCCATTGTTTAATGATCTTTTCCTTGAAGGTGTCCGTGTTAACAATATAACTTTCGCTATCTAAAATCGTGTATTGCTTTATTATTTCACTCCGGGATACCGTGGAGTAATTTAGCCGGTTATAATGAATCACCTTTTATCCACCATGGCGAAGCTGCTGTTATCGGTATTCTGCATTATTTTGGGAATCACTTGTATTGCGGCATTGCCAACAGGAGCCCCCAGCACCGGCTGCGTGTCCATGTATCCCCAGCATCCCGGGCCGAATGGTCCAGTTAGTGCGCAGACCGGTCTGACGGTGCCCTTTCAGATTATGGTAGCACCGGCATCCGGAACCGGCTCGGGCTGTAAGTTGCGCTCATTTGTCAAATTTCACTAGTGAGTTACTTATTACCTATAACTTCAATTATAAAGTAAAGATCAAAAGTATATTTATTCTTATGCTACCGTAGCACTGTTATAACAGATTAAAATAACTAAAATTAGTGGATTCCCAACAACAGCAATACCGAAAGAATTAAAATTATTATTCGTAATGTATTACTAACATGTAACGCGCTTTTTTTCCTTAATGGCTGCTGGCTAGTAGCTACTAGTTTTATGTTTCTCACAGTCGCACGCGCGTAGGCTTTGTTGATTACGTTAAGTAGAACAAAAAACAATAACTAATTTAAATATAGTTAGTCATCCTGACCATATCGCAAGGAATAAGTTTTGCCTTTGATGAAAGGACAAGTGACCGTTTGCACTTTTCGCACGGCACAACAACAACCATCCGTACGATAGTATTCTTTCCAATTGATTGTAGCAAATTACGGTACCGATGGTAGGTACTGAATTCATTAGAGTAATTTACCTTGTAATCGACAGGTGAATGACAATAGGTAACTATTGCGACTTATGCTCTCCTCGATCATGACAGCCTGACAAAAAACCCCGCAAGTTTACCGTCACTTTCAGTTTTGAATTGTGATTATTCGTAAATGCTGCATATTTACGCTAAAGCGTGAGTTGTATAGTATCATTAGTATGTACTCAGCATACACAGTTTATTCAAGATACAAGGACAAACACTTTCCTATGTATGTAAATCAAATTAAATTAAATCAAAATTTGAATCTAAATTTCGAGCTCCACATTTCTTCGTGTCGAACTATTGGAAAACAATTTTAACAAAAATCAAGCCATTATGCTGCTATAAATTTATTAACTCTTAATGTACATATATAGATATTTACTGCACAAACAATGTATAGACATGTAACGATAAGTACATATAGGCGCTGTGCATTTTGTCAAAAATAAAGTTTTGTTCTTACGAATGCTGTTATTTTGCAGTCCGAATTACGGTTGTTCGCAATCCTAATTTTCCCGGCGCTCCACAGTTATTAGGATTTTTCCTGCAAGTACGGGAACCAGGAGTGCAGTCTGAGATGCCACTGGGTGAATTCGTGCAGCTGCCACCTTATGCGAAATTTGGAGACTGCGGTGCTCCACCCAACCCTACCTCGCCAAACACCATAACGCATGTGAACAACTTCCCCAAGCCGATTGATGGCGAGGGCTTGGTATTTTTCTGGAACCCTACCAACATCCCGAGCAGTGTCAAGCAAGCGCAAATACTGTAAGTATACAGTACGTGAAATATTAATGCCAGTTATCGAAAGCTTAAATTTTCTTAGCGGTTTGCTAAAATTTAACGAGATTCGGTAATAGTAAATTCGGGATCAGATAAATTTATGATTTTGGGAAACATTTCCACAAATAGTCAACCGGTTTGCTAACTAAGAGAAGATTAAAAAATATTAAAGTACAGCGGAAATCGCCCGTGAAACAGTTATGTACGTACACTCTTAGATTATAGATACGACTGATGTAGTTATTCTGCATAGTTCGACGTAAATGCAGTTCTAGGATTAGTTTACTTGCATAATGCATTTACGAAGGATTCTCTGCACTTTTAAATTAATAACTTAAGCAAATTTAAAGAAATGTGGTTAACTGCATAGAACAATTTCAGTATTAGTAATCGACATTTATCTAATTATTTTTATATCCTTTTCGTCACAGTTTTTATTAACTCAAAAAGCGGCTGGCTCACCCGCAGAGCAGAAATCTAAAGTGCTTAATGGATTTTTATTATTTTATGACAAGAATAATTGGAACGTCTTGTACAATATACAATGTAAAAAATGCGGTTGTATTGTGGCGCATCCGCGAATATCAGCGCGTAATTCCCCGGAACTGGGTGATCGAACAGATATATATGTTGCTCATCACGCGCGTAACATTCTTTTGTGTCTTATGATTATAGCGGCACTTTGTGCAGAATCTGCAGACATTCTGGGTGAAAGTGCCATCACAGATCTTCGACGTCAACAACGATGTACCGCCAACACCCAACGTGCCGGTGATGGTGCCCAACGCACCGGCGTCGACGGATGCCGCTATGATTAATCACAACGCACACGGTAAGTCATCGTCTAAATGAAAACGATCACATCACAGAAAAACAACGTAATCATCATCGTCATCCAAATATGTGCATATGCTTATGAACAGGAAAAAATTCATCATGACAGAGTGCATCCATCTTAGACATGCTATCAACTCGCACAATTATTATACCGTTGTTTTTCTAAAGGATTTTTGCATAGTTATATGTGTTTTTTCTTGCAGTCAATGATGCCAACACCGTCAATGTGAATAATGACCGCCGACCCGGTTTCGGTAACACCGCGGCCGAGAATCCAGTTATCAGCAGCGTTCCGCAAACCGGTAGCCGGCCAGTTATCGGTCCAGCGGGATCAGTCGGATCCGGATGCCAAAGTGTATTTGCCGGTGTATTACCTCTTGTCGGCGCGTCATTGTTATTATTACTCTAGATTACCAATGGGGCAGATGAAGATTTTTTAAACGTGATTTTAATTTGCTTTTTTGATATTGAAATCCTTGTTATCTCAACCTCGTGTCAATCTCTCTCACTCTCTTCGTCGGACTACGGTCTGATTATTTCGGGAATGTGTGTGTACTGTTTAATTCACGGACACTGCATCTCACTTATAGTTGCACTTGAACACACATGGGTGGGATCCACCGCGGCGCGCACTGTTGTTGCATATATAATTTTGTGGATACCGTATATATATTATACCAGTGTTTGTCCGGTCGAATGTGTCGTCCGATAAGTTACGTCACGGTCGCCGCGATCGTCCCAATGTTGCCGGCTATTATACGATATTCGTATTAATACACAGAGAAAAAATCGATTGCTGGGTACCTGCAAGCTCACCTATAGTCGGTGGATATGCTATCCATTCTGACACAAGTGTTTTTTCTAATGGCAGCTGGTGCGATGACCAGCACATATTATGACACTGTATATATATGTTCATGCCGTTTAGCCATTTTTTGTTGTTACAAAGCGTGCACACCGGGAAAAACATTGTCGATTCTGAGGTGAGTGCGCAGCACGACAGCACGAAGTCAAAAATGGACAATCACTGATCGATACTATATAGCAATTTCCAGTTCTGTCGTTATTAAAAATCGGCGCAACCTTACGTGAGCGCAAAACTGAACGGCCATAAGTACTACTAACCATAAGAGCTGTGCGCTTCGATCGTGCGCAATTGAGCAAACCTAGATGCTCCAATTAAGTATTAATTACTGTACATTAGTACTGTTATTTTTACTTTGCAGTAATGATAAAACATTGTTTTTACACAGCAATAATCCTGCATGTTTTAATAATAATTTAGCACAACAAGGATACAACATTTGTAAACAATGCAGATTTGTACATACTAAGTACGCGAACATAATTTTTGAAATGAACCACAACATAAATTCACCACACTTTAATTAAATTAACACGAAAACAAATTGAGATCATTGAGTTTTGACTTGTGTCGTTTTGTCTCGACAAACAGAGGTGAGAGTATAAGTACAGCTACGATCGAGTAGGTAGAGGGATAAGACTAGTTAGCACACGATTTGTACACACGGGGCTACTTGGGCAGCATCGGTGCTCCGTAGGTCTGTCCGAAGGGATTAACCGGAGAAAAGGGAGACAATCCAGCCATCCCTGGAAGAGACGTTACACCGTGCATTGAATCATATCCTAAGCACAATGGGTGAATATGTAATGAGTGCCAAGCAAGACTAAGCTGAGAATGCTGTACTGACCGCCACATACTACTACTATGCAGTGTGCATGTGTAATAAATAAATACAAAAAATTGACAAATCTATGTTTGATATGAATACAGCGCAAACAAAAATTAAGGTTCAACCTTGCAAAGCGCTGCAGGGCTAGCAATAGTAGCGTATGAATTCAACATGCTACAAAAATATATTATCTATGAGTTTCATTTTGTCAAATATCGTATCTGACTTGTAAATTATAAAAATTATTTCACGGTTTTCTTCTTTCAGAGTTATTACATTTTCTTGCCACAAACAACCAGTTAAGAATTCCAAGAAAGTGCTGTTGCGGTCAAGGATAGCCGGTGTGCGAAAACTGTATATCGACGGGTGTACTTACTGGAAGTGCCGCTGAGAAATGCTTGTGGTGCCGCCATGCCCATATGGCTCATGTTACCGGTGGACGGATAGGCACCATTGACCGCTCCGTATCCGTGATGGCTGCTGTTGACGCTGTTGTGTGATGACTGCGGACTACTTCCGTATCCGCGAGGTGATATACTACTGTTCTGGTGGCGTGAATAATCTGTGGGCAATACAGAAAACTGATGATTGCTGTGTGTAATTTGGCATTTAAATTATTGTGATGGCATGTAGAGTTATTGAGATGAACCAGTATATATGGAAGGTAAATCGAGATTACCTTCGATCATGCCGCCATTTTCCGCCATTTGTGAGTAGGAATACGGCGCCATTCCGCCGGTACCCGTGGGCGAACGGGTCAGCGTGCTGCGCGAAACGCCCGCGACCATGAATTCCATTACATCAGCAGCGCGCTTCAGTACCGTTTCCTGTGTATACAGAAAACTTTATGTTAATAATACATTCTTGCACAATAATTTAAAAATATGCGCGCCAAAATAACGTACTCCAGAAATTTTCGAAATATGAGGGATGTGTAATTCAAATAATTTACAAAAAAGAAGAAATTTTCCTTTGAAATTTTATCGTTGTCAAAAATACCGGCACGTGCAGAAATTTTAATATTCTTCTTCTTTATCTGTATATAAAATGTAAGTTCATTAAATTTGGCGATGAAAGCGCTGATGCAGTCTTCATTTGATTGTAATAGTGGTACTTCATCAACAACTTTAGCCTAATCACTGCTCTCTAAATACCACGCACAGGCATAGCAACCAGTAAGAAAATACTCTGCTGACAAATGACTGGACAAAGCGGCTTTGAATTTCGTCTTATGACATAACATGCGCGCATCTTCAGAACGCTGAATGGCACCTCGAGTGCTGTTACGTACCCTTCCCAGCCTCTCAGGGTCACCGGCTTGCCGCGGCACCATGCGACCCAGTCGTTGGAAGCCGCATTCCATATCGGGGGTAGTACCGGCTGAAACAACAACAAACAACCATCAACGCAGAGGTATAACTTTCACCGGCGCTGTAAACCGGATTATGGCACCTCAGCTTTACCCACTTAATCGGATCTTCACACTTAGTACAGCTACAAGCCGATTACTATAAGATAATCAGCGGCTAGATATTGCTCTTCGTGGTCGTTCGCAGCGATGTTTTTTATCGACTTGTGTACAAACTAATTAACGTAGTGCAGTTTTTGAACAAAACTGTGGCAAAATTATCAAACGCAATTAATCAAAAACTACAGTTTATGTTAGGGCGAGAAAATATTAAGTACCCCATGAGAGAGTTCCAGCATGTATGTAGCGTAGTGCCATGTGTAACGACTTACCCGCATAGATAAAGCGACCCGGCTGGGTTCGACAATACTGTTTGGATTTGTAGCTCAGCGTGACCTCCACCACACCGGGCATGGTGCGCGCCGGCACCTGTACGCGCAGAGCGTGGGTCGTGATCAATTCGGCCCAGACCGGCACTTGTCCGAATACCACTTGCAGGCCTTCGAAGAAGTTCTCGCCGATTATGACACAGGTCGAGCCACCGGTGCACATTCCCTCAGCCGGCGTCACTGCTTTGATTATCGGCATTGCTGCAGAAAATGGTCGATACATACATATGAAGTTATATACATATGAACTAAGAAGTAACAGTAAGCATGTACAGATATTAGATTCTCTTAGGTTATTTTGGTGATAAGAAAACACTCTGGACCGGATTGGCCTTAATGTTAATATAGGCTTAATTTTTTCTTATGCTTCTTTCTGGCAGGTACCGTATACGGTATAACCCGAATAGTAACGCAGAAATGTAGTGAAGCGGCTACAGGTAAGGTCAGTAAGTTGGACATAAGCACGAACGATGCTCAGTCAAGGCAAGACTTAAGTCACTTAACTGCTCCAGAATGCACTATAATACATTAACACTTTTTTGATCAATTACTACTAACGAATAATTTTTCTTAGGTTCACTTCAAGAAAATGAAGTACTGTAGCACTGTCTAATCTTTCTGTGTACCTCCGTCTATGGGATCTAGTCGCTTAGTTCGCCTGCCGTGTTTGGAATTGTTATGCACGAACATGTTGTCGGAAGTGGCCAGAATCGGTGCATCCGCTCGAATGGATGTGGAAACCGCCACCTGGAAGCGTCTCATGTCACGGGGATTTCCGGCATTCTTCAGACAGTTTTGATTGCATTTCAGGAAGAACTTTAGGTAGCACCTGGGCAAAAGAGCATCTGCATACATATATATTTTTGGTGTATGACATATGTAACATTGCATCGCATTCAACGTTGTCGTATGCATTGTGCGCTCGTTTACAAAAACCGGAATTAACTATAGGCTTTTTGCGCCGGTCTCGTGCAATGACATTCAGACCGGATACAACATCTAATCGGGAATGACCTCAAATGATGTGAGCGCTATATCTACATTATGTGCGTGACATTTTTCATTATCATACCAGCGAGACGATAGCAGCGTGCTGTAGGTAAATAATTGATTAACTTAAATACAGCGCCCGTGCACTGCTGCTGTAGATCGTGCAGTCTGTTGTCGGAATATTCTGCACAGTGCATTTTACCGGATCACGACCAACTTCATCATAATTGAATCCTGGACATCAGTCCACATTTCGCCCATTATCGCACTACGCTGCTAATCATTTCTCGATTCCGCTGTGCATTTGTCAAAATTAAATTTGGCCATAACAACAAGTCAATGTTGTGCCAATGTGGCATAATAAGATCAAAATCTACTGCAGTTGCGTAGCATGCGCAGCAGTAATTATCGCAGCGCAGAAACACACGAGCTCCATCCGCTGTGGAATATTATTGATTAGCTGTGCCAGAAATTACGCATAATGCCAATATTAATCATACTTACATAGATGACCGAGAAAATAAAAGCACAACCGAAAGCGGCTCCAAGTTTACAAATTTTAATTGTTTTAAAAATGTTATTCGTGTAATAGGGGTGATCGTAGTTTTTCGCGCTTCCGGTTATGGTTGTCGTCAAAATTTTTTTGTTGCCGACGCGATGCACAACGGAAAAAGCGCTGAAAATTAATTAAATGATATCGCTGCTGAAAAGCTCTTTTTCGCTCTAGTAGGAAAACTGTCGATCTCGATAGGAAAATATTCATGCATGATTTCTCTTCGTTAGTGTATGGAGTGCAGTGTAAACAGGACTCTTCGTACTCTCCATGTTGATTGTATCACTTGACTCTTGTCTGAAAATATTTGCTCTAGATCTAGCTGATCAGGCGGATGATTCAATCGCCAAAATGCTGCGTAATCCTTCATCCAATCTACGAACCAGTTGTTCCCAACATTCAATACGCATAGAACCGTCTCCTGTTACGTATACGTTACATACGTTACATACCGGCATAATGCAAGGCAGCAATTCTGCAAAATGAATTTACTCTTTTAGGTGACCGTAAATGTACTTAATTCCAAAAATCTTATATTTAAATCTAGTCAACTTATGATATTGATTTACGCCTTATGCATCACCAATTTTTATTTCTAGCTAGGCTAGTTTATGCATCACCAATTTTTATTTCTAGCTAGGCTAGTTTATCCGAAGCCTTTCAGTGTTGTAAGCGTAGCAAAATATTGTAAGAATTAAATTTACCGCACGGTGGCAGTTAGATTAGTCAAGATTGCCCTGTAGCAAAACGCATAGTCTTCAGATTACAAGTGGAAATCACAGCGGTTTCCTTTTGTGATTTGGACTCTCCGCGATTATCTAAGAGAGTCCTGTGGGGCTGCGAACCACACTGCTACCAGCATTCCCTCGGTGACGGTCGATGTAGGTCCCCAAAGAATGCCCTTGTTCGCCGCCAATATTCGACACATATCTTCCAGCTATGTAATCCCAGTTTAACTTTGCGGTAATTAAATTAGGTTTTCTAAGTGGCCAACAACAGTTTTGTATCAATCATTGTAATAGGTGGCTGTTTTTTCGATAATTAATTGCACTCCTCCGTTATGTTGGCTGCGCTCACTGCACATAAGGCACATCAAATGTTACGTTCAATAAAAAATATTGTTGCGCAGCCTGAAAGTGTTGCACCAAACAATTTCTACCATTTTAATACCTAATGCCAGGAAATTTCTGTTTTTGCTCCAGTGTATAATGCAATATAATGTGAGTTTGTGTTTTTGCTTCCCTTTAGTACAAAAGGTCACGTGTATCTGAACACTTGCAAGTGTACTAGCAAGCAAAATGACAAAGAGCGATATAATCAACTACAATATTACAGCAAACTTATGGCGCATGACATAAATAAAGTAGATTTGCAATTGTTTTGAATTTATATACCCATGCATTATTTCGGGTCACTCCAGGTCTACTTTAAATTTTAGCCTAAATGTCGATAGCGCGACATTTCATGTTGGTGCTGCGGGCTACTAACAAACTTAAAGGTCATCTCAAACTAGCATAAAGTTACAGCAACTAGCATTGTATTAGAGTTCTATTATGAGCGCCACAGCGGAATATATGGGATGGTAAAGCATACTAATGTGTGACAGAATGTTGACTTTATACTGAGCTAATTACTCAAATGGAAATTGATTTTCTGCCCATATAGATGGGGCCATTTTAAATGACATTTACGTAGATGAAACTTTTGGCAATCACATCAAACGCGCATACTGTATACTGCGCGCGCAGCTCCTTGGATCTTAAGCTGACATCCAGTACCGGCATCACATTGCCCGTCAGATATCGCGACCGGGAATATATTACTGTCAAATGTAAGAGACGCAATTGTCCCACTGTACATTTCCTAGGCGCAACGGGAGCACAAGCCGGCTTTCTCCATCAAATGCTATGCAGAAATCATGTCCCAAGCCCGACCGACAGCCCGCCGCCGATATGTACTTACTACCGTGTTAAAGGGTAAGATCATTTTTCGATTGATTATAGCGCAATGACCAACAAGCTGCCGCATAATCATGCAAAAGTTATCCTTTTTCTCTGGCACATCTGTTACGCTGCCAAAGTCGGTGCCGGCTTAATGATTCTGTGCTGCCAATCGGTAACAGCAATGTAATACGTAAATGCAAATTGGCAATGAGAGGTACAGATGGGCTAAATGGACTTAAATCTTTCTTGTTATGACATAATTCCATAGCCATTATTTTTCACTGCGGATGATGGAAATACGAATCAGATTAGACAAGATGATAAAATGCTGCGCAGATATCATCGGATTACGACAACTGCTTCCAAGAATAATGATACTCGCACTATTTATCAAATCCGATCAACATTAAATAGGAAAGCTCAATAAACAGTGTTATATATTCTAGTACATAAATCAGCGATCATCCAGCCTTTACGGCTTATAGCTTAAAATATAACATACGAGTGAATTGACTGTAAAATTTTTGACCTTTCTTGCGAGGAAATTGCAGGCACTACACTCTGTAAGCGAATTGGCAATGTTATTATCATTGTTTAGCTAAAAACCGTATTTAAACTCCAAAGCGAAGGACTATGCCTCCGAAATTCATACATAATACCTAGCTTAGTGATTTTAAGCTGGTGACAGTAAACTTTTTTTTGCGTCAAAGGGTTTCACCCTAGGACAAGCGCTGCAAAACTGTGAGGTGCGCGAGCACAAGGTAGATTAAGTACTAGTACTCTGAACGCAACGTTGACCAAAGTTCAACTTGCTCGTTACCGTCACATTCGCCCTGGACAATTCCGAGCATCACCTGGAAACCCTAGTTTAACCACCTTTTGCATGAAAGTCGCTTTGACATTGTTAGAAAGATCCCAAAAGGAGCGGAAGTGGAAGAGGGAATAACAAAGCGGAAATAGACGGTACAAAGACTTTGTGACCGCATCAAAATTCAATCGCTCACAATAAAGTGATAACATCTTGGCTACTGCCGATAAAAACTGAGCGCTAGAAGAGTATGGATGATTGCAAACTGCACAGAAAAGATACTGCAAGTTTCGCCAAACAACGAAGGATGTGCTTATGCTTTGGCGAAGCCAGAAATAAACAACCGGTTAAGCTTGAATCTCAATTATATTTTTATAATTACTTTTCCAAATAAACACGGAAACTTGAATTGTACACAAATAAGTGTTTTCTGCAGCTCTCCCCAATAAGAACGATATAATGTCTAAGATTTCAACCAATGCTGACGCTTTTCGAAGTTGTGACCTCGCGCCATTCATCGCGTAATTAGAAACATATTGGAATTTCGATATGACTATATATAAGTTTGCTTATATGGATTTTTTTAATAAGGGCAAAAAAACTTGCTGCAATATAAAAGTTTACAAAGATTTAAGAAAGTTTACAGTTTTGTTGAAAATCCTTACTGCGTTAAGCAAACCAAGCTGCCATCAGCGAAAGGTCATATACGTTGAACAAGTTTGCGTCTTCCATTATTGTGTTGATAAACATAGAACGGTTGCTTATCCGTGTCCTATATCGCAGTGGTACAATAACTCACTGCGGACATATAATTACTATTGGGATTTATTATCACCTCATTTCCCGCGATATGCTCATCAGCAGATATGATACTCCAGAGTCATCTGGTACTAACGACCATCCTTACTATCCGCCACCCCCAAATTCCCAAACAAGTCCCTACAGTCATGTTTGGTTTTCCACACATCATGTACATGTACCGCGCCATATATCTGTATGAACGCTCGCGCTGTATGGGATCATTTTGGACGCTCCGCAACGCTAGCGGCAAAACACCCATCACAAGCAAACCCATGTCGAGCGCAGCAGATATCAGGCACAATTTATGACCGGCTATATATTCTTGGCTGCACTGCAGGCGGGAATCCGCTGGGAATGCGGAAGAACCCGCCGGCAAATATATCAACCTTATTCCCGCAAGGAGATTTTGCTTTTCTCCAACAAATTATTCTACCAATCATTGTATCAAAACTCTGTAATCTACCAAGGGCTCCATAGAGATTTTGCAAATCCCTAATGAGATCCGGGCTGCGCGGCTTGATGGGAAGCCGCGTACATATGTGCGTATACATATACACAATGAGCATTGTATATACATACGTATACTGTGTTGTTCTGGTGTGGCGCATCAGTACACTACTCAAATATGCAGATGAATTGCCGACCTTGTTTGCTGCGTAATCTATACTCTACTGGAATGTTTTATTAACTGAAATTCTTCCAACGGTATCATCATATATTGGACACATTTTTCCTATCCCAAATTGCTCTTACATATTTCAGTGAAAACATCACGCACTGGCCATTTTACGCTGCATCCATCCCGCGTCCCATGGGCCGAGAATACGAGCCCGATAGGATAATTAACGGTAAATGCGTTTAGTTCCATGCTACCTTGCCGTAAATCCAGGGGGAACAACAATCAGCTATAAACCTGCTTTGTTTACATACCCCCATGTAACGGAATTGCCGGAGCAATTGCATTTCATCGCGTCAGCGCCCTGCATATCGTGGTTTTGTCTCGGACTTCCGTTACGCTGGTTAACGACCAGGCGTTAGTAAAGGTTATCAGCACGAAAATTGTACATAAATAAATCATTAGTACATAAACTACCGGAAGCTACACTAACGAAATGTGCTTCTATTGATGAAAAACCTTGCTGTACTGTATTTTCCAAATTGAAAACAACATATTTATGTCAGCGTTCGTTTAACTGAATATTTACAGCGAAGACTCTTTTAAAAATCGGTAAATTATTTTGTGATTGAAATACGCATTAGTGTTTCCATATGTTACAGAACAAACGCTGATGGTCATTTCGATACACAAACGAAACACGTACAATCGCCATGGCAAGTGACATGGAAAATAATTTATTCGAATTAGCTAATCAGTGCAGCTTAAATAATTGTATAACAGAAGTGGAAAATACGAGACTGATGGTTTTTAGCCGAACATATGGCGAGTAGAAAGGAGATACCCCACGCAGTCATTATAAACAGGCGGCAATTATATCGCAATATGAGGCCGACACTGTAGATATACTGCTAGCTGCTGCCGCTCGATCCGGCCGGCGCAGCAGAAGGAACGCGCGGCACACACAATTGTATCCAAATGCAGCGATATGGCCCGCTGCATTTAATATTACCGCTTATAGATCCAGAAACGCCCCCGTATTAAGCGGAGAGCGGGTTCGGGATAGGGATCATATGGTGCACTTTGCAGGGAGCATTTACGTCTATATGCGCCCAGATGAATCTGCTCTATGCATAGAATTCACCAGTTCAAACAGACACTAATTAATCAGAATTATCATACTCGAGCGGAAAGTGTGAAGTAATGTGTAGAATAAAAACAATACTGAGCAAGTCAAATATTTTCATTTTATCACAAAAACGTATTACGCTGACCATGTTTTTTAAAGAATTAAGTTAAATCCATTGACTAAAACATATTTAGTAAATAATTATGGTATCAATATCATTAATAATAATAAAAAATGAAAATGACATACAATAAGCACCTTTAAGTGAGTTTTCGGTTATGGTACGAATTTCACGTTTCCACTTTGTAAAAATCGTTGACCAGTTTACGTTTGTGCACTTCGACCTAGTTTCGTTATGAACAGCCGATATTGTCATCCGCATGTAATCTTGTGACAGTAATTGCTAAACATATTGTCGAGGGTAATCTTTCCCTGGTTTTTGTAATCAAATGCCGGACTGGAATCGCAATGATCCAGAAATGGCAAAGCCGGGCATATTGTGTCGAAGCCATGGCTGTAGCCGTGTCGATCAGAACAAAAGTAGCCCATATAAGCAGCGGGGATGATTAGCCGGAATAGAATTTCATTGCCTCATATTGGCCATCGTGCATCGTATATCCCTGCCGCACACACTCAACCACACCACACTGACTGCCACCTGTCATACATCGCTACATGTCGCGCGCGCGTATCACTCTTCAATTTGACTAATCTGCTTTTTCTTTTAAAATTCCCTACAAAGGACTGTCTTCCTATAATAAACTGAATACCATATTCTCTCTCCATATTCGGCCATTCATCCTATTTCTATGCGCATACTGCGAAAAGGGAACGAAGATTACAAGGAAGATAAATCAAGTGTATCCATATTTTCATGCCTGAATATGAGGTCACGCGTTATCCATAAAACTGACAAGTTTACCGGTTTGCGTGTCAACAAGCTTTTAAGCCTGGCCCAGTCCCTACCATTACGTCTTGTAGGCCCTATTAATCTGATTATGCGGTTGCGGTCATTAATGGCGATCCTCTACGTGTTCCCCGATCTGGCTTACCTCTGATCATCTCCCCGTACAATAGCGGGATCAGATGGAGTTTCATTTCGATTTCCGCAGCTTTTCTTCTCGCAGCATCGACTGAAAAAGACTGCATTATACGGGTGAAGGTGTGCTCAATACGGATACGATGATACATAAAGGTTACAGCAGCGATTAATATACTAGCGTCGAAACTGCTTACCTGCACATTACTTCATGCGTTAACAAAACCCTGCACATTTCGGGATTTTTATCCTGTCCTTCATAGACAATCGTCTGAAAAAAAAACATAATTAGAACAAGCAAATTCCATATAAATAAATATGTACAATAAACAATTACTAAAAAAGTTATCAAGGTGTTGTTGTTGTCTCTCTGAACAGAGTATTTAGCTAACATAAGTACTTCAAGAATTAATGCAAAAGAATTACCAAATGACAGTCACAATTCTTATTACTTTATATGTGAGAAAACTGGACCAAACCAGGAATTACTGTAGTAGATAAACAAAGTGTTCACCGATTTGCATAATTATTTCCGAGCTAGTCGTAATTTAATAACGCCGGTCAGTATTGACATTACACCCTATTGACACGTGTTCGCATCTTGTTGGTGGATGCACACAGCAATTGATCTGTCGACCGCCTCTTTGTCATGCTGGATTAGCGGGGCAAATAAATTTAAATTTTCCCGTTTTCCCCCCTTTTGGGTAAACACTGTATTCCTCCCTGTTTCCTGATTAATTTACCATAACTCTCAGTGAGAAAATGGGTTAAAATGACAAAATAATAGCACTTCAACTATGCTAATCTTTTAATAGTTTGCTTACGTGCGCTGTGCCCAAGTCAAAAATTCATATATATGCGGTTGGGCGCTTGGTGTTGATAGGTAGTGAGAACGATAAAAGATGTGTGCTTTTCTCGCGATCCTTATCCGCCAAAGTGTGACGAACGACAATTCGGCAATGCGCCAAGGGTCGTTTACAGAATGACCTTGTGTACTAAGCGTAACGCGCATATTCATTTGGGATGACAGTTCAACGTTTCAGTTTCTGTTTCATAATTGTGTACTACCAAAACCGCTTTACAGTGTTTCTAAAGGTTAAATAATTATTATTTGTTCAGAAAGGCGCGGAAGAACTCGTTTGGAAGTCCGACATTTAAAGCTAATTTAAAGGAATTATTTGTAACACTGACTGAACTATCTAAAAATTAAGTTAAAATTTTGCTCTAACGCTGCAGCGTAATAAAAGGTAATACGGAATCAGTAACTATCGGCATTGTAATGGTCTATATACTGTACATTGAATATATGGATTTATATTTATCCCACTCGGAATCTTACACCAGCTAATCACTTCGTCAAAATCTCTAAACAGTTCATCTAAATCCAAGGCGCGATTCGCTCCACTCTAGCATATCCTGTGTAGCGAACATCCCGTATAAGAAGTGATTTTCTACGCATCAATGCCTCTGTATACCGCGATATTATCCGCACTGGATGAAGCTGATTAAAGACGAGAGGATCAAAATGCATCGATATACCGAAAGTTGGACTTAATAAACACACTATCGATTGTACATTTTCTCTGATATCCGGCTTCCGCTACGATTTTGCAAATATATGCAGCTGACTGAAACTGCACGCAAAACTTCGACATTAAAGCGTAAAAATCTATTCTGCGGGCGTATATAAGTTTCGTCCGTAATTTTGTAATACTGCAAATAAACTGAGCAGATAACGGTCAGCTATTTTTTGTAAGCGCTCAATATTCAATAATACTCGCATAGCACGTATTTTAAAATAATTACTGTAGTTTTACCTGTTTGGTAACGGAATCAATGAGGCGGATATAAAGGTCCTGCTCCTTTCGCAACCCTGCAATACAATCACCGAATGTCTTATTTAAGTTAAGTTACAGATGATAATCATTTCAGACTAACCTTAAATATTTTGAGGGTAGAAAAAGTAGTATAAGATAAGGAAGGTTTTTATACTGCTCGACTGTGTTCATGATGCCAAAAACACGTGATTTTAACCGATTGTGGCTGTCATGGTGTATATTTGTCATTTACTTATAAATTAAACGGGAGTTTTTTTCGGCTATGATCCAGTCCCAGTGGAGGGACATTATTCAAACCCTTGTGTATTTGTTGTATTTCTTCCGATATGTGGACACGAATACCGACACCACACTGGGGAACTACGTTGGTGTCCCCAAGGGCTGTTGTCAACAGTTATGCATGGAAATTCGAGGAGTGTCTCTAAGGAACAATTACGATTAAATACCTTATCATTAAGTTATATTCATATCGATGTATCCGCATATAAGTCCTCACTGCAGTACTAGTGTGCGTATAAAAAATTAATGTCCCTAATTAAGAACTTTCGGAACACAATTCGTCCTAGTTATGACGAAATATTAGCTCTATTCATGCAATTACCGCAAAACTGAATAAAACTTTGTACAATTTTTTCAAGAAAATATTCCACATACTTCAGGGATATGCGCATGATCTACATATCACACGCACAAATTGGGGACAGCCTTGTCTAGTGATGTCAGAATGAAGGGCTTAAGTAGGCCCGGAAAGGGAAAAATGTAAATCGCTTTGTAGGGCCGAGAAAGTTGCTGCTTAATTTGTCGATTATCGACCCGTATGAGTTGATATGCTTTTCAGCCTCGCGGCCGATTTCACACTCCTTTAGTGTGCAAAGCCGACTATATATCGCTGCGGCTGCGCAGCCGCTTTCTTGTTGACTGCAGTGATCGGGATGACGGGAGGGATAATTCCAGAGACAAAATGCATAAACCACTCGAATTGATCAACTTCAAAGCCTCAAGGCCGGAACCGGATGATTAGAATGCATTTCACAAGTGACTAGAATAATTTATGATGTTATCCTTAATTTTTGCAATCAGTCTCATCCTCGGGGCTAACGTTCGTTTTCGATGCCGCTACCACAACATAGCCCACGGTGCAGATATCGAAACAAACCGTTCGAATGCAACTTTTTTGTCGGTTATCTTTTCTTCTCATTCTCCACTTCGTATATTACATTTTGATTGTTCACTTTTTATGACTTTTGATCTTCTTTTGCGCTGCAGCAGTTTGTATTTTTAAGGGCAGTAGCAGTACTAACTACCCAGTAGATGTTTAATTTGCTATACGAGTAGAACTTCTATTTACGTCACACTTGTTACTTACCGCTGCTGAATAAAAGTCCCAATCTGTAATGAACGCCATTGTTTGTTTTTTGGTTTTCCGGTTCCTGAAAATCGACTGCATTAAAACAGAGTACGTCTACGTTCTGATCTCATATAATAAAATATTTCACTGCCTTTACAACAGCATTGCATTTAACAGTAAATTATGCTTTAAAATAAACTTGTCACAGATCGCTAATTATAGGGCTGAAGGGCTTTACAATTTGTTACACTTGGCAGCAGCTTAGAGGCGAGATTAATGGTGCCGAAACCCATGCTGTGTTATTAAGAGGCTACCAACAAGTACGTATCTGTCGTCTGGACTATACAGCTCGATATGGATGAAAACTGAAATTATCTTCCATATAGGCGGCACATCTCCATTGCCTCAATAATGCACATCTGTGCATTTCTACTGACCAAATGGAGCACAAAATACGTGTAACACAACTGAAGACTCTTATGGTTAATATTTTATTAGCTGGAAGCTAAATTTGAGTATGTATCTCAAAACATGGGTACCGCTGATATTCTGACTGCTGTCCAAAACTAAAAATATCAAAATAATGTACCACATTACTTTTACGTACTGTGCAAACTTTAACTTTAAAATAGCTTAAATGGCGGCTATGAACAGTTCTAATAACAGTGTAGTTAAGAACAGTTCTAATTATCAATTATGTAAATTCGTAGTGTATGGTCACAAAGTTCGCACTCACATGGTCACCTTCCACGAAGCCGACAAATGAGGATCTTTCCACTTCAATGGGATGGTTTTGCCGATCGACAAATCCAATTTGAAAGTGGAAAAAGTTGCTTTTTCTCAGATTGCTCGGTGGTTGACATTGAAAAACAGCGCGGTGAATCTCCGAACTGCAGTAAAAGCCATATATCCTTTCGTCCGCATAAATTTGTGAACAGTGCAATACGAAGTAAATCAATTTGCACATATCCAGCGATACGAAACGTTACGAAGAATTGACAGTCCAGGAGGTAACACAGTTCAAAACGAAATCTATCTTTTCGCTTGCAATACTAATAAAACCCCAGTTGTAAGTTGGAGCGTTCGAAACTTTTCGAAATTTTACCTAAATCACTACGCTTCTAACTGCTTAAACATAAGTATCTACGCTCTTAATATTGTTACGAACAGGCATACTAATAAATGTGAAAGGGCATTGCTTTCCGCCGCTGTTGACATAATTATGATTTACGCTTTGCTTCCTTGATTAATTAATTACTGTACTGAGAGAACGCTTGAATAAAATTAGTTTAATCATTCGAAAAGGTTTGACCATTCAAATCTCGAATAAATGCTAACGTTAACTTAATAAATAACATAAAGGTTATAATCATCGACCATATACTGTAATATAATTGCAGTAATCCGACATACGCGTACCTTTTACTGATAGGCATGTGCAACGAAACCGAACGTTACAGAATAGATAATGAAATCGTTACGTAAGTCAACTAGCTACCGCATCCACAAAACAACTGACCTTCCAAGGTTAGCCTCAATCGGCATACTGGGAGTGAGCCAGGCTGAGCTGGCGCGCATCAGTTCGACACTGGTCGAATGGAATCCCGGCTCGTCTTTCAATAGAACACTGGCGCGTGGCTGCTGTAACTGTGCGACAGCGGCGACGGTTTCGTGCAGGCCGAACATTTGGCGCCGCGTGGTGGCGACCTGCCGCCCGTAATACGGCTGCTGTTGCACAGGGCAATACACGGCGGCGGTTGCTCAGTTTCGGCGAGATCCCGATTCGGCCGGGACGATGTGCGGTATGGGGATGATGATGATCTCTATCCTGCTTATGTGGCTATAATTAGCCAATAGACGCCGAATAGATCCCCACGCTGTGCGGCCCGGTTGGGTGATCTTAAGCAAGGTCAAGGGGGAGACGAAGCAATACACACAGGAGGATCGTAGACCGTTACGCGGCAGTCCCGGATGGAGAATTCTCCCGCGCGCGCGCGCTGCACGCGTTGAACTTGAGACGCAATCTTAGCTGGCTGAGCTGCAGCCTGTATAACTGATTAGAAAATCGTGCTCTTTTATCGCCGCGCGGCCACCCTCATACGGATCCTGCTGCGGTGCTGCAATGAGGCGCCAGGGACAATAAAATCCCGCGGAGTGTTGTCCGCAGCACGCCGGGCGCACGGCTCTGGGGTCGCGTCGACGCTGTTCCCAAATCGCGCTGCCGTACGTGTGTAATCCCTCAGCCGAACGGCCACAGGATGGAGTCGATGCTAACAATGGGCACCGGCTGGATTACCCGACTGGTCCCAGAAGAGGCGCGCTCTCGTGGAATGTGTGCGGGACTGGTTTAACACACAACGGCTCGGCGGTGATTCCAGTTGAGCTGATTAGCGATGCAGTGTGTGCCGCAATGGAGTGTACAGTGACTTCAGAATATTTGTCATGCACGTGCGCGGCGAATATTTTGCTCGGGAAAAATGAGGATTGCAGTGTAACACGCCAGTGACTAGAAAATGCAGTAATGTGGTGATCGTTGGTTGCTACAACGGAGCAACGGAAAATGCGTTTAATATTGTGAAAAAGCGCGTGTATGCAGATCGCGCAGACTGATACAATATAGATCTCCCAGTGAACTGATCCAGAACAGCAGGATGTACTTTACACGGGGATGGATGTGGTATGATAACGACGGCACACAGCTAACAGGATCGATGATTGGATCCCCAGTGATGCATTTCCCCAGGGACAAACGTCAGCGCTCTCCTGCTTGGTGGATGGCCAAACACTTGGCCACACCCCTTGGCCAATCAATTCTGTCGACTGGCCATCCGTACAGCTGGCTTGGGCATATGAGGATAGATTGATGTGATACATTATCTACGCAATTATTAATAACCCTAACTGATAATCTTAGAACCGTTACAACCTATTTTCTGAACTTTTATCTTACTGTTAATTATAAGATGAAGTAGAATCACAGAAACGTTACGGAAAACTGATAGTACCGTATAAATTCGTTAGTCTACCTAGCTCTAAAATTTCACGTCAGTTTCGCAAATGAAACTGCATGGAGTAGATAAACCTACAGAGCAATAAAAAACAAACATACTTAATTACTGTAATTAGCAAATTTTGAAAATTTGACATTTTTGTTAGTGCAGATTGTTTTAAAGTCCGTAAAGAAAAGCATGCACAAAATGGTTTTTTTTAGCAATTCCCTATTCAAGCTTAACGTACATACGTGCCACAACACATATTATATATATATATTATAGATATAATTACATGTATGGTAAACAGTGTATATCTATATCTGGTACTTTATTTGCAATTAATATGTATATTATATAAGTACTCGTAGTTCGATATTATAAAACTTAAGTTTACTATGTATAGCGTCCTTCCGTCCTTCGTACGCACTACGGCATTATTCAGGCAGAAACGGTCGACAGATGGCTGCATATCAGGTACATTGAATACAGTAGTCATAATAATTTGTGGATCTGTGCGTAACTTCATCGTGACCTAACCTTTGACGAAGCGAAAGTTCACATCACGTCGAATCATGCACGCGCCGTAAAAATATGTAGGTAGCCTTCTTTTATTTACGTTTTCTGTTTTGTTGTAATTGCTGACTTTTTCCTGTACTCTACAAGTTAGGAGGAAAAATGCAGATCATGTCCGGTAAACAGTAACTATTCAGGCTATATATTCTACGTGAACATTGAAAACATTTTATACGGTCACCGCTTTTTCTTATCATGGCTTATTTTAATATCTGTCAGAAATTCCAAGCGAATGTGAAATGCCGCCGCTAAACGAAAAAAATAAATACCGACATAAATAAATTTACAATACATGCAGTTGTACGTATTAATTAATACATATTCGGTAGTATGCAGTGAATATCTATATTCCATATTCTGTTGTATATTGTATTCATAGCACGCGGAAGTAAGCCGAACCGCCGAAGCATTACAAACTTACTGACGCAATTTTCCACAACTGAAAATATTGTGCGTATTTTGTATACACTCCCTCTCTGAACGGTAACTGAACGTGCTCTGATTCTGTTCTCATGAGTTTTCAAATTCAATTTCTCCGAAGGTTGAGACGAGATGCCAAGTAACCCTTAAGATTGACATGCATAAATCCCGGGACAATTTCCCACTGTTTCTCCTCTTTAATATTAACAAATTCCTTATGAAGCGTAGAGACCGGCCTGATCAGTCAGTGCGGGGGGTGCGTAGGGACCGGGTGTTTCTCCCGTTTTGACTCCAAAAGTCCAGCCTCGGCAAGTGCTTGTCAGGATCACTTGACAGTAAAAATTGTACTGATTAAAGAAATGCATTAACTTTAGACTTGGTTAATTTGGCTGACATCCCCGTGGAATTGGCTCTCGTTGACAGTTTAGGGATTGAATTACATGGACCATCGGTCATCTGAAAAACTAGAGGCATACAATTCAAATAGACTTTGTCAAAGGTCAACATTGTCATTGTGCTGTTTACAGTACTTCAGACCGAGTTCTATGTACAGTACATCTTCACTTTACGCAAGCAGTTGTTACCAGTTTATGACTTGCAGTTGCTTAACGTTGCCGCTGCAAGCTCTGCTCTAGCGGATGTTGGGTACTACCACAGTGAAGTACTACGAGGATATCTCATGCGAAATGCAAAAAAATTGAACAATAAATTAAATATCTAGTCAAAACTAAGGTACAGTATCTAGTCAAAACTAAGGTACGGTATCTAGTCAAAACTAAGGTCTGGTCAAAACTAAGGTTGCAGCACATCAGTCTACTCATGATTAAGTAAGTACAGATAATAATGCTAACAACAATCATCTAACGGATATTTTGTCTTCTGTAAATAGTTTTCCTTTTAAACCGAAAACCAAAATTGTTTGTAAGGTATACCAGCTTGCAGTGCATGAAAATGTCGAAATCAAAGAATTTGTGCTTATTTTATGTTGTAATGTCTGTCTTTATTGTCAACTTGTCATTAATAGATTCAGCACTGTTCAACACGTACCGCATTCAACTTCAACAAGAATACAGTAGACCATTGGCTCTGCCGTTCTAATAAATTTTCTATACAAATCATACATAACAATAATATCCGCATTTTATATAGTAACACGTATGGCGAAACCCAATAACGTCATGCGGATTTTTTTTGTTGAACCTTCCACTAGCCATAACTAAAAGTACAAGTATTTATGTTGTTGCTTGCAGTTGCTGTCATAAAAATATCCGGCGATAAATTTTTCTATATGATTGTCTACGACCATACCACGTAGAAAACTCCCGATCCCGTTCGATCTCGGAAGATAACCTACGTCGGGCCCGGTTAGTACTTGGATGGGTGACCGCTTGGGAACACCGGGTGTTGTAGACTTTTTTAAAATTTTTCCCATTTAAATGATTCATTTTTGCGGCAGGATCAAAATATATTTATCCATAATACATGGTTCCGGAGTAGTTTAACATAAAAATTCGTACGAAGGAACTGATAATTGAACTGACAAACCAGCTATCACATTCTCTGAAGTCGATCGTAGTTGATGGGCTCTTCGTGGTGGTACAGCGTGTTGTCACTGTTCTGCCATAGATATGCCACAGCTGGGAAAAATTTCGTATCGAAATTTCCCATATCGTATGGTTGAATAGATGCCGCATCTGTTGACTATTGGCATAATAAATGTTGAACATAAAAAATTGCTCGTGATTGTACAGTTTTTTCTTTGTTAATTGGCTGCCTGTTCATCTTCTGCTGCATAATCTGGAGAGTGGTGCATTGATGGTCTTTGCTGTTTGTTACGATATCGGAAATGTTCTCCCTGTGCGATGAGTGGGATACTCCACCGGAGACCGAACAGTTGTCAGCTGCACTTTTTGGGCCTTTACAAATCACGTATGTTTCCAGTTTGTCGCCATGCTTTTGACGGTATTGTCACTAACCCCGTTTCATGTTCAGCGCAGAAATCATAAGATTAATAAGACCAAAAAAGACCTTGCAACTTTCACTTGCTCTTTTCGCAGCTTCAGTGATTTCACCCTTTGAAGGACGTTTTGCATTATTTTGTGTTAATAGTGATTTGATTGTAGCGCTTCAACGAAAAAACCTGATCGGGTCTCCCGACGGCACTCCGGATCGAAAACTTCGGCCACGGAATCTCGAGATCGTCAGATTAAGAAGCTGAAGAAAAAGGCCCAAAACTCAGCTGAACGTGCGGATTTAGAACCATCTAATCGTGCTGCGAACAAGAAGCTTAATGCAGTTTCTCGAGACAAACACATCAATAACAGCAGTATTCCTCCCACTATTGATACGGCCAGGAAAACTAAGAAGCGGAAGCAAAGTAAAACAAGTGCAGAAAATCCGGACGACGGAGATACTCTCTCAGATTTCGATACATTAAACCCGTTTAATTTAAACCGTAAACACCGGAAAAGGGAGCTTGCGAAAAACGCCAAAAATGCGTTTTTGCACTCACAGTCGCCATCCTTCGAAGATTCCACACAGGCTGCCGACGAAAGCCACTCCGATAAGTCGAGCAAGCGGAAGAAAGAATCTGGTAGTACTTATCTGGAAAAAGCGGAGAAGCGTTTGAAAGGATCGCGCTTTCGTATGCTGAATGAAGCACTGTATACTTCGACGACGGAAGAAGCTGCGGAATTATTTGGGGACGATAGTGATGCATATGTTGAATACCATGAAGGCTACAGGGAACAGATCTCCATGTGGCCGGAAAAACCAGTGGAGAAGATTATCCAATGGTTGAAGACCAAGTAAGTTTAATGAAAGAAACAGTGAAAAGTTGGAAAATATTTTTATTATCATTTTTAATCTGCCGCTGTGTTATCCTTTTGTGCACCGGATATTTTTCCAATATTTTGGTACATATTATTTTGTGAGAGTGACTGTTTATGGTTCGGGTATACAAATGCGCACAAATACAGTACAGCGAATTTTGAAATCAGCTGGCAAGTACAGTACTGTTCTACGGTACTCAACGCGCCTAGTTGGAATTTGCACATTTAAATTTGTTCCCTCCGGTTTTTTTATTTAGTTTTCTGTTTGCTATCAATCCGTATTTTGCAGTTATGTTATGCGTGGTCGGTAGGGGAACATTGCAGTTATGTTGCCGGCTAAAGCTTATTTAACGAAATGTAACCGTGTCGTATCCTTAGGCCAAAGAATTGGAGTGTTGCGGATTTGGGATGTGGCGAAGCATTAATTGCAGCGTCCGTGCCACAGACCGTCCACTCCTTCGATTTATATGCACTAAACGAACGTGTCAGCGTGTGCAACATGACAAGCGTCCCTCTGGAGGATCAATCCGTGCATGTTGCCATTTTCTGCCTCTCCCTCATGGGAACCAACGTTGTCGACTGTTTGCTGGAAGCTCGAAGGATACTGAAAACCGGCGGAATTTTAAAGATTGCCGAAGTGGGTAGTCGCTTTGACAGCGTCAAGCAATTTGCTCACAAGGTGGAACGCCTGGGATTTGCACTTGTCAGTAAACAAATCAGTGAGAAGAACTATTTTGTCATGTTGGAATTTAAGAAATCAGGCGATGTCAATAAGCAGACTTTGCCGAATGTTCAGCTAAAACCTTGCATTTATAAAAGACGCTGATCTGTGAAATTACAATTTTTTTTGTAAGTTTGTGGGTTGTTGATGCAATGAAATTTGGTGCGACGCCAGTCAGTGCATGCTAATTTTTGTTCAAATCAACTCGATTGCCGCAATTGAAGATGCACGATTTACACATAACGAATAAGAACAACAAAGCATTCATAGCAGATAAGACAGATAAAAAGAGATTTTGGTCCAAAACACAATGGCAACGAAGCGACACTTGAGCGGAGTGTGTGTGTACAGGAAAAAAATCATCTAAACAATATTCGTTGAGTACCATAGCAGTTTGAGACTCTCATACCGGTATCAATAAAACATAAAACCAGTGATACTACAAATAAGGGAAAGGAGATCCACGGCAGTACGCGGAAGGAAACGGAACAGACACTGCACAACCGGAAACTGCGGTAGTTTATGATACCGGAGTATTCACTTGTAGCGATTCCACTTCGCTTTCTGTGCAAGAATATCGGCGCGTAGGTTTTGGGCAAAACAAATGCCCAGCACTTGCACAATGGCCACACCGACGGCCACTGCGGCAACAATCACGAGATTCTGATCCAGCCAGGTCTGTGCGGCATCCACACAACCTTTGCTGAAGATGGTATCGGCGAATTCTTCCCTGCGTCGGACACCATATCCACATTGCAGGTTAACAAGACTTGTTTCCTGGAGAACATAAATTTTATGTTAACGTACCAAAGAACAAATATCTGCAGAATAGCCTCGGCCATGATAAAAGCACACCTCAATTATTGATCAATTATCGCCAGCAACTGATGTGTTTACAAGAAACAGCAAAATGTTTTCCACTGCGCAGCGGTCACCGATTTTCAAAGTAAAGAAAGAACATAATCACAACCGGGCTTTATACCTTTGGTGGTTTACAACAACTGAATGGAACGCCACATGCTTCCGGGCTGCCCTTAGATGAACAGTTGAAATAGATATTATTATTCCAATCTCCGGGAGAAGTGATACCACAACATTGTAGCTAAAAAAGAAACACAATTAGTGCCGTCACTGACGTACACAAAATACATACATACTGTACTGAGTGTACTCATATGATCATATCTAAAGCCCAAATAACCCAGCTTGTTCTTCACATTTAAAAACAGAACTGGCTCTTAAACTCACCCATTTTGACTGTATCCAGTCGACCAAATCCTGCGCATCTTCATCTTCGCGATAATCACTGATCATCGCCTGAAGTTGATCTTTGGCTTGGCCTTTAAGCTGTAGAACACGTCATGATTAAATCAAAATGCAAAGTCAGCAATCCCGAAAGAAAAATCCAACGCACCCAATCTTTAAAGACAAATCCAAGGACTCCCAATGTTAGTTCGCCCAAAAGAATGATACCCAGTAGGAAAGCATACTGCAAACACATATTCATACATATTCACATATTCATACCATGAAATTAATGCCATGAAATTAATTCTATTTGACATGAAAATGTGTTATCTTACCGTAGCTAGCAAGAAGGTATTTTCTCGTAAAGCTCCAACACACCCGGTGAAGCCTATCACAAATGTAACTAATCCCGTAACGATGAGCAGAAACGCCGGATCCAACGCCACCGACGTTAAACGTTTCAGATTATTCAGGGTGTCCTTTTCGGTCCACGCCCAGATTCCAACGGCAAAAATTACCATGCCCGCTATCTGAATTCGAAAACGGCAAATAGTCAACGATTTGTTACTTACTATACAGGCTACGTTATTACATTTAATACTGGATTACGAAATATCCGAATGATAAGCCATAACACTGTATTGTCAGAAGATAATTAACCAAACTACTTATTCAAATACAATGATAAAAAATATAAGGTTTTCTTTTCCAGCAACAACAGCCAGACTATCAGTAGACAGGTGATGCAAAATGCCAGCGTAATCAGAAGAATGTGTCTGGAATGCATTACATTTGCTTATCTACCCTCAGACTTAACAGTGTCAACGATTACAATAAATACACCGCTGACTGAAAACATTTCTCCGCAAAATTTTGAAAAAATTCAACAATGTACTGCTGAAAGAATATCCTCACCCAAAACAGCACATTCTGGCCGAAAACAATCCATTTCACACAGCAGCTAACTTCTGTACGATCCCGTCGCTTTTTCCTACGATGGCGCATTCGTCTGGTGGCATTGGGGCGTTCGGCTGGAGGCCCCTCACGCGGAGCAGCCATGGGATACACACCGATGAATCTGTGACAACACCAACTTCCGGTTCAATGAACAACAATAAACTGCTCATAAGACTAAAATAGCACCACATTTGAACGACAAAACATTCCACTGATTTCAACAGCAAACAGAATTATTATTACTGTACTCAATAGCTAACATATCAATTGATAAAACTCTCGCAAATGATGAAAATTACGACTTTAGACTATATTATTCCGACACGTTGTGATTGGTTTAATAATCACCAACTACAGCCACGTGAATGATTCACATTTTTTATGACAGAGCGCATTTTGGGCCATGCATAATCGACTCTCAAAGCTGCACGGATTATGGCACTCACCTCTCGTTGTTCAACAAGGATTCGTCCGTGTCATCGTATGCTCCATACGCTATGCCGCGGCGTGGATACGACAGCTGCAAAAAGAATAAAACTCATGAATTATGCGGTCCACACACGGTAGAAACGGCTATACATACGAATTTCAAGACTGTCCCAAAATAAACGCTGAACCGCGTTCTTGCAACAAAAGTTACGTACCATTTTGTAAAAATTTACGCGCAAACCCTCACGGAAATTTTTCCGCAATAATTTCCCGAATAACAGCCAGTTTAAAAATAACTACCAATAATTCCCAACAAACTGCATGACAGCTGGAATTATCATACGATACAGACGCAGATGGAAGATCCATTTAATGATTCAATGAAATAAAAAGCTTAACGATTTTGTTATCCTCGCCACGATACTGGCGACAGACAGTGAAATATCAGTTTAGATAAAATTAATACAACTTGTCAAATCTTATCAGTTTAGATAAATACCGTGAAAATGAAATATCAAAATTAAAACAGACCATAATGATCAAACAATAACAACCAGAATTTCTAAATTCAGCCAATTATAAAAGAACGTCTTTTTATGCAAAAGTTCAAAACTGCAACAGTTTGTGAATTGTGATAGCGAACAACCACAACATTGAAACAGTATCAGTATCATTTATGATTTATGAGTGCCAAAACATTACTAACAATAACTAATCAGTGTATAATTTTGTGAATAATTAGGTCAGCGTTACGCTACATCGTGGAACGATCGAATCTAGTTCACAAAATCCCACACATCTCGAAATAAGGAACAGTATCGTAAACACGAGCACTGCTGCAGGGAGCGACGCTACAGTCGCATCGTTCAGGACCAGTTACTCTACTCTCTGTGAACTGTGCTTACCTCATCGACGACGGCAATTTTCTTGCGTAACGGAGAACGGAGGCATCAAAACAGAAACAGAGCAAAAGATTGATTATTTTACTTCCGGTGGTGGTCGGAGCTTAACAAACAAGAAGAGCAGAGAACTTCACATCAGCAAAAATGTGAATGTATACAGTACTCGATGTGCCTCCCAGCTCGAGAGCTCGTATGACAGCAACAAGATTCGTATGGCCACTATTTGAGACAGAGTGCGAGCACGCACAACCAGACACAAGACAGACAGAGAAAGAAAGAGACTCGGCAGAGAGCGATCGATAAACAGAGCCGACTGGGTCGGCCGTATTCGTCAGCATAAAATAATAAAGGCTGAAAATATCTAGTGATAACTATAGAGTATGGGCAAAGAATAATGGTGTCGAACTTGTTAGTTTTTCGAATTATGCTTTGTATGCACTGAATGGTTAAAAAATCATATTATTATAATAATTTAATTTAGCCGCACCAGTTTTAGGGGTAATAATTAACAAATTTTCACTTTCCCGCTGAAAGCGTCCAAGCTAAATATTTTATGTCATGATGCCGCAATGACAGACGCCCGAAGTCGGCGATGCCAGAACTTGGCGAGCGGTCGAAGTGGCACAAGCAGCAATTCTTGCAATCGACGCTAGAACACGGGCATTCGTGTTTTATCGATTTGACACGATTCGTGATATTTCGGACGAATTTTTGAATTACTGTTGTCGTTTTGAATATTTTGAATTGCTCTTTAATTTTTAGTTTAACCTAACTAATACGAAACAGCTACAGTACAGTAATGTGAAACGGCCTACGTAGATGCCTCTGTTTTTTTCGCTGTCTTCCGGTGCGCTGCTGCGCTGGTGTGCGCGGTGCGCGGATGCATTGCACTGGGCGTGTCCAGTCGCTGCGCAGGCTCACCGCCAACCAGCAAACACCGGCCCAAAAATTTGCTGATCAGAATCCAAAAATCAGCTGTGTTTCCTGATCTGGGTTTGCCAGTCAGATTTATTTCGGTGTGTAGTTTCGGGTAGAAGAATTATAATAACAGTACTCGTACAGTACTTTAGAAGAATAAGGCACTGCATTTCAGTTCAGTTTGCCACCGCTGGCATAATCTAAATTGTTTTGCCAATATTGTAGGTTATCGATGTAAAAATCCGTGGTGCAGATTCTATCAGCTGTTTGATCACAGATTGCAGACTGCAGAATAGGGCAATCTGAGGGACCCTTGGAGTGGACTGTGAGAAAAGTTTGGCTTCTGCAAGAACGTAAACCTCGTTTGTGGATTTGTTTTATGGGCTTGATTCTGCTGTTCGGGATTGGGGTTCTTGTTGTTTCATTACTGGAGATTACGCGCGACTTCAGCGGCTCACTCTCGTCATCACAAATCGCCCGCAGTGCAAATTTTCGAAGATGTAGGTGAGAATACGATCTGGGGTTGCGATTAAGACTTCGTCACTTCTGTTTGAAATTACATTTGTAGGAATTACGGACAGTACGGTATACTGTGATAGACTAAATTTTTTTGGTAATGAAAATTTGTTTTAAAAACTGGTAAATTCTTGGTCTTTTTATAAGTGTCACTAGATTATTTGTGTGTCTGTCAGGGCTGCATTACGTTGCATAATTTTCTGACTTTTTCAGGCATATAATTTGTTATTATTAAAGAACCAGCGATCTCCCCGGAGTACGGATTGATCCACAAAGACTGACTAAATTTACGTTTTGTGCTGTGTGAGCTCACATTTTCCTCTAACGATGGACACCCGTAATCTGGATCTGGATGATTATGAGGCTCTGCCTCCGTCGGCCAGCACTACGGCGCAGATGTGTGCGGGTGCCATGGCCGGAATTATGGAGCACTGTATTATGTATCCTGTGGATTCTGTCAAGGTGCGTGTCGGTTTCGGTCTACTGCTTTTCTTAACTTCACAGCATTATCTTACAATTAGTTAATAGAATTCTACGGTGTCGCCTTAGGTGATTTACATTGGCCCTTTTTGAGTTATGCTGGGTAGTTTTTTCTGTTTGCTGCGCATGAGAATCTGCGCAGCACGGCAGACATTTTGCGTTTTGTTTGCGCATTCGGGGTTTCTTTGAGATTAACCGGTTTTTCGATACAGTTCAGCAGAATGCATGTGTAAATATCAAGACAGAAAGGAAAGGGTTCCGTTGTTTACCGGTGTCGTAAGCGGTTTTCCCACCGGAATGCGCGCAGATCGCTTGATCGTCTTGTCTAATATACATACAGTGCTTGAAAATTGAGTAAATAGTAAAGTTGTTAAAACTTTGTATAAACTATGAGGACTAATCGTAACAAATGAGGGAAACAGTAATTTAGTTAGCTTTGAGCTTCCTTTGATTTATTTTTAAGGATTTTATTGTGAGCTGGAAAGTAGAAAGTGGCGAGTGTAAATGTGTTGAAAAGATTAGCCTTGATTTTTCAGTTCCGCTGCACGGGATATAAGTAGCACATTTTGAATTTTTGCAGACAAGAATGCAGAGTATTCGTTTAGCCGGAGTCTACCGCGGTACCTACGACGCTCTGATCAAAATGGTCACCACCGAAGGAGTCTTCCGTCCCGTACGCGGTATTCAGGCCGTTTTCGTGGGAGCTGGTCCGGCGCATGCCATGTACTTCGCTTGCTACGAGAACATGAAGATAGTATTAGAGAAGCAATTAGGACACGGTCCTACCGCGCACGGTATCGCCGGATGTACGGCCGCTGTACTGCACGATGCAGTGATGAATCCCGCCGAAGTGGTCAAGCAGCGCATGCAGATGTTCGGCAGTTCCTACAAGAGCTGCATGCAGTGCTTTGCCCGAATCTGGGCTACTGAGGGACCGCGTGCCTTCTACCGGAGCTATCTGACCCAGCTGACCATGAACGTGCCTTTCCAGGCAATTCATTTCATGGTGTACGAGCAGATGCAGGATGCCATGAATCCGCTGCGTCGCTATGATCCCCGTTCGCATGTGATATCCGGAGCGGTAGCCGGTGCTGTAGCGGCAGCTATCACCACACCGTTGGATGTGTGTAAAACCTTGTTGAATACGCAGGAGTTGTGCGTGCTCAAGCAGGATAACACCATCCGCGGACTCCCGCAGGCCATGATGGCCGTCTACCGTTGTTGTGGTTTCCGAGGATATTTTCAAGGCCTTCAAGCGAGGGTGATTTTTCAGATGCCGTCAACGGCCATTTCATGGTCGGTTTATGAGTTTTTCAAATATATTATGTCTGCACAAAACGGATTGAATATAGCCTAGAATGCTTGAAGGATAAAATTTTTTATAGCACTTTTGGGTGATTTAATGCAGTGCGTTATTCAATATTCTTATTTATAATTTTGAAACTGAAGAAACTGTATTAGAGTAAGCATATCTGCGCTGGTGGAATTGGGACGAGTGAATTGTTGACTGTTACTGGAAGAAGTGTTGCATTAAAAGCAGATGAACTCGGGCACGTCGGCTCACATCTTACTTTTGTTATGGCATTGTTCATGCGAAAGATTTTTTCCAAGTTGGAATCTATGGGTCATCGCTCCAGTATACTGGTCACAATGGTAGCTTCTGTAGTATGGTGGCTGGTGAGAAAAAGGTCGCTCACAACAGCCAGATGGTAATCGATATAGAAATTAACGGTGAATACAGTAGTGACGAACAGTTGATTGCTACGTACCCGGTCAAAACAGACAACACGTAAAATAGATATAGGTAGTAGCACACAAAAGTTACCGTACGCTTAATGGAAATTAGTCCAACTTACTGAAATGAAAGTGATGCACGCTAATAATGAAAACTAATGAACTAATAATAATTTCAGATATGTACATGTAGCCATGTAAAAGGTGTTAGTAATTGCATGTACGATCGACCTCATACACTAAAAATTACTGCAACCCAAATTTGAAAGTGCGGTATGTGTTGTACCTGTATTGTACCTATTATAATTTGTATTTGTACTATATTTTGGTACGTAGTACTTACGATTAATATTGTGCTGTCCAGTTTTACGGTACGATAACGAAAATCACATCTTTGTATTTCCAGTCGTAGCAACAACAGCGGCATTTAAAATAAATGCTTTTAAGCTTTCATTAAAAAAAGTAAAATCAAGTTTAAATAGCCGGCTTTTCTAGATTAACGGTGATTTGCACTGCAAGGCTGTAACTAAATGCAAAGCGGATGCTGGAATTGGCTGGAATGCTGGATAATAACTCGTGAGATTACCGAATATTCTATGCACTTATTATTGCTATTTAGTAAGTAATTAGTGACTAATTCATCGTAAAACAGTTTTGTTCTACCGATGTTTTTTTTAGTTTTGCTGTACCGTTCGATTTTGACTTGTGTAGGCTACCAAAAAGGATAGATAAATCACACTGATTGCTAATGCTATAAATATTTATGTTTCGTATTATATGGTTATCGTTACAATGTCAACGAATTATAATCGTGCGAAACATAAAAAAATCAATTTAATCGCGGTAACGCTTTTTGAGTATAACGGCATTAGCCGCCATGGCTTAGTTGGTAAAGCGTCTGCCTAGTAAGCAGAAGATCATGGGTTCGAGTCCCATTGGTGGCTTTTTTATTGTTTAGCACATTTGGAACTGAAGTACCACATTTTTTTAATAATTACTGCATAAACCAAGCCGCTTGATAATACATAAAATTATTGTACTTGATTAGGGACTGTAAATCAATAATCTATTCTCAGGTTAATTCTGAATTTCTTACTGAATGAATACTCATGGCACCACCCATGAGGGCGTTGCTTGAATTCTGAGCGTGTAATAATCTGGCATAAACCATCAAGATCGATTGGCAGTGTTGTCTACTGATAAACAGTGGTGCCATTTCCTCTGAAATGGAAAATCGGAAACTCGTTTCACTTTTTGAGTTTTGGTGGAATAAGCTGGTGAAATAGGTAATTTGCCTATTCCAGAATCATACTTAATTTTGTTTTATTTATTGACTAGCACGAATTCATAAAGAAATCTTTATCTGTCGATACGGGCTACAGTTTTATCACGAATACTGGTTGAGCAGTTTTTCATCAGTGGAATAAAGGCGCGCAGAACTCGATTTAGCGTTCCCGTCGTGTTCAGTGTTAGCAGTATTGTTCAGCTGGAAGGCAGGTGAAAAGCATGGGGAACCGTTCGACGATTATGCTGCAGCGCAGCGACATCGAGGAGATCCAACGTGAAACCGGCTTCACGCCCAACCAGATCGTCCGCCTATACAGCCGTTTCACCAGTCTGGACAAATCTAACTCGGGCTCCCTGAGTCGTGCGGATTTCCTGCGTATCCCCGAACTGGCCATCAATCCCCTGGGCGATCGTATCGTGCATTCCTTCTTCCGTGACTGCCCCGAGGATCAGGTGAATTTCCGCCAGTTCGTCAACATCCTGTCTATATTCCGTCCGGTGAAGCGTAATTCCCATCTGGACAGTAATAGCAAGGAGAAGAAACTGCGTTTTGCCTTCCAGCTGTACGATCTGGATGAGGATAATCGTATATCGGCCGATGAGATCCTGGCTGTCCTGCAGATGATGGTGGGCGTCAACATTCCCGATGATCAGCTGGAGAGTATTGCCGAGCGGACCCTGCAGGAGAACGACACGGATCACGATGGGTTCATCTCGCTGGAGGAGTTCATGGCGGCCATGGGCGAGTCGGATGTGGATAATCGGCTGTCGTTGCGTTTTCTCAGCTAAATTGAAGACAGATTATGGGAGTCTTTATTTTATGGCCTTCTAGTGGGTGTGGCGCATCCTGTGGTTGAGTCGTACGTCTTATTCTGGTTGGTTGAGTTTGTTTATGGCATCATTGGCATGGTACACACACTTCGCAATCTCGAAAGCTTTTAACTAATTTTTGCGATTTTCTTGACTTTAGAGCTGTTTTGTTGTTGTTATTCTCGCGTTGTGAACTAACTGAAAAAATAAAAATGGCCAAACCTTGATTGGTACTAATTCTTTCATTATTGCTCGTATTGTCTGCTCATTCTAATGAATCTAATCTAATTTACTTTGATGTATAAGTCTGAAAGCGTGGTTGCCACTGCACTACGGTGGTTGTCATACGAGTATTCGTAATTTTGAATCGCCGAAATTATCGTAGCATCGGAAAAATTTTTCGCCGATAATGTTCCACTTAAGAAAATCATAAAGTGATGACCTGTGCTAAATAATACTACGTAATGCTAAATAATGCTACGTAATTTTGGGTAGATGCATTTAATAAATTGAATAACAATTTTCTTTCCAAGCAGGTACCGGGTAGGGAACTCTCGAGTTTTCAGCTGCAGTACTAACATGCTTTACAAATTTCACCTTACAGTTAGTTGTATGGGGACAATTAATGTTTGACCGGTTTGTATCAATGATTGTTTAAAGATATCGTCATTTATAATCCTGCACATTTGCAGTGTGGGTTTATGAGAGCGACCAGACGTGCGTGCGGCCCAACCGGAAGCCACTTCCTGGCATTTCGGGTGGCTTACGTCGCGGTATTGACGCAAAATATTTTCGCCAACAGGATAATTGTATTTAATGTAACTCAGCCGCACTGTTTACGTACATACTTCGCTATTCACAAATGACATTTAAAGATAAAAAGTTAAAATTAGCGTATAGCGATCGATAGTGTTGTTGTCGACGTTATGCCCCATTTTAGTCTTTAATTATGTACTTAAATGTCAGCGTCAACCGGCAGCACCAAAAGGTTTTAACGTCACCTTTTAATGAGAAATCTGTTTTCTGTGGAAATGCCTGCGCCACTGCCTGTTGTGTTAATACCAGTTTAACTTCAGTAATAATGGCATTGACTGGGCTATTTGAAGTGTCTCTTTGAAATTTCTAAGATGCAGCGTTACTAGACGGAAAGTAATTTGCATATTGTAGAGTATTTTTCTGTTATTTACCTGTAGAGAAATCTGCTAAAAGTCTGAAAGCAGTACGCAGTAGCATAAATCAAAATTTTACATGGCATGCGTGCGCGCATGCATCTGTATCAACTCCTTTATCGTAGCGATCACCGAATATTTAAATGATTTTGAAATGGTCGTGTCTATATATACAGCAATTGTAGCGCTTTTATGATAATTGCTGACAACATGCAAAGAGGTAATACGACACTTTCAACAGGCTTTTATAAAATTATTTAGTCCTGCTGCGCCGTAACTTAATCCGATGTGCAATACATGCTACTCAAAATGGATTACTTGCTCGGTCTTCCCAACAGGAGCCGCCATTCAGTGTTATGAGTGCAATTCAGCGTACGATCCAAGGTGCGGCGATCATTTCGATAATTTGACGTATCCTTTAACGGACTGCCGGTACAAGTACAAGGGTCACCTGCAGTTATATGGTGCTACGAAATGCCGGAAAATGATCGTCCAAGGTATATTTCATACTGCACGTGACATGTTGCTAATAATACCATGTTTTCCGTTCGACTTCGTTGCCGTTTAAATACAGGTCTTATATAACGATACATTAATAACGCTTCGCTTTCCTTTCATCCTCTAATTCATTAACCTTTTCTAAAGTACGATTTTCCTACCTGCGCTATTTCATAATGCGCTATTACAAACTTGGCGACTGCAGTTGATAAATAAGTATTTCAATTTATTACATAGATGCAGATTTTTTGTACATATAAATTCGTTAGTATGAGTAAACGTGGAAATAATGCCGACGCCACCCTTTCAGAATTCCAGAAAGCCGATACGACTGACTCTCTCATTTGCAAAGGAAATTTTGTATATATAGGCGCGCTAAAATTTTCTGTTAGTAATTTTATAAAGGTGCACATTAATTTAACAGGTGCGTATTATTGCGTATCTTCAGTTTTATTTTATTGTTTTAGTGCATAATCATCGACGTATAATACGGGAATGTGCGTTTCTCGGTCAGGTTGGATATAATGACGGACGATGGTGTCTGGAACGAGTGGGAGCACGCTATGTTAGCTACAGCGTTTGCTTGTGTGATAATAAAGACGGATGCAATTCGAGTGGGCTGAATTCTCAGAATATATTCAACGTTATCCTTTTCATCAGTGTATTTTTATAATACGGCAGTACTAATCGATATATTTCCACTCATGATAAACGTTTTTCCAGAACGCAAAGTGAACTTCGTTAGTAGTTAGTAACGTCAAGTTAAATTGCATAGAACAGTGTGGTAGCACGCTCGGAAAATGATTAAAACAAAGACAGACATGTCTTCGAAAGACACAAAACTGTAATCCCGCTAATAACTACACCCAAATGGCGAAAGTGCATTCGCCGTCTGGATAGCGCACTTTATGCTGATTTACCATAGAGTTGAGTGACCTGTGACCTCATCATCATCTGTCAAATTATACAAACGTTCTTTTATGCCTGAGTGCTGTATAGGACTACAAACCGTTTTGCAATATGTTCGAAGTTTTCAGAACTGTGTTTTTTGCCATTTTGAGAAGTATTCCATCTATGATTCCTAATTAAACGTCGTTGTTCCACATGTAGAAATGGTTTCGCTATAATTTTGTTCAGCTGCTCTCTCGATGGAATGAAGGTCGATGCGAACTTCTACATACGTTGGCTTGCATAATGAGCCGGTGCGGGTGCATGCCGTAATTGAATTACTTAAAAATAGACAAATTTTGCGGATGCATTATTACAAGAAAATTGCAGTTATAAGCGGATAGGTCAAAAATTACGCTTTGCATTTTATTAAAATATTCCGATGGTTATTTCCGTGCGTCGGTGAAATTTCTGGGTGCGTGGGTAAATAAACGGTGAAATTTCTACTACCGTAGTAAAAAAACAATAGTCTGGAAAAATATATAGCAGGTACTGATAACTCGCTGACCTTTTCCGGGTGGAACTGTTTATCATAAGAACTATCTCGACAATAATTTATACTATGATGTATGTTTTTGACCAGTAGCCGCGTACGACAAAAATTAATAAAATGTCACAGCGAATAAGCGTCTACTAGCTGTAGGCATATGTCCTATTCTAGTAAGTGTCAGTCCAGTTTCAACTTGCTTTGGCGGCATTTGGATCACAACTTCCGTAGTGGCGTAGTCCACTCGTCATCCTGTACTGTACACTCAGTGTACAAGTACCATAGTTGGAAACCTAAACGGCTGCAAATTATAATTTCATTAAAACCGAAGGCTAGAACTCGCATGGTTGTTATGTTCGTTCCAAATTTTTTTGAATCTTTAATTCTTAATATGCACAACCCGGTAGTGAAAGCTTGAAAATGTGGGTTAGAAACCAATTATAAAGAGTGCCAAGTTGGGGCAGTTGTATAAAATTGATTTTTAAAAATTGATGTACCCAGTTCTGTTTACGTTTATGCATTTTTCTAGCGAAACTTTTTCTTGCCGATCCAACAGTGTCAAAGTTGGAATCGTCGCTGTGACAATGAAGGACAGACTAGGATTTATGGGAAGGGGGAATGGTCATTTTTTGGACGCTTATAACGGACCTCAATAAAAGATACCAACTGATGGTTTATCGTGGACATTTTTGAAAACTGTTGAGTGACCCAGAAGCTGTCCATCAAGGGTCAGCAGAGGGAAGATATGCCATGACTGAACGAAAAGACCTCGAAACAAGTTGCATTTCCCATAGACTTGTATATTAAGAGTTACCTTCCGAGAAATGCGATTCCCTAGAGCACTGATGCCTTTAGACAAGATGTCAGTGTTTAAACATACTAGGAAAGGATCCGCGAGCAAGTACGCTATCGTCTAAAACTTCTCAGCCTCTACCAATTTTTAAAAAGCTGTCGAATAAACTTGATTATTTTTTCGTAACCAGTGCAACTTTTGCGCCAAAAATTAAATTAGAAATTTGGATCCCGTTCCCTGAACCTCAGCTTTTTGGATGGAAACAAAATTACTGAAAGTGCTATAAACCAAGAACTATGATGCAAAAATTTGATAAAAATTTTACATTTCACTGGTAGAAGTGTAGAAATTTGTTGAACTGCCCCAACTTGGCGTGGCAGGGCTGTATAACACAGGAATTTAATTTATTTTTGTCTATGTGGTTTAAATACTGTATGTACAGAGTACTTGCACTTGCATATGTACTTGCACTTGGTTTAAATATGTACTTGCATATTGCTTAACTTTAAATCATTGTTGAAACATTAAAACGCCATGCAGAGAAGATCTGATCTCGTAAACGATTTGGAAAGTACTATTTTGTTCAATGTACAGATACATACTTGTTGTTTCTAAATACAAAATTTCTTCCGAAAGCAAGAAATTTAAGAATTTCCGTAGCTTTCCCAGAAAACGAGTACGTACTCTACTCGATCAGATCTAGATCTGGCAGTGCTCAGGGCTTCCTTATCATTTTTCCGAGTTTGAACACTTTAAAAAACTGATGCCATTTTCTCCTCTCAACTCTTCGGTAATTTTCTAGCCCGCGTTGCACCTCGGCCGTCGTGCACGGTGATTCCGGCTTGACCATTAGGAGCTGGTCTGTGAACATGTGGTAAACCGGAGTTATCTGGAGTTATGCCATTCATCTGACACGCTATGACATGCTAATACAGCTGCAGTACAGCGTTTATACGAGATTAATAAAGAAAGAACAGGAATCTTTAAAAGGTCACTGTGTTGCGGTGTTGGATTGTACTGTACAGTATTAGTGTACTCTGTACTCCAGCAGTACCTATCATTATACAGATACAAGCTGATCACTTTCCAGAATTTTTGCACAGCTGCGGCTGCATTTCTCATTTTCGTAGCAAAGGTTTAAATTGTTCTCCCCGTACCCGCCGTGAAGTTTCGAAAAAAATGCCTATAATAACGGATAATAATAAGCGCGCTTTATCCTGCTATTTCCGGTCTCGATCGGGCTATTATTCATTAGAGACAAGGCTAGTGTTTGCTCCCTTGACAGCGTCTCTGGAAAAATTGCTCCATCTATGATCTGTGTCGAGCCGTCTGGTATATGATCACAAATTTTGCTAATTTTTTGTTTGATAGACAATTTCATCGCAGGTACGTTGTACTTCCAGGGTTTGCATGACGACAAAAAATTTTGGTAATCGGACTTCGATCTCGGTATGCCATAAATACTTCGGTATTATTACCTCTCATTTCGTTAATGTTGACAACTAAGGTCACGATTAACACTTTCTGCAATTCTGCAAAATATGTGACGTCATGTCAAATTGTCAAAACACCGCAATGTTTTGTGCTGAACAGGTCGGACACGAAACTTTTCCTCATGTGGCAAATTGTTACACGACAGGAGAACGAACAGCCGGGTTTGCAGCTTGGCATTTCACTGTATATCCTCAAAACTAAAAAATCTACAGATAGCGTGAAGAAGAATTTACACTTCAAGTGGTATCACGAACATGTCCAGTTTAATTTTGTACATTTGACTTCCTTCCCAACTTAATTTCCAAGCAGTAGTATCTGGTTATTGCCGTGATAATTATGAATCAAAATAAAGTTCGTTTTGATTGAAGTGATGAACAAATACACGCTAACGTTGCATTATATTTTTATTGTACGTACCACATACGCATTTCAATAAATTTATTGCAAAACAATGCTGTCATGAACGATACAGAAAATTAATTAGGGGCGCTGCCCAAAAGGCGTCGGTCATAATGTCGCTAGCTACAGATACTGCGTGATATTCTTGGCAAAAACCAACAGTGTCGTCGTCTGGACTACCCATTCATGTATGCCCTGATGCGGCCGGAACAAGCACTGGATATGTCCTTGGTCGGCTAGTGTGACGGCCTTAATGTGGCCCGCGAAGCCAAGCAGCTGTCCCGGGCTGTTGGGGGGATCTGTGCCTTCCGTCTTGGCATCACGCGGTCTCCACTGGGCCAGGCCCCAGGTGGGCATTAGAGGCCCGTACGGCGCCTCCGGAGGACCTTGGACGATGTGGCCGTTGTGGCGCCACATCAAGTGGTTGTGCAGGCCCATGTAGATGCTTTCCGGGAGGGGCAGCCGGATACTGCACAGCACCGTGACGCGCTCGCCCTCCGTGGCGGTCACGTACGGAGTGGCGGGAGCGAAGACGTCGCTGTGGCGCGTGATCAGCGGCAGGAGAACGAAGCGCTGCAGGACGCGGGTGTATGGCGTGTAGCGGGGAACAAGCGGCGATGCACTGCACGGACCCGCCGGAGCGCATGCTGACATTGAGAACCTGAAGGAAGAGGGTGTGATTGACGTGGCTGAAGTTGTAGGCCTGTCCCGTGGTGTCTTCCACGGGCAGCGCCACCGGTTCGCCCGCCGAGAAGATGGTGCGGTGCGGTCCTGGTGCAGCCAGGACACACTGCGCCAGTCGATGCCGGCTGGTACGCTGCAGCTGAACGCCGCGTCCTCTCCTAATCGTGGCCGGTACACCACGCTGTCCGTCACGTCGTGTGTCGTCGGCAGCCGCGTCAGGATGATGCGGTCGTCTTGGCGGTTGTTCAGCATCGCCTCCGCCACCATGTCGTTTACTAAGATGTGAGCAAGTTACATGCAGTAAGCATCAGCACGATCGACATTGACAGACTGAAATTTACAATAGCTCCTGTCAGTAATCGAGCACACAGTGAAGCGGGAAGCAAAGCGTAAGGCAGTAAGCCTTAGCTTAAGAGTAAAATGAAAATGCAATTCAACGAAACAGGTTAGTTAACAAAAAGAAGCGAACTAAAGGGAAGTGACCTGGTACATACATGGTAAGTAACAAATTCGTGTACAAACTTACTTATACTTGCACGAGAACTTTCGCTGTCGCGCACTCACAAGCACGTTTTGCATTGTCTTATGGCACTGTATGTATAGCCAAATATTTATATTTTGTATACACTGGCAAGAAAACCACTTGTGCCCACAGCATCTGATTTGAGAGGTGTGGCTGTCAGAAAATTCCAAGAGACTAAAATGCATTCAGAAGTACTTACTCGTACCAAGAGTCACATGTGGACTGACCTTTCAAATTTTGCACGAAAATGCACTTAAGCATGAGGATCGTCCTTACACCGATGCACTGTACAGTATTAGTACTTACTTTTCTCAAATTTAAAATGTGTTTAAAAAAATTTAAAACTGATCATGATGTTAACATTTGAAAAAATAAATAAATCCTGGTCTGGTGTAAGAACGATCCTCATATTCATGAGCATTTTTATGCAAAACTTCAGAAAAATCGGAAAAATCGGTCCATAATGAAACTTTTGGTACACCTGAATAGATTTAAGCCTTTTGGAATTTTTTCTTACAGCCATAACACCCGGCCCGGATGTTGCGCGCATAAAACTTCACGGTTTTCACGCCCAGGTATACAATTCTTTGGCTACATCATGCCATGAAACAATGCAAAAAGTGTCTGAGAGTGCGCGAAAGCGAAAGTTTTCGTGCAAGTTAGCAAATACACGAATTTACGATTATTGCCATGTACCGGATCACTTCCCTAAATAATTACTTGAGAGAGCGGCTTTTGGCACTTACAGTTGGTTGATGGCGAGCCTGGAGAACATCCCGCAGACAAGTGCAGCTGCAACAGCAGCGCTAAACACCAGCTGCGCGTTGGCCGTAGGCAGACACTGATCATGAGCCTAATCCTCCGTCTGCACGGCGGGCACGCAAACATCGTAGCACGCTTGCAGCAGGACAATTAACCGTGTATATGTTTTTAGTTATTGTTTTTATATAAAAGTGCAGAGAGATCGAAATTCTTGTATGGCAGCAGTGCAGCAATAGATATGGCACGATTTGTTTTCGCGCGTAATGCGGTTATTTTTTTCGTTACCGTAACCACACGAGACTCAACGCAACTATATGCAACTTAACGCAACTGCATGCAACCCAACGCAACTGAACGCAACTTAGCGCAACTTAACGCAACCCAACGCAACTTAACGCAACTTAGCGCAACTTAACGCAACTTAACGCAACCCAACGCAACTGTATGCAACCCAACGCAACTGAACGCAACTTAACGCAACTGAACGCAACTGAACGCAACTTAGCGCAATTTAACGCAACTGAACGCAACTTAACGCAACCCAACGCAACTGAACGCAACTTAGCGCAACTTAACGCAACTTAACGCAACTTAACGCAACCCAACGCAACTGAACGCAACTTAGCGCAACTTAACGCAACTGAACGCAACCCAACGTAACTGCATGCAACCCAACGCAACTGCACGCAACCCAACGCAACTGCATGCAACCCAACGCAACTGCATGCAACCCAACGCAACTCCACGAAACGCAACGCAACCGCATGCTGCCAAATGCAATTCAATGCAAATGCATGCAACCCAGCGCAACTCTACTTAATTTCATGTATCTTCACATAGTTGAATGCAGCTCAACCTTACATACTACATGCAGTTAAATACATCTTGAGTCTTGACGCAGGTCAGCATAGCTCACATGCTGCAAGAAATTGTTTGAGTAGAAAACTCTGGAAACTGTACGAAGTCACGTATTTGACGGAACTAACCTTTGAATGCCATTACAACATTCAAAAAAAGTTTTTTAATTTCTCGGTTTTTTAGGTTTCTTAGGTTTCTTAGGTTTTCTCAGGTTTCTTAGGTTTTTTCTTAGGTTTCTTAGGCATTTGGCAGCATGCGGTTGCGTTGCGTTTCGTGGAGTTGCGTTGGGTTGCATGCAGTTGCGTTAGGTTACGTTGGACTGGAAGTTTACCGATCTTTGTGGCAAAACAAACCGTGCCACATGTGTAGATTAGATGGCAGCAAGTAGCTTGACGTTCTCACTTCTCACCATTCAGGAAAGAAGGAAAGGCATTCAACATATCAACACAACGAACGCATTCCAGGGTCTGTAATACTAGGGTAGGGAAATACAGTACTACAGTAGGTAGCGGGTGGCTGTTAAGTTTAACAGAGCGTGCGTGTCTCCGTTTGGATGGACTCCATTTTTTCTCCAGGTACCATTTTTACTTTTTCGTAAGGATGGGCACAGATGGCAAAAAAGGATATATGACTGAAAATAAATGGGAAAGTCAAGAAATCAACACGTGGAAATGGGAATTTCAAAATATGGGAAGCAATGGCAAATAAATGCATTTCTGAAACCATTTTTTGTTGACAAAAATTGGAAGATCCATCGACGATATCTTCGCGCTTTGCGAAGTAAATTAAATACTGAATCTGTTTTTAAATGGTACGATACTCGTATTATAAAAATTAAACATTATTTATTTATCATATATAGTATAATAAAAATATATGTAGGTGACTTCTGTGCCCCGAGAAACAGGGAGCACAGAATTTGGCTTTGCGCCGCGATCCGGGCGCAGAAAAACTGACCTTTATCTATTTTTCGGCAGTTTTATTACCTGACTTCGTTTTAATCCTTTGTCCCCTTAATTTTCAAGAGAAAGCAGGTAGACCTACGGCATTTTACAATTAATGTCCCATTGTCACTATTTTTCTTTCGCTCTCCAGAAGACGATTTTTCAATTTTTCGAAAGGTGACCAGCTTGAAAAAACGCGTTTTTGAGGGTGACTGAATTCAAAGGCAATAACTGATAACTGAGTTTGCTTGTTCTCTAACCCTGTGCTTTTCGATTATGTTTGTCTGAGATGTAAATGGTGAAACGAGCAAATTTAAACCAAGTATAAATGAGAAACTGCCAGAACATATACAAATCTGCGACTTTTGGACATTCGGAGCGCAAAGCCACGTTCTATGCGCTCGATTTGTGGCGCACAGCCATTTTGAAAATATGATGCAACGTGCAGCGTATTTTTTGCGTTTAGGTAGACTCAAAGAACAGAATCAGTCATGTGAATTTAAATTTGCTACTCCAAATTCCAATGCATTGTAACCAAACATCGAAAATGCCAGAACGTCCCAGAAAACTTCGTAACCGGTAACGTTCATATGAATTATTTAGATTCACAATTCTACTAGATGGGGGTTCAAATACAGTGGACTGCGAAAACCTGTTACATTCGGTCCGCGACCGAATGACCAATCCAAATAAATGGCCAAGACCAAATGACCAACAAACAGGAAACGTGCAAGAATTTGAACACTTGCATCTTGCGCATTTCCCATAAAACATCAACCGATATCTCAAACGAAGAAAAAATTTCAAGAATTTCGATACCAAATATGTCATCCTTCATGAGATTTACGAGAAAATCGAGCCATTTTAGTTTGTCGTAGACAAAGCATACGATTTCCGTGTGAAAACTGAATCCAAACCGTGGATTCCAATCCTGTGCTATGTCTACGAGAGACTTTAAGTGCGTCGATTTTCTCTTAGATCTCATACAGAACAACTTGTTTGGTATCAAAATTCTTGAAATTGTTTTCTCTTTCGTTTGAGATATCGGTTGATGGGTTTCGTTGGGAAATGCGCAAGGTGCAAGTATTAATACCAGCAGGCCCATGGCCAATCACGAATTCGCCTGTCTGAGTACAGAAAAGTGCTTGGTTGCGCGCATTGTAACACCTTTTCGCAGTCCACTGTATGCTTCATATAGAATTTTTTACTAATAACAATAATGTGATTAATGACAGTACCAATAACCTGATTCTACGCTACAATACGGTAACTTAAAATATCGGTATCTTCACTATTCCACTGCAATTAAACAATGGCCTTGATATTGGCCCATGTGCAACAATTGTCCACCTGCGCAACAGTTTGGCGCCACCTAGTGGGCGGTTTCCTCGAGACCCATGTGAATGGGCACACAAAAATTTTGGGCACCCAGTGCACCGTAGACTCTATGGTATAAGGAAAACCGCCCTATAAAGCGGTTACCCAATCCGGCTCACTACTACCCAACCAATCCGAATTGCGTACAGCTGGTCAGTACTCCCAACTTACTGATTGTTAGAGTTGCTTTGCTATAGTAGCGTTTATTAGTGACATTCTAATATTTCATTAATAAAAAACCTAATATTTCATTAGCCAAAATGAAATATGAGCCACAACTGCTTTCACATTTCCCATTAATTGATATGGCGACGAAAAGCAATATGCATTTTATTTGAAAAGGTTATGAATTTTTTTGTAGAGTGACATACATATGTAATAGTTATACATATGTACATAGGTAATGATATACATATAGATAGATAGATAATGATAAGTTGAAGAACATCAGAATTTCAATTATTTGCTGAGAAACCAATGAAAACCCCGTTCAGTATATCCTAGTAGATTTTAGTACGCTGTGCAAGCAAATAATGGGTGCATTTTATACGACTACGAAAACAGCGTATTTATTCCGTTACAAAAAAACCAAGTTTTTACTAGAGGCAGTACACAGAGGTGTACAGCAGGCTGTACGTGAGGTAATACTGCAGGCTGAACATTGGGCTGTGCTACAAGCATTTCCACTAACTAAACTTAGTGTACTACAGCTTAAACTACAAGGCATACATTAGATTGTACTACAGGCAGCACTACAGGTTGTACTACAGGCAATACATCGTATGCTTTTTGTTCATTTAAGTAATGAGACTGATTTGTTGACCTGTTTAATGAAATGCATCTTAATTTTTAATATACTTATAGGCGCAAAATACGAATCACCCTGTTATCATTTTTTGTAAAAATTCAAAACAAAACCGTCTTATAAATAAAGTAAACATTACAAGGTTGTACGCTACTGGTTTGTACACTACAGGTTTTATGAATTTGTTATAGTATTTACTTTCGCTTATTGCGTACCAAATATCTATCCATGCTTCCGGGTTACGGAATTTTTATTTTTCCGCTTCAAATTATTTTTAATGTGATTAAATAAATTAGAAAAAATATTCAGGGTGCTTAGCTGATATCAGCTGCATTATGACCAAAGTCCGGCGTGTACGTCTTTGCCTAATGTGCTGCCTGTAGTACAGCAAATACTGTAGTATATCCTAGCAACGAAAAGCAATATGGGTATTAATTAAAAAAGGTTAGGAATATTTTTTTAGAGTGATATGCATAGGTAATGATAATGGTAACTTGAAGAATATCAGATTTTTGATTATCTACTGAGAACTAATAAAACCTCCGTTTAATATATCCTGAATATATACCGTGAAAGAAAATACCGTGCAAAAAATTACTGACAGCATTCTTTAAGGCAAAAAAAACTATGCATTCTATACGCAGTATATGTATTTCAGTCACAAAAAAAACAAAGTTTCTATTACATTCCGTACATTGAGGTGTAGGCTACACGCCACGTGAAACTGCAGGCTGAGCACTAGGCTCTACTACGGCATAACTTCTAACTAAACTTAGCGCACTACAGGATAAACTGCAGGCCTTACTCTAGGTTGTACTATGGGCTGTACTACAAGTTGTACTCGTATTACAGGAAGTACGATAGGCAAACAAGCGAAGCTAAGCATCTTGAATATTTTTCTTAATTATATTTAATCGTACTAGTATTAAAAATGATTTAAAGCGTAAAAAATGTTTGGCACATGTTTGGTACACAACATTAAGATTTTAAAAATTTCAGCAGTACATTGTGTTAATTGTAGTTTATTTAATGAGACTGGTTAGTTAATTTGTTTAGTGTAATGCATCCCAGTTTTTGATATATTGCTGTGCGCAAAGTACAACTCACCCCATTAATTTTTTTGTAAAAAACTCAAGAAAAAAACGGTTTTTTGAAACGAAACACTACAATTTTTTTGCGTTTTTGCATTTATGAATTTTTTTATAGCACTTAATTTTGTTTATAGTAAGGCCCGATGTACTATTTAAATTGACAATTTAATACAATTGTTTGACGTTCATAAAGTCCTTTACATTAAATTCAATAAAATCTTTAAAACTATACCAGATATCTTTCCGTGCTTCCGGTTTGCAGATTTTTATTTTAACGTTTAAACTCATTTCCAATATGATTAAATATACCTAAAAATAATAGTCAGGAATCAGGATTCTTAGCGGATATCT